GATTTGATTGGTATACACAATATTGTGTAAATTCCAACTAGTGGGGCAAGGTCGAGCTATACCAGCTTGATGCACCTGTCAATTCCTCTCAGATCTCCACAAGTGCATAGGACATAGGGTTTAGGGGATGATTTTGGATTGGGGCATTTATCTTGGATGTAAAAAACATTTAGACAAAACCTTTCACAGTTAATCAATTATTTAATAGCACAGCTGCTTTGGACTTGTTGAATGGATAGCATGTGCTATAATCCTTTTCTACCCTGCTTATTGTAATGTTGCATAGTCGGGTAAAGCTCGCCGCCATTGGACTATGGAGCAGTGGAAACACGTTCTCTGGAATGATGAATGACGCTTCACCATCTGGCAGTCCGACTGACTAATCTGGGTTTGGCGGCTGCCAGGAGAACACTACCTGCCCCAATGCATAGTGCCAACTGTACATTTTGGTGGAGGAGGAATAATGGTCTGGGGCTGTTTTTCATGGTTCGGGCTAGGCCCCTTAGTTCCAGTGAAGGGAAATAACGCTACAGCATACAATGACATTCTAGATTATTCTGTGCTTCCAACTTTGTGGCAACAGTTTGAGGAAGGCCCTTTCCTGTTTCAGCATGACAATGCCCCCGTGCACAAAGCGAGGTCCATACAGAAATGGTTTGTTGAGATCGGTGTGGAAGAACTTGACTGGCCTGACCTCAACTTCATCGAACACCGTTGGGATGAATTGGCACACGGACTGCGAGACAGGCCAGATCGCCCAACATCAGTGCCCGACCTCACTAATGCTCTTGTGGCTGAATGGAAGCAAGTCCCCGCAACAATGTTCCAACATCTAGTGGAAAGCCTTCCCATAAGAGTGGAGGCTGTTATAGCAGCAAAGGGGGGACCATCTCTATATTAATGCCCATGATTTTGGTATGAGATGTTCGACGAACAGGTGTCCACATACTTTTGGTCATGTAGTGTACATGGAATCAGTGAACACTATAACAGTGTAACTTTAACACTGACCTAGTGTAACATTTAAGTGTGACTGGTATTGGAAAGTGTTGGTGTTGAATGGGAAACACTTTGAAAAGTGTACATTTTGTAAATTCAACACTTTTTGGTGACTTTTATATGAATAATAATAATAATAATAATAATAATAATATGCCATTTAGCAGACGCTTTTATCCAAAGCGACTTACAGTCATGTGCGCATACATTTTTACATATGGGTGGTCCCGGGGATCGAACCCACTACCCTGGCGTTACAAGCGCCATGCTCTACCAATTGAGCTACAGAGGACCAAAAAGTGTTCAATTGAACACCCACAGTGTTCCATTTGCCAATTGGATTTTGCTGTGCTAAAAAAAAGCCTTTATTGAGAATAACCAACAAATATAAATGCCTGGAATTTGCAAAACGTCATTGGCACTTGGATTGGAACCGGTGCTATGGTCAGATTACATGAAAATAGAGCTCTTTGGCCACACACACCAGTGGTGGGTTTGGCGTCGAAAGAAAGATGCATATGCAGAAAGTAACCACATACCTACTGTAAAATATGTTGGTGGATCTTTGGTGTTATGGGGCTATTTTGCTTCCACTGGTCCTGGGGCCCTTGTTAAGTTCAATGGCATCATGAGCCAAAAACCTGGTTTCCTCTGCCAGGAGGCTGAAACTTGGCCGCAAGTGGATCTTCAGGCAAGACAATAACCCCAAGCACACATCAAAATAAATGGTTAATTGGCGACAAAATGTACATTTTGCAATGGCCATCTCAGTCTCCGGACTTGAAACCCATTGAAAACCTGTGGTATGAATTGAAGAGGGCAGTTCATAAGCGCAGATGAAGGATATCAATGATCTGGAAAGATTATGTACGGAGGAATGGTCTAAGATCCCTCCCAATGTGTTCACCAATCTCATAAAACATTTGAGAAAAAGGCTCAGTGCCGTTATCCTCCAAGTGGAGGGTGCCGGAGTATTGAAAACAGGGGTGCCAAGCATACAATATACTGTAGCTCAGTATTTGTATTGTTTATTTTATACAGTATTTTTTGCTAATCTTTATGGAAGCCAGTTTCCTTCTAGAACGGGTGGAGTACAGTTCAAACTATGAGTCAGAGAAGAATCAGAACATAATTTGTCATATCCATTCACACAATGAATGTGATGCAAGAACTTCCACAATTAACTTTCTTGATGCAAATTAGCAGCCGTTCATCCCTGAATTGAATGCTGCAAACTGGTAATGGATGATGGGAGGGTAACAACCACACAACATGAAACCCATTGAGATCCCGGCCGAGACGAGGAATTTCAATGACTATCTTTTTATTTTTACATTTACATTTACATCATTTAGCAGACGCTCTTATCCAGAGCGACTTACAAATTGGTGCATTCAACTTATGATAGCAAGTGGGACAACCACTTAAAAAATATATATATGTGGGGGGGGGGGGTGGGTGGGTGGAGAAGGATTACTTTTATACTATTCCAGGTATTCCTTAAAGAGGTAGGGTTTCAAGTGTCTCCGGAAGGTGGTCAGTGACTCCGCTGTCCTGGCGTCGTGGGGGAGCTTGTTCCACCATTGGGGAGTCAGAGCAGCAAATAGCTTTGACTGGGCTGAGCAGGAACTGTCCTTCCGTAGAGGTAGGGGAGCTAGCAGGCCAGAGGTGGATGAACGTAGTGTCCTCGTTTGGGTGTAGGGTCTGATCAGAGCCTGAAGGTAAGGAAGTGCCGTTCCCCTCACAGCTCTGTAGGCAAGCACCATGGTCTTGTAGTAGATGCGAGCCTCAACTGGAAGCCAGTGGAGTGTGCGGAGGAGCGGGGTGACATGAAAGAACTTGGGAAGGTTGAACACCAGACGGGCTGCAGCGTTCTGGATAAGTTGAAGGGGTTTAATGGCACAGGCAGGGAGCCCAGCCAACAGCGAGTTGCAGTAATCCAGACGGGAGATGACAAGTGCCTGGATTAGGACCTGTGCCGCTTTCTGTGTAAGGTAGGGTCGTACTCTGCAAATGTTGTAGAGCATGAACCTGCAGGATCACCACTTTGATGTTAGCGGAGAACGACAGGGTATTGTCCAGGGTCACGCCAAGGTTCTTTGCACTCTGGGAGGAGGACACAATGGAGTTGTCAACCGTGATGGCGAGATCATGGAGCGGGCAGTCCTTCCCCGGGAGGAAGAGAAGCTCCGTCTTGCCGAGGTTCAGCTTGAGGTGGTGATCCGACATCCACACTGATATGTCTGCCAGACATGCAGAGATGCGATTCGCCACCTGGTTATCAGAAGGGGGCAAGGAGAAAATGAATTGTATGTCGTCTGCGTAGCAATGATAGGAGAGACCATGTGAGGATATTTGACATTTTTTGACATTTTAGTCATTTAGCAGACGCTCTTATCCAGAGCGACTTACAGTTAGTGAGTGCATACATTTTCATACTGGCCCCCCGTGGGAATCGAACCCACAACCCTGGCGTTGCAAGCACCATGCTCTACCAACTGAGCTACACGGGGCCACGTGACTTGGTGTATAGAGAGATTAGGAGAGGGCCTAGAACTGAGCCCTGGGGCACACTAGTGGTGAGAGCACGTGGTGCGGAGACAGATTCTCGCCACGCCACCTGGTAGGAGCGACCTGTCAGGTAGGACGCAATCCAAGAGTGAGCAGCACTGGAGATGCCCAACTCGGAGACCACAAGTTTGGCCATGTTGTTACCATAGAAATATAATGTATTCTAATTCTATGGTTGGTACAGTATACCCATATAGACTCTGCTCTTAATAATCATGTAGTGTTTCTGGTGCATTTGGACCTTGGACCTCTCCCTCTCTCCCCCACCCTCTTTGTATCTGCTCCACTGAAAGAGTGGCTGGATTATATGCTAATCCCATTATGCTGTTGGTGACATGTGAGCACAGATTAATACAGATTAGGAACAGAGCGTCAGGTCTCATACACACTTAGGCCTAGTATGAACACACACTTGTATGTCTCCATTAAGGAATAACATTGACATCTCTCAACCAGACACAGGGATTTTGTGACGGTACGTGTGTGTGTGTGTGTTAATGATATTTTAATCCATAATGTAACATTATAGCTATGGGATTTGTTTTAGGGTTGAGGTCAATATTGCTAAATTTGATCTGTCCCTTACTCTCCCTTACTTAATATTTATTTCCCTTGTTTACCCTTAGTTCCATAGAAGTGTTTGGCGAAGATACAGGAGAGATGCTGCTCTCTCTAGCTTGGCCTGTCCATCAGCTGGCCTTGTTGTAGCCTGGACCGTGTACCAAAGGTCTGTTCTGTGAGAGAGATGACTGATGGCTGAATGAATGTTTAACCCACTGTGCCAATGGGGATGTCAGTGTGTGTGTGTGTGTCTGTGTACATGGAGAGGTGAAGGACCTGATAGGTTAGTTTGATGGTGGGTTCACAAAAACAACGAGAGAGGCATAATATACTGAGCCGTGGAGAGACCTAGAGAGAGGAGGAAAGAGACAAAAAAAGACAAAAGTCAGGATTGAGACTGTAGAGTAGAACAAGAATTGAGAGCGAGAGAACATCATTCATCAAAAGCCAGAATTCTTATCACAGTCGTAGCAAGCTAGTGTAACACTCCATCTGGAGGGTCTGGAGAGTGGCTACGGAGTGTTATGGTGAGGAACATGGTTTCAATCAAGTTACCAGTCAGTCGGTAGGTCAGTCTTTGCTAACCAGTATGTGTCTGAGAGAGAGAGAGTAAGGAGTTACCACAGGATTGGAACTGGTTCTATGGCCAGTTACAGTCAAAGAGAGAACAGCGTGTTTAGAGGATTGTAACAGGCAACAGTACTGTCATAACAGTCGTGTTTGTAGTAGAAGAGAGTGTAGTGTTTGTGTTAGTGTGGGGAAGGATGACCAGTGAGTGTATGAGTTAAAAGGACGGAGAGCTGGAGTTAACTGAAACAGCAGCAAGAAGGTTCATCATCATCATCATCATCATCAGTCCCACCACAGCCATGGCGTCAGCCGCTCTAGAGCTGATGGGCTTCTTCATGGGTCTGCTAGGCATGCTGGGTACCCTGGTGTCCACAGTGCTTCCCAACTGGCGGACATCTGCCCACATCGGGCCCAACATCGTCACTGCCGTCGGCAATATGAAGGGCCTCTGGATGGAGTGTGTCTACCAGAGCACCGGAGCCTTCCAGTGTGAGACCTACAACTCCATGCTGGCCTTACCCTCAGACCTCCAGGCCTCGCGGGCCCTGATGGTGGTCTCTGTGGTCTTTTCTGTCCTGGCCATCGCCATCTCCACCGTGGGCATGCAGTGCACCATCTGCATGGAGGGCTCGGCGGCTAAAGGCAGAGTGGCCGGTACTGGGGGAGGCCTCTTCCTCACCGCAGGGTTCCTGGCTCTGATCCCGGTGTCGTGGACGACCCACGAGGTGGTCCAGACCTTCTACCAACCCAACCTGCCCAGCAGCCTGAAATACGAGCTGGGGGACTGTCTGTACGTGGGGCTGGCCGCCGCTCTGCTCTCCATGCTGGGCGGGGGGCTGCTGTGTGTCTCCTGCTGCGAGAAGCAGGATGTGGGGCGCCATGGAGGGAGGAGACACGGCGGAGGGTACCCCTACCCAGCCACAGGCATGGGGGTAGCCACTGGGGGGGCCAGGACCAGCTCACAGACCTATAGGAACCCAACGCTCCAGATGGGGGTGAACGCTGCCACCAAGGCAGCGACCCTGGCGAGGAGTCACACCAGCACTACTACCCAGTCCAGCACCCCCGCCCAGGGGGCCAAGAAAGACCCACGCCGCAACCCTGCGGCGGGCTACGATGTCACCGGGTATGTCTGATCGTGTTGAGATCAATGTTAACATTTACACACACACCACGCTGTCTCTTCCATACAGTATATGGTGCAGAGAATGACAACCCCAACTACGTGCTAAGGTAACTGTGTGTGTTCTCTTTCACAATGAATTGATCATGGGACTTTCAGTGCCACACTACTGTATATGAAGACTTTTGCTCCTCACAATGGAAATCAGAGACTTGTACTGCTTGACCATGCATACAGTACTGTAGTGACTGAACGAACTGAGCGTGAAGCTCCAACTCTGAAACATGTTTTATGGATGTTTTGATAGATTTACTATTGAAAATTGATTTATTGCAGCAACATCTGTCTTGATGCGATTACTCTGAAGTGTTCGCTCCATGTGCAGATAAGGGCTCTTGAAAGTAAACACACACTCAGTAAAACCCAGTGACCTTGCACTGCATGCTGTGCCAGCCTCTTCAGTAAGGTCCACTGGGTCACCAACTGCAGTACGGTATCACACAGCCAAATAGGGTTTTAGGACACACTTTCTTTTATACCTTTTCACCCTAGAGCTGATGTCCGCGCCCACGCAGAAATCTAAATGGGCATAATAAAATATTCACCATCACAATATTCACCACACTAATATAACCCCTCTATTTTTTTGCTCTAGGACACCCACAAGCCTCGTCTGAAGGCAGCCCGGTACCAGTTTAAAACATGAATGGAAGTATATAATGGTAGCTTAGTACCCCAGAAAATGTGTTAAATATTGGTAAACAATACATATAATAATTTCCTGATCTGTCTTATATCTCTCAGATACAGGACAGACAGTTTAAAACAAACGTCCTTTTGATTTTCTTTTTTTACTCTGTTTTTCCATGTATGAATCTGTTATTCAATGCGTTTCTATGGGCTAATAGCAGTAAGGCCAAATGAAATGTTTCATTAAGAAATATATAAAATAAATGTGTTTTTATACCTAAAGGGGTCCGAAATCAAATAACTAAATGATCCTTGGTATGACCATCTTAAAACAATTCCATATGTTAGCTTAGCAGAACCCCCCCTCCCCTTGCTTATACTATTGTGGATTTAAATCATTAAATGTTCATTATCAATGACTGTTAGCTAATATTGCATGTTTCTTTTGATTAATAATCATTGATTTGAAAGTCAAAATGCTTTCTTCTCTTTTGCAGAATGTTTAATGTGATTTAACACTACTGATAGTTTTTTTTTTATATATAGTTTTTTTCATATTAAGACCTGTTTACAAATAATTGCAACACTTTCTAAACAGAACTTCTATTTCCCAAAGATGTTTTGCAGTCAAAATAGTAAAGAAAACGAAATAAAATATTTTTTAGATCTTCAAACATTAGAACTGTCAATCATTTTCAGTTTATTACAGATGAAGCCCAATGACGGCTGATTAACCTGAATGTCATCTAATGTATCTCTGCTGTAGAGGGACCCTTATGTCCCATCCCATTCCAAAACAGATGAACCATGAACGATGATGAAAGACAAACAAGGAAAGATGGGCGCAAATAAACCCAAAACAAGCAACAAAGACAAACTCCCCTCTAATCGATAAGTAGTTAGTTTCGGTGTTGGTGGTCAGAGTGAGGTCCTTGGGGAGGTTGAGGTGATTTGACAGGTGATTTGACAGATGATTTGAAGACAGGTCACTTTGGCTGTTGTCCAAAGGTATACAGTAAACAGACAAGACCGCTGTTTCCTTGCAATGTAACTGTATGTGGGGTTCAATGACCCCTAAAACGACCTCTAAAAAGAATGCTGTACAACTGACATCCCTGGACTTTAACCTTGATTGAGCAGTATTGTGCATGGTTTAACACACACTTCTGCTGGTGGGAAAAACAAACACAACCTAACACACATTCTCTCCTCAGTACATACAGTTGCATTTCAGTTTATTCCCACTCCCTGGGACCGGTAGTTGATAATCCTCCTAGATCATTTTGTGTACGAACTTCACTTCAATCAAGGGGTGAAACACCAAGCTTATCTTTCCACTGAGTTTTAAAATATGGCCTACTAGTCAGGACTCAACTAGTCATATATCTACATTTTCTGACCATTATCATTTCGACATGAGAAGAAAAATGTGTACCTTTTCTGACCATTATCATTTCAACATGAGAAGAAAAAGGCTCCTTGCTCTGTGGGAAAGGAGAGAGGAATACCATGGAAAGATCTCCTCTACAACTCTCTCAAGTAGCAACTCTGCCCTCTACAGTCATACATGAAGACTGAAGCAAAACAGGTTCCAAAGGCAGATTATAGGGTACAGGTCAGTGAGTGCAAGGCAAAACCACTCATAATGAGCAGTGAGGTATAGTGACGTCTAGTGACCACCAGAGGAATGACACTCACTCAGAATGAAAACCGACCAATAGTCAAAGAGAACTGAAACTCATGTTGGGTTTATATAACTCACATTTCAAACACAGCCAAAGCGATAACACATAAAATCCACTAACATCCAGGACAAAAATACAAATAAAACCACATTTGTTTTTAATTGACCTTCACACAACAAATTGCACAATAACCAGAAATGTCAAACCTCAGTCATTGAGTTGAGTAGTACCTACCACTCTCCTCCTTTGACATCAGTTGTCTGTCTCTTATTAACGACTCAGCCTGTGTTGAGGCTGTAGAGTCTACAGAGGGTCAGAGATCACTACATCCTCCTTTTCTCCTCCTCCCTTTTCGGTTTATTCTCAACCCGCCGCTCTCGGCCAAACTCAATCACCAGAGATTTCCCTAGCAACCAGTACCCATTCACTATCTCCAGGGCTCGCTGGGGCGTTTCAGTGTCTAGAAAATCATATTTTATACCCTATAGAGATCACATTAAATGACTATTTAATTAATGATTATTACTATGAAATAAGCATTATAATTCCTAATTCTATGGTTATACCACTATAGGATATGACATAACATGGCTAAAGTTAGCTAGGTTAGGGGTTAGAGTTAAGTTTAGGAGTTAGATTAAACAGTTAAGGTTAGGGGAAGGGTTAGCTAACATGCTAAGCAGTTGCAAAGTAGCTAAAAAGCAGTAAGTAGTTGCTAATGAGATAATATGCTAAAGCTGTCCGTGATTCGTTTTTGCCTTAAGTAACCATCTGTCTTATGTAACCATACCAAACGTAACATATCATACTAATTTCAGTGTCCTGGGTTTACATTTACTATGTTACGTCTAGTCTATGAGACCAGGCTGATATATCAGACATGTAACATTCATTTGGGTTCCTGGATCCTTTCACAGCATTATAAGCCTGCGTTGAGACAATGACTTATCAATGACCCAAGACCAGCTCAGTTAATCCCTACCATTGTGACGCTAAATTGTCATAATGCTTCAGCAAATTTACATTATACCAGGGGTGTTGGTTGACACAATGTAAGTAACCTAATGTATGTCCCTCTAACTGCCCTGAATGCCTCTACTGATCCTACAGCTATTTTATGCAGTAATCATGTGCCTATGAACCAGATTTATACTGTTAGCTCTGAGGTGGTGTGCCCTAGTAGGAAGTCCACTGTATGCAGCTCACCCTGCACTAATAAAAATACAGTGGGGAAAAAAAGTATTTAGTCAGCCACCAATTGTGCAAGTTCTCCCACTTAAAAAGATGAGAGAGGCCTGTAATTTTCATCATAGGTACACGTCAACTATGACAGACAAAATGAGAAAAAAAATCCAAAAAATCACATTGTAGGATTTTTTATGAATTTATTTGCAAATTATGGTGGAAAATAAGTATTTGGTCAATAACAAAAGTTTCTCAATACTTTGTTATATACCCTTTGTTGGCAATGACACAGGTCAAACGTTTTCTGTAAGTGTTCACAAGGTTTTCACACACTGTTGCTGGTATTTTGGCCCATTCCTCCATGCAGATCTCCTCTAGAGCAGTGATGTTTTGGGGCTGTCGCTGGGCAACACGGACTTTCAACTCCCTCCAAGAAAATCACATTGTAGGATTTTTAATGAATTTATTTGCAAATTATGGTGGAAAATAAGTATTTGGTCACCTACAAACAAGCAAGATTTCTGGCTCTCACAGACCTGTAACTTCTTCTTTAAGAGGCTCCTCTGTCCTCCACTCGTTACCTGTATTAATGGCACCTGTTTGAACTTGTTATCAGTATAAAAGACACCTGTCCACAACCTCAAACAGTCACACTCCAAACTCCACTATGGCCAAGACCAAAGAGCTGTCAAAGGACACCAGAAACAAAATTGTAGACCTGCACCAGGCTGGGAAGACTGAATCTGCAATAGGTAAGCAGCTTGGTTTGAAGAAATCAACTGTGGGAGCAATTATTAGGAAATGGAAGACATACAAGACCACTGATAACCTCCCTCGATCTGGGGCTCCACGCAAGATCTCACCCTGTGGGGTCAAAATGATCACAAGAACGGTGAGCAAAAATCCCAGAACCACACGGGGGGACCTAGTGAATGACCTGCAGAGAGCTGGGACCAAAGTAACAAAGCCTACCATCAGTAACACACTACGCCGCCAGGGACTCAAATCCTGCAGTGCCAGACGTGGCCCCCTGCTTAAGCCAGTACATGTCCAGGCCCGTCTGAAGTTTGCTAGAGTGCATTTGGATGATCCAGAAGAGGATTGGGAGAATGTCATATGGTCAGATGAAACCAAAATAGAACTTTTTGGTAAAAACTCAACTCGTCGTGTTTGGAGGACAAAGAATGCTGAGTTGCATCCAAAGAACACCATACCTACTGTGAAGCATGGGGGTGGAAACATCATGCTTTGGGGCTGTTTTTCTGCAAAGGGACCAGGACGACTGATCCGTGTAAAGGAAAGAATGAATGGGGCCATGTATCGTGAGATTTTGAGTGAAAACCTCCTTCCATCAGCAAGGGCATTGAAGATGAAACGTGGCTGGGTCTTTCAGCATGACAATGATCCCAAACACACCGCCCGGGCAACGAAGGAGTGGCTTCGTAAGAAGCATTTCAAGGTCCTGGAGTGGCCTAGCCAGTCTCCAGATCTCAACCCCATAGAAAATCTTTGGAGGGAGTTGAAAGTCCGTGTTGTCCAGCGACAGCCCCAAAACTTCACTGCTCTAGAGGAGATCTGCATGGAGGAATGGGCCAAAATACCAGCAACAGTGTGTGAAAACCTTGTGAACACTTACAGAAAACGTTTGACCTGTGTCATTGCCAACAAAGGGTATATAACAAAGTATTGAGAAACTTTTGTTTTTGACCAAATACTTATTTTCCACCATAATTTGCAAATAAATTCATTAAAAATCCTACAATGTGATTTTCTGGATTTCTTTTCTCATTTTGTTTGTCATAGTTGATGTGTACCTATGATGAAAATTACAGGCCTCTCTCATATTTTTAAGTGGGAGAACTTGCACAATTGGTGGCTGACTAAATACTTTTCCCCCCCACTGTAACCTGAGTATGTCTACCTCTGCTAAGCTTCCCAGTAAAGCAAGAAAGATAATCAAGCATCCCAGAAAAGTGTTAAAAATAGCCCACGTTAACATATGTAGCTTAAGAAACAAGGTTAATTACATTTTACATTTTAGTCATTTAGCAGACGCTCTTATCCAGAGCAACTTACAGTTAGTGAGTGCATACATTTTTCATACTGGCCCCCCGTGGGAAACGAACACACAACCATGGCGTTGCAAGAGCCATGCTCTACCAACTAAGCTACAGGGGACTGTTCATGAAATCAATAATTTGCTAGTAACAAATGACATTCATATTCTGACAATCTCTGAAACTCACTTAGATAATACCTTTGATGATACAGTGGTAGCAATACAAGGTTATAACATTTACAGAAAAGACAGAAATGCCAATGGTGGAGGTGTTGCTGTTTATATTCAGAACCACATTCCTGTAAAGCTTAGAGAGGATCTCATGTTAAATACTGTTGAAGTAATATGGCTACAGGTTCATCTGCCTCACCTAAAGCCCATTCTTGTGGGAAGCTGCAATAGACCACCAAGTGCTAAGTCAGTATCTGGATAACGTGTGAAATGCTTGATAATGTATGTGATATCAACAGACAGGTATATTTTCTGGATAGTTACAAATAGCACATGAATTAAATCATCAACATGTATTGATCACATCTTTACTAATGCTGCAGAAATGTGCTTAAAAGCAGTATCCAAATCCATCAGAAGTAGTGATTACAATATAGTAGCCATATCTAGGAAAACCAAAGTTCCAAAGGCTGGGCCTAATATTCAATGCCATATCTAGGAAAACCAAAGTTCCAAAGGCTGGGCCTAATATAGTGTATAGGAGGTCATACAATAAGTTTTGTAGTGATTCCTATGTTGTTGATGTAAAATAATATTTGTTGGTCCGTGGTGTGTAATGAGGAGCAAACAGTCGCTGCACTTGACACATTTATGAAATTGCTTATTCCAGTTACTAATAAGCATGCACCCATTAAGAAAATGACTGTAAAAACTGTTAAATCCCCGTGGGTTGATGAGGAATTTAAAAATGGTACGGTTGAGAGGGATGAGGCAAATGGAATGGCAAATAAGTCTGGCTGCACAACCGATTGGCAAACGTATTGCAAATTGAGAAATCATGTGACTAAACTGAATAAAAAGAAGAAACTCCACTATGAAACAAAGATAAATGACAAATAATGATAGTAAAAAGCTTTGGAGCACCTTAAATGACATTTTGGGAAAAAAAGCAAACTCAGCTCCATCATTCATTGAATCAGATGGCTCATTCATCACAAAACCAAATGATATTGCCAACTACTTTAATGATTTTTTTCATTGGCAAGATTAGCAAATGTAGGCATGACATGCCAGGAACAAGCGCTGACACTACACATCTAAGTATATCTGACCAAATTATGAAAGATAAGCATTGCAATTTTGAATTCCATAAAGTCAGTGTGGAAGAGGTGAAAACATTATTGTTGTCTATCAACAATGACAAGCCACCGGGGTCTGAGAACTTGGATGGAAAATTACTGAGGATAATAGCGGACGATAATGCCACTCCTATTTGCCATTTTTTCAATTTAAGCCTACTATAAAGTGTGTGCCCCCAGGCCTGGAGGGAAGCAAAAGTCATTCAGCTACCTAAGAACAGTAAAGCCCCCTTTACTGGATCAAATAGCAGACCAATCAGCCTGTTACCAACCCTTAGTAAACTTTTAGAAAAAATTGTGTTTGACCAGATACAATGATATTTTACAGTAAACAAATTGATATCAGACTTTCAGCATGCTTATAGGGAAGGACATTCAACAAGCACAGCACTGACACAAATGACTGATGATTGGCTGAGAGAAATTGATGATAAAAAGATTGTGGGGGCTGTTTTGTTAGACGTCAGTGCGGCTTTTGACATTATCGATCATAGTCTGGTGCTGGAAAAACATATATTTTATGGCTTTACACCCACTGCTATATTGTGGATAAAGAGTTACCTGTCTAACAGAACACAGAGGGTGTTCTTTAATGGAAGCCTCTCCAACATAATCCAGGTAGAATCAGGAATTCCCCAGGGCAGCTGTCTAGGCCCCCTACTTTACTGACAACATGCCACTGGCTTTGAGTAAAGCCAGTGTGTCTATGTATGCAGATGACTCAACACTATACACGTCAGCTCCTACAGCAACTGAAATGACTGCAACACTTAACAAAGAGCTGCAGTTAGTTTCAGAGTGGGTGGATAGCAATAAGTTAGTCCTAAATATTTCTAAAACTAAAAGCATTGTATTTGGGACAAATCATTCACTAAACCTCGACTAAATCTTGTAATAAATAATGTGGAAATTGAGCAAGTTGAGGTGACTAAACTGCTTGGAGTAACACTGGATTGTAAACTGTCATGGTCAAAACATATTGATACAACAGTAGCTAAGATGGGGAGAAGTCTGTCTACCTTCTTAACAGCACTATCAACAAGGCAGGTCCTACAGGCCCTAGTTTTGTCGCACCAGGACTACTGTTCAGTCGTGTGGTCAGGCGCCACAAAAAGGGACTCAGGAAAATTGCAATTGGCTCTACAGAGAGCTAACATCAATAATATGCATGTCTCCTCTCCTGGCTCAAAGTGAAGGAGAGATGGACTTCATCACTACTTATATTTATGAGAGGTAATGACATGTTGAATGCACCGAGCTGTCTGTTTGGATACCCATGCATACCCCACAAGACATGCCACAAGAGGTCAGACTATGGGAGGCGCACAGTACTACATAGAGCCATGACTACATGGAACTCTATTCCACATCAAGTAACTGATGCAAGCAGTTAAATTAGATTTTTTTTTAAACCCAGATAGAAATACACCTTATGGAACAGCGGGGACTGTGAAGCAACACAAACATAGGCACAGACACATGCATACACACACATGATAACATACACACACGTACACATGGATTTTGTATTGTAGATATGTGGTAGTGGTGGAGTATGTGTGTTTCACAGTGTGTTGTGAAATCTGTGAATGTATTGTAGTTTTAAAAATGGTATAACTGCCTTAATTTTGCTGGACCCCAGGAAGATTAGCTGCTGCCTTGGCAGCAGCTAATGGGAACCTCTACCTATCTCCGGACCATCACCAGACCCCGCCTTCGTCACACCACACAGGCTACCGATTGGCTGGCTCACGTTGATCCTCTTTGGAGCTGCCAATCGCTTGAGTCCCGCTCTTTCCATTGGTCAGAGTCCTTGATCCGGCCTCTCAATCCCGCTACGCCCTCTGACGAACCATCAAACAGGCAAAGCGTTAATACAGAACTAAGATCAAATCCTACTACACCGGCTGTGACGCTCGTCGGATGTGGCAGGGCTTGCAAACTATCACAGATTACAAAGGTAAACCCAGCCATGACCTCCCCAGTGACACGGGCCTACCTGACAAACTAAATGCTTTCTATGCTCTCTTCGAGGCAAGCAACACTGAACCATGCGTGAGAGCACCAGCTGTCTTGGACAACTGTGTGATCATGGTCTCCGTAGCCGATGTGAGTAAGACCATTAAACAGGTTAACATTCACAAGGCCGCAGGGCCAGACGGATTACCAGGGCGCGTACTCAGAGCATGAGCTGACCAGCTGGCAAGTATCTTCACTGACATTTTCAACCTCTCCCTGACCCAGTCTGTAATACCTTTATGTTTTAAGCAGACCACTATAGTTACTTTGCCCAAGAACGCCAAGGTAACCAGTCTAAATGACTATCGCCCAGTAGCACTCATATCTATAGCCATGAAATGCTTTGAAAGGCTGGTTATGGCTCACATCAAGACCATCATCCCAAACATCCTGGACCCACTCCAATTCGCATACCACCCCAACAGATCCACAGATGACGCAACCTCTATTGCACTCCACACTGCCCTTTCCCACTTGGACAAAAGGAACACCTATGTGAGAATGCTGTTCATTGACTACAGCTCAGCGTTCAACACCATAGTGCCCCTCAAAGCTCATCACTATGCTAAGGTCCCTGGGACTGAACACCTCCCTCTGCAACTGGATCCTGGACTTCCTGACGTGCCGCCCCCAGGTGGTGAGGGTAGACAACAACACATCCGCCACACTGACCCTCAACACGGGGGCCCCTCAGGGGTGTGTGCTTAGTCCCCTCCTGTACTCCCTGTTCACCCATGACTGTGTGGCCGCGCACGACTCTAACACCATTATTACGTTTGCTAGGACAACAACCTCTCCCTCAACGTCAGTAAGACAAAGGAGCTGATTGTGGACTACAGGTAACGGAGGGCCGAGCACGCCCCCATTCACATCAACGGGGCTGTAGTGGAGAGCTTCAAGTTCCTCGGTCCATCTCACTAAGGATATATCATGGTCCAAACACACCAACACAGTCGTGAAGAGGGCACGACAACGCCTCTTCCCCCTCAGAAAAGATTTGGCATGGGCCCTCAGATCCTCAAAAAGTTATACAGCTGCACCATTAAGAGTGTCTTGACCGGTTGCATCACTGCATGGTATGGAAACTGCTTGACATCCGACCACAAGGCACTACAGAGGGTAGTGCGTACGGCCCAGTATATCACTGGGGCCGAGCTCCCTGCCATCCAGGATCTCTATATTAGGCAAAGACTCCAGCCACCCAAGCCACATACTGTTCTCTCTGCTACCGCATGGCAAGCGGTACCAATGCACCAAGTCTGGAACCTACAGGACCCAAAACAGTTTCTACTGCCAAGCCATAAGACTTCTAAACAAGACCGCTAAATAGCTAATCAAATGGTTACCCGGACTACCTGCATTTACCATTTTTTGCACCAACTCTCTTGCACTGACTATACACACACACTGGACTCTACCCACACACTCACACATACTTACACTGACACCCCAACACACACACACTACATACGCCCACACACACATAACATGCACACACATGCATACTGACGCCACACACTCACACACACTTTCACACATACGCTGCTGCTACTATCTATCTAGTTGCCTAGTCACTTTACCCCTACCTATATATACAGCACATAGCTACCTCAATTACCTCGTACCCCTGCACATCAACTCGGTACTGGTATTCCCTGTAAATAGCCACTGTCTTTTTATTCCTCATGTCTCTATTTTTATTTTATCTTTAACTCTGCATTGTTGGAAATCGACCCGTAAGTTAGCATTTTACTGTTAGTCTACACCTGTTGTCTATGAAGCATGTGACATATAAAAATGTGATTTGATTTGATAAATGACAGATTTACAGTCAGGCTGGACTTATGATTGGTCAGTGCTTTTCCATGAGCTCTGTGATTGGTCTTACTCAATTTGAGGTCTGGGCTGAGGCATGAGATGAGTCTCCTGTGGTTTTCAGTTCAGAGTTCTCTGATACAGATGATAGACACAGATGTGCGTTTTCTCCTGTCACTAAGGACATCTCTGTACAGAGTCCAAGAGGTCTGAGGAGGATGCCCCCTGCTGGTCTTAGAGGTATCTTCCTCTAAGGGAAAATACCAAAAACGTGAGCACATAAGTGTTAGTACTCCATGACAGCTTGTAGCCTACTTACTAGGTAGTTACAGGGTAATTGCTTACTGTCAGATTGCAATATTGCAAATGACAAACAGGACGATGGACAGCTGAATTCCTTTCTTTCTTTTAAACATTTTACTTTATATTTTCAATACATGACAGTCACCAACAACAACAACACAAAACATACAACATATACACAAAATACATACCACAAAACCACAGTGATGGTCATTCAAAATAAAACATCTTAAGACATTTTACTTCCCTTCCCTGAAATCCGCAAGAGCCAGTCTGTTAGCCACAGTGTCCGGTCCAAGCCCAGCCCCCAACTCCTATTGTGTCTTTGCAAGGAATTTGAAAGACACTTCCAACACACATAGGACTTGTTCAAACTCCTCCAAAACTAATTTTCGTTCTAACTCCTTCAGGCTTTCTAACCTCTTGGTCTATGGAAGTTGCAGTGCGAACGACCAGACACTTAGCATTGTATAACATCCTCCCACCTTGGTGATAGAGTGCAGTGAGGAAGCCCAGGCGGTCATTGCCATGGAACAGGGCCTTCTCAATCTCCATCTCTCTGCGGGACAGGGGTCGGCTGGCTGAGAAGCGCTGTGGATTGGACATGAGCTCTGCCCGAGCCGCCATCTTGTCCTGGATCACCTGCAGACGCTGCTGCCACTCCCCGGGGGCACACACACCCCGTGACCCTGTAGGACAGAACACACAACATGGCTGCCTGTAGCACACACCCCACGGCCCTGAACCACACACACACAGCTGCCTAATTGACCATGTTGATTGGAGTGAAAATAGATTTTATCTCAATGAGACTAACCGGTAATACAGGTGGAATAATAATAGCATCCTTTTATCAGTAAGTATTGAAGTAAATATAGTTGAGGAAAGTTACACCCTCATCTCTTACAGTTTGGATGGATGCCTGAGTCAGAAAATCAATATCAGGCTACACCACCAAGAGGTTTTCGTGTCTGACAACACACTCATAGTTGATCAGTCAGTCAATATCACTAACTTTTTGACATTGTTTTCTTTAAATACAGGCTCTGTATTCCTTCTCAGGAGGTGTAATTGATAACCACAACCACACACATTGTCTCTATACATAAAACATATTGTCATTATATCCAGCAGCTGGCAAAACCAGTGGGCAGAACTGGTTATTACAATCTGGTTGTAGAGACATCATTTCAACCAGTTTTGCCCACTGTCTGGGAAGCAACAATCACCTTCTCTTCACTATTATTACCCATTATTCCTCCTTTGCGGGTGTCCAACTGTACTGTCCCTGGTAGTAAATGGCATAACTATATAAATAAAGAACATTCACCTTCTCAGTGTTATCTGGCTGGTCTCTGGGGAACCACAGTTCTATCTCCAGGTCTGCCCCAGCTCCCTAAGACTGGCCAGCTCCCTCCCCCCGTCCTGGTGAGCCTGGAACTGGGATATACCCCTCACCCAGGCAGCCTATCCCCAAAGGCTTGTACAGCGCTGCAGGGGCAAAACACTTCCTCTTGGCAACACATCTGGGACAACACATGAGAGGTCTCTAAGTCTATGTAGTCTCTCTGAATGTGGTCTGAATGTAGAGAATGACAATTCATGTAGAAAGTACATAATGACATTTCGTTTTGGGAGCAGCAATACTTAATCATTTAGTTCTTATGCCTTGCTCGTTTCAGGTGGAATACAAGAGTCGATCAGGTAAAATATGAGAGTTGAGGAATTCTCATATTATTCTCTGACTTTCAGCCATTGTTTAATTCATGGGTTGGGTTAAGTCAAATTATGCAGTGAGTTGACAAGTTCATGTGTCTAGACGTTGACAAATCATTGGCTGGCTGTCCTTTGGTGAAATGTACTGGAATGCACTGGGGAATGTAGACCCTCCTCTGAGGTCAGTCCAGACCTAGGGAGTACTAAGAATATGTAAATAGTGTGGCTGTTGCAAACTTGCTATTGTAATGCTGTATCAGAAAAGAAACAGTTGGATGAGGTGAGTGTCTCCCCTACTATGTAAAGCACTTTGAGCTTTAAGTTGGTAGAAAAGAGCTATAGAAATCCAAATCAAATTATTATTATGTATTACTATTGTATGTAAACTGTGTGGTTGATGCTATTGTAATTGTCTGTGTGTGTGGAGGCTCACCTGTCTATATTGACGTCCGTGTCTAGCTGCTGTAGGAGGAGACTGTGGATCGGTCTCTGTCCCTCTGTCTCCTGTTCTTCACACATATGACAGGTCATACTGTAACACACACACACACACACACACACACACACACACACACACACACACACACACACACACACACACACACACACACACACACACACACAAAACACACACAAACAAACAAACAAGCAAGCAAGCAAAAAGTATATGCATTGGTCTCATACACATTACTCTATACATTTTCATTAAATATCCACCTGTTTTTAGCAACCCATTTCAAAGGGGCTGCTATCATTAGAGTAGCTAACTAGCTAACGTTAGTGCATCGCATTCCAGCTACACAATGTTAGTAATTCTGGTGACAGACAGCTATTGGCTACACGATTATATAAACACTTCATATATGCATGCATATCACAGAGTAAACTGTTTTAAAAAACGCAGTAAATCAATGTAATGTGAGCTTGTCAGCAGAGAACGTTGTTTACCGTCGCATGTTTCCGTTTTGTTCTCCAGTAGGAGGAGTTTGGGACACAGGGCGGAATTATGGGAAATGTAGTGAAATTCTGATAGCTCAATTTCACAGACTCCAGAGGGAATTATCGTTCAATCTATAATAATGGCATTTAAAGTGAGTTAATGGAAGAGAATTTGAGGACAGAAGCCATTCTCACATAGCTGTGCCTTAGGTTTAGTGTAGAAAGTCTACAAAGGTAGGTTAAGCCAGATCCTGAAATGTTTCCAGTTGTTACACTAAAAGGAAAAAACGTTGTTCAGTTATGTATTGTCAGCATTGACAGTAATAGAATTGTAATATAATTTTAGCTGTTGAAACCATAGACAATGTGGTTGAAACAACTATGTTGGATCAACACTCAAATCAAATCTAATCAAATCAAAATTGTACTGGTCACATATACATATTTAGCAGATGTTATTGCGGATGTAGCGAAATGCTTGTTGATAAAACAGTTGTGAAGTGAGAATTCATCTTAATGACACATTTACCTAATAGTCATCTTATGAATACCTATAAAGTAGAGGATGAATAGGCTATACAATATTGGAGGACACCTTTTTAACACATGTTTTGTTGTGAAAGGGCTCCCAGAATGTAGATATTTTTTAGGAAAAGATGTCAAAACATTTTCATTTGTTTTCATACTGGTCAATATCTTCTATTATAGATAATATTGGCACTGTACTGATCATAAATGTACAGTAGTAATTTGGGCACCTACACTATCCCTTTAAGAAAAATATTTTCTAGGAACCACACCCTTCTGACGTCATGACAGAGACCACACCCTTCGCACGTCATGACAGAGGGTGTGGTTGAGAAGCCATCCTCCCCTCCCCTTACACCAGCATTTACAGAATGTTCAGAATGTAATAACACATTAATTAATGTATTTTTGGACCGGTCTTTCTTGAGTTGCATTGAATACATGTTCCAAGTTAGTTAATAAGAGACATTGCAATATTCAGGTGTGCCATATCAATTTGCCTCATAGACATCCGCTACAACTTACTTTACATCATTAGGTTGACATGGGTGTGTGTGTGTGTGTGCCTTTACAGAAGCTATGACGGCGAAATGCATGCACATTTAGTGTGTGGTTTTGGGGGATAGTTTGGCGTTGCTGCAGGCTCGGGTAGGTCTGGTCTGTGGCTGGCTGCTCAGTTTCTGATTGACAGGGTTGAGGGGTGGAGACGCAGGGTGGGGTCACAAGCAGGGAGAGGCGGAGGAGAAACGAAGAGAGAGAGCCCAACCCTGTACACGGCAACAACACACTGAGAGAGAGAGAGACTTTACTGGTGAAGGAAAGAGGAATAGTCGACGGCGTGGATATGATCTAAAATAATATCCGAAGAGGCAAACAATACAACTTTCTCCCAAATAGCAAATTGATTCGAAAGGTGGAAAACTGCCAAAAAGATTACTATTATTCAAATTCACCCCACCCGATCGACCCCCCCTCTACTCCACCCCTTCACCGCTGCACCCTAGCTACCGAGATGCACACCGAGACTCGAAGCAAGAAAGTAAGTCTGTCTTGACCATTATTGACTTTGCCCTGTCCAGCAAACTGCTATCGGCAGATATTTAAATGAGTTTACATTGTCAGTTCAACATGTGCCAATTTAAAGAATTGGAGAGTGTCTTACAAGGGGGAAGGCATATGTAGGAAGCTTGACTGTTACATTCAGTTAGCTTGGTAGTTGACCAACTACTAGGCAACGGTACTGATAATAATAGCATGCTAGCTAGCTAGGTGACTGACGCAGGCTACTGAGAGCTAGAGGTGGAGAGTCGAATCGATTCCTCGACTCCCGGTGTCGACTCCCATTTCTGGGTGTCAAGCTTCGATTCTGCTAGGAATCGACTCCTAAGATTCAGTATTTTTGCAACGGAGGAATCGACAACTAAGATTCAGTATTTTTGCAATGGAGGAGACTTTTGCCGTAGGCTACTTCCAAGAAGCCAAACTCTGGCATCTTTCACAGCAAAGAAAGAGGTTTGATAGCTCCGACAATCGACCGCAGACAGTGATGTTGCCTCTCTCTCCCTCTCTCTTAGTAACTGTTCTCTCCTCTGTAAACGTTAACAATTAACGTGCATGCAAATGACTGGAACGGGTTAACTATACATGCCTTCTCGGGTAACTGTCTCTCTCTCTCATTCCCTCTCTCTGCGAGCTTTGGGGTCCAGGTTTTTTAAAGTGCACTGTGATCTATGTGAGCGAATGAGGCAGGAAGGAAACGCAGGAACTGCAGCTAGTACATAGAGATAGATAGAGATCTCAAGATGGGTATAACCCCTTTTAGCATGGACATTGCCATTGAGGGCTTCGACGATTCAACTGGGTGAGGATTCCTATGGGTTGGGAGAGATCAGATAATGATCAGAGCATTGTCTTCTTCTTCAAATTGGGTTGACTATGGCTTTAAGCTATATCACTGCCATCTAGTGGTCACAATAGATGCGTGACACAATATTTGGTTGTGGACTCCAGTACTGCAGGTGGTGGTAAATCACCAATATTAGCTTTACACTTTTTTCAAACACAAAATAAGAAAAATGACTTCTTCAAAATGGAGACGGACTCAATGGTGCTGCCCATGCCTCCACAGCCCCCATAATGGCACAGATACAAAGATGAGATCTCTATCTATCTCTATGAGCTAGTAGGACACGTCTTAGTTCCTTAAAGGGACAGTAGCGCTCGCTCACATCCCAACCCAGGGAACGAGCCAGGTGTAGGCCTATTGCCTCGAGCGACACTGTACACGCATCCGGCCTGCCGCATCTCGTGCACAGAACTTTACATCATTTGGAAGCCTGCTGTAAATGTTTTGGTACAGCCGTCAGGTACAGTAGCAAAGGGTCAGAGTGCAAGACAAATATTCAGCCTCAACCAGGGACAGGAAAGGAAACCCATCCTTCAAGCTTGTCTGGGGTGTCAAGACTTTTCATCATTCACAAGATCGTTATCCTTCAACAGCAATATCAATAAGGGTTTCATTATGCATTACAAATTAAATAGATAGCCTACTGATCTATCATCATGTTGACAAAAATGATGCATTATCTCTGAGATGCCTCCGCATTTCTTTTGGCCTCAGTTATTGTTTTTCTCTAAGCATGACACAAATCCATTTCTTATCATATCTGTAGTCAGTGTAGTTGCCTTATTATGATGATTGACAGTTTCATGCTGTAATGAAACATGAATCGGATGTCGTCACTCGTCAGTGCTACACAAGAGATACAGACCACACTCCTTTTCCTGTGTGTTTGTGTGTGTGCAAGCGTGCGTCTTTGTGTGTGTGCTCGTCTGCGGGTATGCGTCTCTCTCTCTGTGTGTGTGTGTGTCTGTGTGCGAGTTTGGCTTGTATACGCCTCTGTATATGTGTGTGTGTGTGTGCATGGCATGGATTAGGCCAGCTCTGAAGGTGTAATCTATAAGCAGGGCCTATTACACATTCCTATGCAGGGCAGCAGCAGCCTCAGTAGGCCTAATGGTTGTGAGCACAGCTCTGTGGAGGGAGAGGCCCAGTCATTTGGAGGCCGGTAGTGTGTGTCTGTCTTGTTTCTGTTTGTTTGTGTGTGTCTATGTGTATGTTTCTGTGTGTGTGCGCGCGGCTCAGCCCAGGGTGTGCCAGACGGTAGGCAATGATTAACAGGGGATAGATAAACTTTGCTCAAACTGGTTAAATGCGGGACGGGAGACGAAGGCAGCCATCTCCTGTGTGTGTTTTTTCTGGCCACAGAGTAACCCACCCTAGGGAGGTGTCTGTCAGGGTGACATGGTGACATAAGGGACACACAGTGACTGGTGGTGCCAAGGTGCTTCATGTTGTGGTGGTATTGGCTTAGGTCATCTAGGCCTGATCCTGACCGTTTCTGCATTCAAGCATGCCAAATTGTCAACTTACCAAATAAAACATTGACAAGTTGACTAAGGCAGAAACAGACTGGCACCCAGGCTAGGAGCAGTGGCCCCTTTCGGGCTTCAGCTTGTTTGGGATTTGAGACAGGAGTGGGCCCTGTACTATTACAGGGTTGTAGCACGTAGAGCATGATATTTGAGGCGGAGGGGATTCATTGGTGAGGGTGTCACAACAGGGGGTAAAGAGAGGTGAGGTGACCCTGACTTGGCAGACTGGGGGCATTAGCTGACTTTGGGGTAGCCAGTCACGTGGGTATGAGCTGGGTGGGGAGACAGGGTGGATGGTGTCACAGGGGTATTAGTTTGGAAGGAAGGGAAGAACAGGAGGGTGGGGTTGGGGTGGTGCCATAGGGGTATTAGCTTTGGAGGACAGGAGAGGTGGGGCGATGGTAAGGGGGGTGTAATGCGTGTCACTAGGGCTGGCACAATTACCGTATAGGCCTAACTGTGTAACGGATGGTTATGGCTGAAGACCTTCATGAACATAAAATAACCGTCATAACCGTAAAGGATAATAATTGTGTACAGTGCATTCGGAAAGTATTCAGACCCCTTGACTTTTTCCACATTATGTTACGTTACAGCCATATTTAATTTAATACAAATGTTCCTCATCAATCTACACACAATACCCCATAATGATGAAGCGAAAACAAGTTTTTCCAAAGTTTTGCAAATTTAGTAAAAATAAAAAACAGAAATAAGTATTCAGACCCTTTCCTATGAGACTCGAAATTGAGCTCAGGTGCATCCTGTTACCATTGATCTTCCATGAGATGTTTCTACAACTTGATTGGAGTCCACTTGTGGTAAATTCAATTGATTGGACATGATTTGGAAAGGCACACACCTGTCTATATAAGGTCCAACAGTTGACAGTGCATGTCAAAAACCCAGCCAAGAGGTCGAAGGAATTGTCTGTAGAGCTCCGAGACAGGATTGTGTCGAGGCACAGATCTGGGGAAGTGTACCAAAAAATGTCTGCAGCATTGAAGGTCCCCAAGAACACAGTGGCCTCCATCATTCTTAAATGGAAGAAGTTTGGAACCACCAAGACTCTTCCTAGAGCAATCGGGGGAGAAGGCCTTGGTCAGGGAGGTAACCAAGAACCCGATGGTTACTCTGACAGAGCTCCAGAGTTCCTCTGTATAGATGGGAGAACCTTCCAGAAGGAAACCATCTCTGCAGCACTCCACCAATCAGGCTATGGTAGAGTGGCCAGACGGAAGCCACTCCTCAGTAAAAGGCACATAACAGCCCGCTTGGAGTTTGCCAAAAGGCAGCTAAAGACTCTCAGACCATGAGAAACAAGATTCTCTAGTCTGATGAAACCAAGTTTGAACTCTTTGGCCTGAATGCCAAGCGTCATGTCTGGAGGAAACCTGGTGCCATCCCTACGGTGAAGCATGGTGGTGGCAGCATCATCATGCTGTGGGGATGTTTTTCAGTGGCAGGGACTGGGAGACTAGTCAGGGTCGAGGGAAAGATGAACGGAGCAAAATACAGAGCGATCCTGATGAAAACTTGCTCCAGAGCGCTCGGGACTTAAGACTGGGGCGAAGGTTCACCTTCCAACAGGACAACAACCCTAAGCACACAGCCAACACAACGCAGTAGTGGCTTCGGGACAAGTCTCTGAATGTCCTTGAGTGGCCCAGCCAGAGCCCGGACTTGAACCCGATCGAACATCTCTGGAGAGACCTGAAAATAGCTGTGCAGCGGCGCACCCCATCCATCATGGCATAGCTTGAGAGGATCTGCAGAGAAGAATGGGAGAAACTCGCCAAATACATGTGTGTCAAGCTTGTAGCGTCATACCCAAGAAGACTCGAGGCTGTATTCACTGCCAAAGGTGCTTCAACAAAGTACTGAGTAAAGGGTCTGAATACTTATGTAAATGTGATATTTCAGTTTTAGATTTTTTATATAATTTAGCTAAAATGTCTAAAAACCTGTGTTTGCTTTGTCATTATGGAGTATTGTGTGTAGATTAATGACAGGGATTTTTTTTTTTCTCATCAATTTTAGAATACGGCTGTAACGTAACAAAATGTGGAAAAAGTCAAGGGATCTAAATACTTTCCGAATGCACTGTAGACGGCAAAAATAAGGCTACATAACCTTTTACCAGCCGCACCGTTTTACACTTCATATGGCCTGCTTAAGGTCTAATGAACGAAAGCCTGAATTCATGTAATAAATAACTGATAATTAACTGAATTATCAAAAACAAATAGTCCTAACTACTTACACTTTGTCCAGGCTGTGGTTTGAATACTTATGTAAATAAGGTATTTCTGTTTTTTATTTTTAATAAATTTGCAAAACTTTCTTGGCAGAATGAGCTCTAGTTTGTATGAACATCTTTTTAAAAACCATCAACAAAAAAATTCATTTTTTAATGATAAAGGAAATATATATTATATATACAATATACAGCTCTGGAAAAAATTAAGAGATCACTGCAAATTGTTCTTAAATCTGCATCTCTACATGTATGACAGCCATTCCATTCCAGTGTCTGTTGAATTCCAACACAGGCACACCACATTCTACTGAATTAGGTACTGATTAGGTGATCATCTGAACCAAATCTTATTTAACGAGGAAAAGTATAAAAACCACTGCTGTGGTCATCACTTTCCTCTTGCAATAGGACCAGCTGGATGGCAAAAACAGTGCTAATAGTACCTCAAAAGTAATATTAATCAAAAAATAACTAGTGACCATGCCAAAAGAGTTGAAAAGGAAAGTTTTGAGTGAGGAAAAGAAGGGTTAAATTCTGGCTTTACTGGCAGAGGGATACAGTGAGCGTCAGGTTGCTTCCATCCTTAAAATTTCAAAGACGGCGGTTCATAAGAACAAGGTCAAGCAGCAGATATTGGGGACAGCAAAGCTACAGACCGGCAGAGGGCGAAAACGACTCTCTACTGACCGGGATGACCGCCAACTAATTTGAATGTCACTCAACAACCGTAGGATGACATCAAGTGACCTACAAAAAGAATGGCAAACGGCAGCTGGGGTGAAGTGCACGGCGAGGACGGTTCGAAACAGGCTCCTAGGGGCTGGGCTGAAGTTGTGCAAAGCTAGAAAAAAAACCTTCATCAATGAGAAGCAAAGAAGAGCCAGGCTGAGGTTTGCATAAGACCATAAGGATTGGACCGTAGAGGACTGGAGTAAGGTCATCTTCTCTGATGAGTCCAATTTTCAGCTTTGCCCCAACACCTGGTCGTCTAATGGTTAGACGGAGACCTGGAGAGGCCTACAAGCCACAGTGTCTCGCACTCACTGTGACATTTGGTGGAGGATCGGTGATGATCTGGGGGTGCTTCAACAAGGCTGGAATCGGGCAGATTTGTCTTTGTGAAGGACGCATGAATCAAGCCACGTACAAGGTTGTCCTGGAAGAAAACGTGCTTCCTTTTGCTCTGACATTGGTCCCCAACTCTGAGGAATGGTTTTTCCAGCAGGACAATGCGCCATGCCACACAGCCAGGTCAGTCACGGTGTGGATGGAGGACCACCAGATCAAGACCCTGTCATGGCCATCCTAATCTCCAGACCTGAACCCCATTGAAAACTTCTGGAATGTGATCAAGAGGAAGATGGATGGTCACAAGCCATCAAACAAAGCCGAGCTGCTTGAATTTTTGCGCCAGGAGTGGCATAATGTCACCCAACATCAATGTGAAAGACTGGTGGAGTATGGAGGACTAAAAGTGCCACAATTAAATAAATAAATACACCATTAAATAATTACTTAAATGTGTCATTAATTAATTCAAATTAGAATTAAATACATAAATGTGTAATTAAATGTATCATTAATTAATTCAAATACCGATTCATTTTATGTAAAATACATATATAATTATTTCACTATTTACATTTACATTTCATGATCCTGCATTGCAGTGATTCATGAATTACTTAAAACTGTCAAACTGACCCATCAAAGTCAGTGGGCGGGGCTAACGCGAATCTAGTCTGATCCATTGCTTTGGTCTGAAGTAGAGTAGGCCAACCTGGATAGAGACAATGGAGGATCTCCGTGAACTTTCCAGGGAGTTGGTTAGAGACATTTTAAACTTAGCAGAGGATGTAGAAGCAGGACCTGCTGACATTATCCGGAATTGATTTGTCTTGGCTTGATGCAGCGGGTAACCAATCAGGCGTTAGGTTCCGCCTACCAACTTTTGATGGGTCAGTTTGACAGTTTTAAGTAATTCAGGAAGCACTCCAACGCAGGACCATGAAATGTAAATGTAAATAGTGAAATTATTATATATGTATTTTACATAAAATGAATCGGTATTTGAATTAATTAATGACACATTTAAGTAATTATTTAATGGTGTATTTATTTATTTAATTGTGGCACTTTTAGTCCTCCATAGTGGAGAGCATGCCAAGACGCATGAAAGCTGTGATTGAAAATCAGGGTTATTCCACCAAATATTAATTTCTGAACTCTTCCTAAGTTAAAACATTAGTATTGTGTTGTTTAAAAATAATAATAATAATAAATAATATGCCATTTAGCAGACGCTTTTATCCAAAGCGACTTACAGTCATGCGTGCATACATTTTTTTGTATGGGTGGTCCCGGGGATCGAACCCACTACCTTGGCGTTACAAGCACCGTGCTCTACCAGCTGAGCTACAGAGGACCACCCTGTGGAAAAATGAACATGAACTTATTTTCTTTGCATTATTCGAGGTCTGACAACACTGCATCTTTTTTGTTATTTTGACCAGTTGTCATTTTCTGCAAATAAATGCTCTAAATGACAATATTTTTGTTTGGAATTTGGGAGAAATGTTGTCAGTAGTTTATAGAATAAAACAAAAATGTTAATTTCACCCAAACACATACCTATAAATAGTAAAACCAGAGAAATGTATATTTTTGCAGTGGTCTCTTAATTATTTCCAGAGCGGTATGTTATCTATGTAGTTTCTATATTTGTGATTTTTTTTTTGGCAACCGCCAACCACAGGAGGAGCCCACTCTCAATGAGTGTATTTATTTAACCATTATTTAACTAGGCAAGTCAGTTAAGAACAAATTCTTATTTACAATGACGGCTTACTTGTAAAGCCCCTGCGGCCAAACCCTCCCCTAACCCGGACGATGCTGAGACTATCCAGAGCGACTTACAGGAGCAATTAGGGTTAAGTTCCTTGCTTAAGGGCACATCGACAGATTTTTCACCTAGTTGGCTCGGGGATTAGAACCAGCGACCTTTAGTTTACTGGCACAACGCTCTTACCCACTAAGCTTACTGAGTCCGCTCTCAATTAGTGTATTTATTTAACCATTATTTCACTAATAAAAAATTAAACTGCATAATACACTGAACAAAAATATAAATGCAACATGCAACAATTTCAAAGACTTTACTGAGTTACAGTTCATATAAGGAAATCAGTCAATTGAAATAAATTAATTATGCCCTAATTTATGGATTTCACATTACTGGGAATACAGATATGCATCTGTTGGTCACAGATACCTGAAAAAAAAGTAGCAGCGTGGATCAGAAAACCAGTCAGTATCTGGTGTGACCACCATTTGCCTCATGCAGCGCAACACATCTCCTTCGCATAGAGTTGATCCGGCTGTTGATTGTGGCCTGTGGAATGTTGTCCCACTCCTCTTCAATGGTTGTGCAAAGTTTCTGGATATTGGCGGGAATTGCAACATGCTGTTGTACACATCGATTCAGAGCATCCCAAACATGCTCAATGGGTGACATGTCTGGTGAGTATGCAGGCTATGGAAGAACTGGGACATTTTCAACTTCCAGGAATTGTGTACAGATCCTTGCGACATGGGGCCGTGCATTATCATGCTGAAACATGAGGTGATGGATGAATGGCACGACAATTGGCCTCAGGATCTCGTTACGGTATCTGTGCATTCAAATTGCCTAGATAAAATGCAATTGTGTTCGTTTTTCGTAGCTAATGCCTGCCTGTACCATAACCCCACTGCCACCATGGGGCACTCTGTTCACAACGTTGGCATCAGCAAACCTATTGCCCACACGATGCCATACAGGCTGTCTGCCATCTGCCCAGTACAGTTGAAACCGGGATTCATTCGTGAAGTGCACACTTCTCCAGCGTGCCAGTGGCCATCGAAGGTGAGCATTTGCCCACTGAAGTCGGTTATGATGCCGAACTGCAGTCAGATGAAGACCCTGGTGAGGACGACAAGTTTCTGACAGTTTGTGCAGAAATTCTTCGGTTTTTCAAACCCACAGTGGGTCATCAGCTGTCCGAGTGGCTGGTGTCAGACGATCCCGCAGGTGAAGAAGCTGGATGTGGAGGTCCTGGCTGGCGTGGTCTGCGGTTGTGAGGCCGGTTGGACATACTGCCAAATTCTCTAAAACAATGTTGCAGGTGGCTTATGGTAGAGAAATTAACATTACATTCTCTGGCAATAGCTCTGGTGGACATTCCTGCAGTCAGCATGCCAATTGCATTGTATTGTGTGACAAAACTGCACATTTTATAGTTGCCTTTTATTGCCCCCAGCACAAGGTGCACCTGTGTAATGATCAAGCTGTTTAATCAGCTTCTTGATATGCCACACCTGTCAGGTGGATGGATTATCTTGGCAAAGAAGAAATGCTCACTAACAGGGATGTAAACACATTTTTTTAAAATAACTCTGGATTTAAGTTTTATCACAAGCACATACAGGTATCTGCCAAAATAAAGGAAACCCCAACATCAAGTGTCTTAAAAGGGTGTTGGGCCACCACGAGCTTCCAGAACAGCTTGAATATGCCTTGGCATAGATTTTACATGTGGACCTAAACCATGCCAGGAAAATGCACCATAACATAGACTTTGTATATGTGTTACCTTTATTTTGGCAGTTACTGGTATGCCTACAGTCGGGAAGGCTGCAGTTTGGGCAGCATGCCCGTCAAATATACAGCTTGTTGTGTTGTGGCCATTGACATATAGTCCATAGAAGGGTATTGGAACCTCTTACCCTGGCAATGTGATTGTTAAACTCATGGGTACACTAGCAATGGGTGCCTGTCCTGGCTTGAATGGCAACTGCCATCTATAGATTATATTTGTACGGTTGGATTTCAAAATACAATCGTGGGAAAAACGTAGTTTGGAAACCAATAGAAACAATGTTTTCTAATTTTTTTGCAAACAGCAACACTGTTTTTCAAAGTAGCTCATCTGCCATCTAAGTGATCTCTGATTTGTTAATCGAGCCCTGGTTAGCTTAGTAGACCCCCCCCCCCCACCCCGCTCTGGACCAGAATTAGGCTCTCTCTCCACTACCTATTGTTCCTGCAGTGAGGATTCAACATCTTCATCGAATGTTTTCAGAGTTTATCTGGAGATAATCACCAAAAAGCAGTTGTAGCCTACCAGTATGCAAATTAGGTAGCCAAATGAAAGGCTCTTTCACCGATGCGATTCAGTTCCTGATCCGTTCAAAAAGAGCCGTTCGTTCCCGAACAACTCATCACTGATGAGTCACTTTATCGGTCACTGGCAAGTCTCGACATAGGAAAATGCAAACAAGATCTTGGTTTACTTGTCCCGATGCGATACCATGGAGATACTGTATAACTGCATTGTATGATTTATGAATAGCAAAGGGATATAGGAGATTTACTTTATTCAGTCAGTTCAACACTTTTTATAAACTAGTCAACACTTGCTGTTCGGTCGTCAATCAAAGCACAGTAAATAGCCTATGCACCCCGACTCTGTGGCAGGCTATATGAAAGTTGAAACACACAAAAGAAAATGAATGAATGTGCCACAAAACAATTAAGTCAATTAAACTCATCGTAACCACTTACATTACATGGTACATTCACTCACAGGAGTGATGAAGAAGCATCACGCTCTCTCCCGCTTCCGTGAAAAGAAATGTGACTGCAGCCAACCACATCGCACAAAAATAACACAGGTACCGAGAGGCGGGACAGACCGCAGACTGAAAAACCAGCAGTGTTTCCCTGTCATAGCTCGCTTTGTGACTGACAGGCGCCTGTCCTATCAATAGATCACTAGAAGATGCATATCGTTCATTTGAGCAGGAGAAAGCTATGCAGACTTTTAAATGGGGGGGAAAAAAAGCTTGAAGTGGAAAATGTAGCCGGCCGACACTGAGTCTATTATCGGCTGTTTATGCGCTTAGGGAAAACACTGATGATAGGGCTGGGGCTGGGTTATAGGGCCGAGACTGTGAGTAGAAGCAGTCAAGCAGAGGTGCTGTCAGAGACCACAGGCACGCCACCCTCTCCCTCTTATTTCTGCCCCTCCCTCAACCAGCCTCCCCCTGCCCAACATGGAGAGGAGTGGAGGATTGGAGATGTAGAACGAGCTCTGCCTGGAAAATAACTCCCCAACACTCTTGCCTCCTATAACAAGGATCAGCTAGCTGCTATAGCCTAACCCTGCAGCCACCATCTGGGAATGCATACTCCAGTACTCTCTGTCTCTGAGTCTCTGGCTCACTGGGTACATCCCAAATGGCACCCTATTCCCTATATGGTGCACTACTTTTGACCTGAGCCCTATGGGCCCTGCTAAAAATTGGATTTGTCACACGGGGACACATCCTCTGTTGAGGTGTGAAGACGAGCCACAGCTATTCTCTCACCTCTACCTTTCTGTCAGAAGTGTCAGGACTCATATGCGTGTCAACCTGCTCACTGTGACACTGGTTTCAGCTAAAGTAGCTCTTCTCAGAGAAGATGCATTCTTGACTCTGTATGCAGTATGAGGTGGTGTGAGTGGCAGAGTAAATGAGGAAAAGAGAGGGGGACAGAGGAAGGGAGGGAAAGAAAGAGGGAACAGGGAATGTATGGTTCTGTCAGGGTTACACACGCACGCATGCACACACAGACCGAAGTGTGTGTGAAGAGTGGGGTTTGTGTATTCTCATGTCTGATAAGGATAGAGAGGGTACGCTAAGCCCGTCTTTTTATGGTGGACTAACACTCAGTGATAAAACATTAAAGGGTTCAACTCTACTACCACAAGGGCTGCGTCCCAAATTGCCTCCTATTTCCTTTAGTGCACTACTTTTGACCTGAGCCCTATACTACGAATCAGGTTTGAGGAGTTACGGAGGTAACGTTGGTCAACTCTAAATTCAACTCGGGATAAACGGTACTACGAAAGTGGCTCACGAATCCTTCAGAACTAACCTGCTCCGTGGCAGGCTAACTCAGGGCTAACTCCATTTACCCTGAATGAAGTGTCTGAGCTGGGAGTTGAGGTCCAATGAAATCAGATTCCCTCTCTCTCACAAAGATTGCATCATCCCCTTCATTTGAGGAAGATGACTGATTTTATTTAAGTGTTTATTTGTGTGTTAAAAAAAAAAAGAGTAATGTTAAAATGCATATCACATTATGCATTTGATAGGAGTGGGAAAAAAGGTGCTCGTACACACCAAAGACAGCATGACGATGAGTAATACAATAAAGACAGCACTTCTAAAAGTTACAAGCCTGCTAGAGTTAGCGGCTAGCTTTGGAAAACCCTGAGTAGATCTAGCTTCCTTCATAGTATACCCCTCAAGGCCCATATGGGCTCTGGTCAAGAATAGTGCACTAGACTTTTATATAGGGAATAGGGTGCCATTTGGGACAGAACTATCCCTCATCCCTGCTCTGTCTCTCTGTGCTCTGTTAGTGATTATGTGTGCCTGGGGGTCCACTCACCACCTCAGCATCAATACTCATCATGTACTGTTCATTCAGAAAGTGTTCAGACCCCTTGACTTTGTCCACATTTTGTTAGGTTACAGCCTTATTCTAAAATTGATTAAATTGTATTTTTCCCTCATCAATCTACACACAATACCCCATAATGACAAAGCAATTTTTGGAAATGTATTAAAAATAAAAAACGGAAATTACATTTACATAAGTATTCAGATCCTTTACTCAGTACTTTGTTGAAGCACCTTTGGAAGCGATTACAGCCTGGAGTGTTCTTGGGTATGACGCTACAAGCTTGGCACACCTGTATTTGGGGAATTTTTCCCATTCTTCTCTGCAGATCCTCTCAAGCTCTGTCAGGTTGGATGGCGAACGTCGCTGCACAGCTATTTTCAGGTCTCTCCAGAGATGTTCGATCGATTTTAAGTCCAGAGACTTGTCCCGAAGTCACTCCTGCATTGTCTTGTCTGTATGCTTAGGGTCGTTGTCCTGTTGGAAGGTGAACCTTCGCCCCAGTCTGAGGTCCTGAGCGCTCTGGAGCAGGTTTTCATCAAGGATCTCTCTGTACTCTGCTCAGTTCATCTTTCCCTCGATCCTGACTAGTCTCCTAGTCCCTGCAGCTGAAGAACATCCCCACCGCATGATGCTGTCATCACCATGCTTCACCGTAGAGATGGTGCCAGGTTTCCTCCAGAAGTGACGCTTGGCATTCAGGCCAAGGAGTTCAATCTTGGTTTAATCAGAACAGAAAATCTTGTTTGTCATGGTCTGAGAGTCCTTTAGATGCCTTTTGGCAAACTCCAAGCGGGCTGTCATGTGCCTTTTACTGAGGAGTGGCTTCCATCTGGCCACTCTACCATAAAGGCCTGATTGGTGGAGTGCTGCAGAGATGGTTGTCCTTCTGGAAGGTTCTCCCATCTCCACAGAGGAACTCTGGAGATCTGTCAGAGTGACCATCAGGTTCTTGGTCACCTCCCTGACCAAAACCCTTCTCCCCCGATTGCTCAGTTTGGCTGGGCGGCCAGCTCTAGGAAGAGTCTTGGTGGTTCTAAACTTCTTCCATTTAAGAATGATGGAGGCCACTGTGTTCTTGGGGACCTTCAATGCTGCGGAAATGTTTTGGTACCCTTCCCCAGATCTGTGCCTCGACACAATCCTGTCTCGGAGCTCATGGCTTGGTTTTTGCTCTGACATGCACTGTCAGCTGTTGGACCTTAGACAGGTGTGTGCCTTTCCAAATCATGTCCAATCAATTGAATTTACCACAGGTGGACTCCAATCAAGTTGTAGAAACATCTCAAAGAAGATCAATGGAAACAGGATGCACCTGAGCTCAATTTCGATTCTTATAGCAAAGGGTCTGAATACTTATCTAAATAACATATTTCATTATTTTTTTTGCAAAAACAAATCTAAAAACCTGTTTTTGCTTTTTCATTATGGGGTATTGTGTGTAGATTGATGAGGGAATAATTTTTTTAAATCCATAAAATCCAGAACCAAATCAAGAAGCGTTCACGTGATAATTTGGTTCTGGTTTGCTAAGATTAGTCAACAGTGGATGTCTAGATAGAATACATGGTGTATGTTATTTTACTGGAAGCCTGTTTGAAGGTGGTAAGGTGAGGTTATAGCAAGAACACAGCTCATTGTGGCTTTAGTGATGCTCTCCCTCTTATTCACTCTTTTTCTCTCTCTAATTCACTCGTTCTCTCAATTTCAATTCAAAGGGCTTTATTGTCATGGGAAACATATGTTTACATTGACAAAGCAAGTGAAATAGATTATCAAAAATTAACAGTAAACATTAAACTCCAAAGGAATAGAAACATTTCAAATGTCATATGGCTCTCGCTCTCCGTCCTCCTTTGCCCTGAGTGCTCTCCTGAAACGATCCTATTCCTCCAGCGCAGAAACAGAAACAGACTAGCCCAGTTCGGCTCTATCTGGGTCTGTCTGGCATATAGAACCACTGTTCCATGAATCCGGTGTAGTGAAACAGAATGTTTTGTGGGGCCTCTGTAGACCCTGTCCTACGTCTCAGAACTAGGACTGCATCAAAGGGAAGGGTGGCAGCTGAGACACACACTGCAGATGTTATCAGCCGGGGGAAGGTTTACTTAGTGGGAGCCGCTAGTTGGAGGATTCTGAGGAACGTACAGTATCTGGTGTGTGTATGTTATGGGTGTGTGTGGGTCTGGGGGAAAGGAGGAGCGATTGGCTGGGTGAGGGGATGAAGGCAGGCTGCAGGCAGAGGGGAGCTGGGAACTGCGAGGGAGGGAGTCAGTCTGGGTTGGGTTTGGTAGGATAGGAGGGGGCTGCCTGGCTAGCTGGCTGTGTGGTTTCGCTTGGAGAAAAGGAAGTGTGTTTTTTTTTCTGTTGAGAGAGGGATGTAGGCTGTTTGGGAGAGGAGAAGGGGAGAACAGCTCTTGTATCTGAGTGCCTCTGGTAGGTGTGTGTGTGTGTGTGTGTGGTAGGGGAATATTGTCCATGTCTTTCCAGATTAGGGCTGATGTGACGGATTGAACCCCTACCATCGCACCACAATCATTAACCAGCGAAAGAATCCTGTCCCCATAGCAACCCCTGCAGCTCTGCCAAGCGCACAGGGCCAAGCTGAAAAGCGAGAGGAGGAGGAGGAGGTAGGGTGGGAAGGGTGTGTCTGTGTGTGTGTGTGTGTGTGTGTGTGTGTGTGTGTGTGAGGGATTTCCATGGAAAAGGGGCCTTTGGAAATATCTACCAGAAAAAGTCTTAAAAGGAATTAGAAATGCTTTAAAACACTAATGTTGAAGTTAAGATCCCTGCCAACTAATAACATCTTTAAGATATTTTCTAATTTCTCTCGCTAATGAGGAGGAAGGATAATGAAAGTTCACAGAATTAACAAGTAAAGGTAGACCTATCAATTAGTTATAGTGTTTTATCGATATCCATTTTGTTTATGAATTATTAAGTAATTAAAATGATTTTACCAAATTGTACAGTACATAACCGTAGAGTTCAGTACAGTAGAGCATCATTCAGTTCAGTACAGCAGAGTACAATAGAGTACAGTAACGGAAAAATCGCAAAATCGGGTAACGGAATTTCTGCAATTGAAGTTGTCACAAACCACAGTTGATTTCACAAGTTTGTACAGTACAGTAAAGTACATTACAGCACAGTAGAGTACAGTAAATAAAAGATAATTACCGTACAGAAGAGTACAGTAGAGAAAAGTAGAGTATAGTATAGTACACAGAGCACACTAGAGTTGAGTACTCCATAATGTACTGTGGTGTACAGTATTGTAATGAACTCTACTGTACTCTATTGTACTCTGCTGTACTGAACTGAATGATACTCTACTGTACTGTACTGAACTCTACTCTACTGCTATGTACTGTACTCCACTGAGCTCTACTGTGCTGTACTTTGATGTCCAAACTTGTGAAACATAGACATCTATGATTGGTTCAGATTTGGTCCGGTCCGGACCAACCAAATTTGGTCTTGTTTGGGGGCAGAGCTCATTACAATAATAGCCAGTGTGTAGAATAATACCCAAATATGCAAAGGAGGATATTGCATATTTATACCTTTGTGTACCTATTTACGATACATCACCATGAAGACAATGACATTCATATCCATAATTATATATTTTTTGTGTAGTACAGATCAGGGACCCATGATGAAATTCTGTTACCGCAATTCCGTTACCTGGTGTAAATCCACTTCATTTACTGTAGTTCAACAACCAAAATATTTATTTTTCAAAGGGAATGTGTCATGTCACAGCTGTACAGTGCATTCGGAAGGTATTCAGACCCCTTCCCTTTTTCCACATTTTGTTACGTTACAGCCTTATTCTAAAATTGATTAAATGCATTTTATTCCTCATCAATCTACACACCATTCCCCATAATGACAAAGTGAAAAACAGAAATACCTTATTTACATAAGTATTCAGACCCTTTGCTATGAGACTCGAAATTGAGCTCCAGTGCTTCCTGTTTCCATTGATCATACTTGGAGTCCACATGTGGTAAATTCAATTAATTGGACATAATTTGGAAAGGCACACACGTCTAAGGTCACACAGCTGACAGTGCATGTTAGAGAAAGAACCAAGCAATGAGGTCGAAGGAATTGTCCATAGAGCTCCGAGACAGGATTATGTCGAGGCACAGATCTGGGGAAAGGTACCAAAAAATGTCTGCAGCATTGAAGGTCCCCAAGAACACAGTGGCCTCCATCATTCTTAAATGGAAGAAGTTTGGAACCACCAAGACTCTTCCTAGAGCTGGCCACCCAGCCAAACTGAGCAATCGGGGGAGAAGGGCCTTGGTCAGGGAGGTGTCCAAGAACCCAATGGTCACTCTGAAAGAGCTCCAGAGTTCCTCTGTGGAGATGGGAGAACCTTCCAGAAAGACAACCATCACTACAGCACTCCACCAATCAGGCCTTTATTGTAGAGTGGCCAGACGGAAGCCACTCCTCAGTAAAAGGCACATGACAGCTCGCTTGGAGTTTGCCAAAAGGCACCTAAAGACTCTCAGACCATGAGAAACAAGATTATCTGGTCTGATGAAACCAAGATTGAACTCTTTGGCCTGAATGCCAAGCGTCACGTCTGGAGGGAACCTGGCACCATCCCTACGGTGAAGCATGGTGGCAGCATCATGCTGTGGGGATGTTTTTCAGCGGCAGGGACTGGGAGACTAGTCAGGATCGAGGGAAAGATGAACGGCGCAAAATACAGAGCGATCCTTGATGAAAACTTGCTCCAGAGCGCTCAGGACCTCAGACTGGGGCGAAGGTTCACTATCCAACAGGACAACAACCCTAAGCACACAGCCAACACAACGCAAGAGTGGCTTCGGGACAAGCCTCTGGATGTCCTTGAGTGGCCCAGCCAGAGGCCGGACTTGAACCCGATCTAACATCTCTGGAGAGACCTGAAACTAGCTGTGCAGCGACGCTCCCCATCTTACCTGATGGAGCTTGAGAGGATCTGCGGAGAAGAATGGGAGAAACTCCCCAAATACAGGTGTGCCAAGCTTGTAGCGTCATACCCAAGAAGACTTGAGTCTGTAATTGCTGCCAAAGGTGCTTCAACAAGGTGCTGGTTTTGCTTGGTCATTATGGGGCATTGTGTGTAGATTGATACATTTATGTTAAATAGTGAACCTGGCCTACCTCTTTCAGTCTGCAGTACAGATGAGCTCTCTTTTGCAGTCACTAGGCCAAACTCCTTCCTTGCTGTGTCTAATGTGGTGTCAATCAGCCATAAATTGCATCCCAAATGGCACCCTATTCCCTATTCCTATTTATTTAACTAAGCAAGTCAGTTAAGAACAAATTCTTATTTACAATGACGGCCTACACCGGCCAAACCCGGACGACGCTGGGCCAATTGTGCGCCGCCCTATGGGACTCCCAATCACGGCCGGTTGTGATACAGGCTGAAATCGAACCAGGGGGTCTGTAGTGACGCCTCAAGCACTGAGATGCAGTGCCTTAGACCGCTGCGCCACTCGGGAGCCTGATATAGTTCACTACTTTCAACCAGAACCCTATGGGCACTACATAGGGAAAAGGGTGCCATTTCGGATACAAACTGGCTGTGGGACTGTCTTCTGGGTGTTGAGAGAGAAAACATCCCCCTAGATAAACATTGCTACCAGGGAACAAGCTATTTTATAGTTCTGAGAACCGTTTGCCTCTCTCTCTCTCTCTCTCTCTCTTTCCCTCTCTCCTTCTCTCTCTCTCCTTCTCTCTCTCTTTCTCTTTCTGAGTGTGCGGGTGAGTCGGTTAGGAACAGTTTGGGAGGCAGGCAGGCAGATTGGAATTCAAACTCCAATTTATTGGATGCGAATGTCCACTTCAAATGGATCCCAATCCCAGTTAGTGTTTTATTTGGGGTGGGCATGTGTGCGTTTCTGTCTATGTGGACAAGAGTGTACTGTGCACAGTGTGCAGTGCCTCTTTAGGGCGTGTCGGAAGTGGTGGCCAGCCTTGCGTCAGCAGGGTGTAGTAAGATAAGACCCAGCCTCTCCACTCCTCTCCTCCCTTCTCCTCTCCTGCTGTGAGCTTCATTGCCAACCAGAAGGGAGACACTCCCAGGCGTTTGTGTGTGTGTGTGTGTGTGTGTACACAGACTCCTCTGTTTTTTTGACTAAGCCTGCTAAAGCCTTAAAGCAATTAAATAGTAGTGTTTGTGTCTCTCTTTTGGTATCTGTGTGACAAAGTCAATAAATGCCTTTTTGAGGGTACAGAGAAAGAACACACTTGTTGGTGTTCACAACGCCCTCTGATAAAGTACTATATACTTTTATTTAGTTCCCCTTTAAACCACAACGTTTCTCTCCCTTCCCACTTTCCTTTATCTCTCCCTCTTCCTCATAGACAAAAACACAATAACAGGTCAGACAGTGTGACAACATGTTGCATAACCCAAAGCAGTTCAACTTTGACCCCAGCCTGTCAGTGAACACCACTCCTTAGCTTCTCTGCTCCTCCTCATCCTGGGAGAGAGGTGGATAGTAACCCAGTCTTAACCCCTGACTTAAGCCTTAGCCTACCTCAGTACCCAGCTTCATTCTCAGTTTCAGAACCTATCCTAAGCCCCAGCCCTAGCCCTATACCCCAGCTCCAGCACCAAGTTTCAGCTTTAGCCCCAAATACCAAGCTTCTTCCTCAGGCCTCAGCTCTCCAGGTAGGTTTCAGGGGGGTGAATGGAAGATATGTAAGGAGCACCCAGGCTGGGTTAGAGCTCTCAGGCACTGCCTTTACCTTTTTTAAGGGAAACTGCACCCGCTGATTTGGCCTAGTTTTTTGTCTTGCTCCTCAAGAAAAGTTGCCGGCCATGACAGAAGCCAAATGTGAGTTGGCTTTGGGGTGTGTGGTTTGATGTGGGTGTTTCTTGAGTGTGTCCTTGCCACCACCAAGACACTTCCATCTGTCAGAACCTTGCTGCAGCTGTTTCCCCCCACTCAATCACAACAAACAAACCTCCTGCAGGTTGAGTTCAAAATCTACAGGCAGATGTACAGCGCCTTCTGAAAGTTTTCACACTTCACCCTTTACTTTTTCCACATTTTGTTGTGTTACAGCCTGAAATTAAAATGGATTAAATAGAGATTTTTGTCACTGGCCTACACACAATACCCCATAATGCCAAAGTGAAAATCAATTTCATCCATTTTGAATTCATGCTGTAATGCAACAATGTAGAATAAGTCAAGGGGTATGAATACTTTCTGAAGGCACTGTATGGTGAGATGCCAGAGGAAGCTTTTATTTATTCAGGGAAAACCCATTGAGATCAGGGTCTTATTCACAAGGGTGCCATGATCACAGCAACACAACAATCAAACACAATATGAAACAAAACAGCAATCAAATAACCGCAAATGACCTTTGAATAGGTCAGTAGCCTACAGAGTAATATGAGAAGAATGCAATTGCTGAATTTATGTAGATATTCTAAAACTGTGTTTTGATAACTTTCAAATGTAGTAACAGGTCCATGTAGAATTTAAAGACCCTTTACATAATACCATTGAAGCAGTGTTCTGATAATATAACAATGTTCACCTTTTCATCTTTCATTGTCAATCCCAGCCGATACCGATACTGTGCCTATCAGCATTTTGTGTGGTGGTAATGTTGCTACCTTGGCAAACGTGTCAGAGTGGTCATACCTTCCTGTGTGGTGTCCTGTATACAACAGGAGTTCCCTGATCCTGGTGCAGAATACACAGGGTTTCTCCCTCCCCATATTGACTGATAACATTCAATTGAATAATAAAAAAGATAATAAAAGTAAAATGTTAATGCCGAGTGCCAGGTCATTCTCCATTTAGAGACATCAGTATCAAGTCCGTCTGTGAGTCTGGACTTCATCACATCTTGCAAGTCTCCATGTGCTGGCTCCACACATGTTTCTGTGAACACATACACACATAGTCGCTGTTCTATTACCAATGGCAGTTAGGATAGGTAATATCTGACACACAAACAGGTACTAATGTTGAAGTTTGAACACGTCAGACTGAACCTACCTAATTCTGGTCTCCACATCAAACAACTGAGGCTGCTGTCTGGCAAAATAATCACCAGCACTGGAGGTTGGTGGTGTCTTAATTGGGGAGAACGGGCTCGTGGTAATGATTGGAGCGGAATCTGTGGAATGGTATCAAATACGTCAAACAAATGGTTTCCAGGTGTTTTGATGCCATTCCTTTTGCTCCGTTCCGGCCATTATTATGAGCCATTCTCCCCCCAGCAGCCTCCACTGACTCCAGTCCATCTGTAGAAATACTGTAGGCAGAGTTGAGGCGGAGTTCATCAGTGACACATGGAATGAAAAGGTGTTGCTATTACCTGACATTTGTGCTTACTGTATTATTAGCAATCACCTCATTGTGGATGTGTTGAGTGCAGATTCTCTCTGCATCTCATGCATTTGTGAACACATACACACAGTCACTATTCTATTACCAATGGCAGTTAGGGATTGGTGATATCTGACACACAAACAGGTACTATGTTGAAGTTTGAACAGGTCAGACTAAACCTACCTAATTCTGTTCTCCCCATCAACGACCGTTGGCGAGCAGGCAAGAGGTGAGGTCTTTGCCAGAGCCCCATTGATGGGCATAGCAGCGTAGATCAGCTCCTGGCCCTCAACAAAGATACTGTCTGTCACACACACACAGCACTGATGACATTATCAATGGTGGTTATGATTAGCCTGGCGGAACCAACCTGTGTTCACCTTTCTGTTTCACTTCAGATATTATAAAATGTGAAGTGAAATAGAATGGTGAACCCAGCGATCAGGCTGGTTCCACCAGGCTAGGTTATGCCCTGGACATTATATGCATCTATGAAATAGAAAATAAGCAACAAATAATGGCAGTTTACATAAATTACATAAATGAAGTGGGTTACATTCTGTACTGTGAAAGCTGTTGCCGCTGACAGGTGAAGATTGCTGGCCGGATACTTACCATAATGTGGCTGACTGCTCCATTCATAGCTCCATTCATGATGCTGATGAGGGCCCCCTTGCTGGTCTTCTCTATGCTACATGTTCGGCTGCAAACTGGACATCGCTTGAACTGCAGCAGGCAATCTTATGAGGTGGTGTTGACTGGGAGGGCCTGTGACAGTGTTATATAATAGACAGCCAAGTGGTAAGTTGCATTTTGTTGTAAAGAAAGGACAAAGCTTTTTGCTAGTGCACTCTACTAGTTGTATCTGCTTGGCTGGGGAATTAGCCTACTAGTTTATTATGCCAGGGATTTTTCAATACAACTTAACACATAACACACATTACCTGTCGTTGTTGATAAAGCCGTCTGTGTCATCAGGGTAGTAACTCGGTTCGCTATCAGAGGCCTCATGATGGCGTGTCCTTTTCATAGGTGTCGAGGGAGACTGGCAACAACGGAGAAGGTGTCTCAAGGGTACTTGTGTCGCATGACACACTTTTATTCTGAGGTCTTGCCTGTCAAGCTGTGGAAATAGCAAGTGAACAGTGAATGAAATTAATTTTTGGAGGTCCCTAAACCATTGCAATCACATTGCTGGACAGGTTATGATACCCACCTTTGCTCCTTCTGGTAAGTCCCGGCATCCATTCATGACAAGGGAATCAGTCTGGCACCCAACTGGGCACTTTGTCTAAAAGTAAAACAGGGTCAACGATTGTCATCATCCCTCAATTATAAACACTGCTCGAGAAAATAACGTAATCTCGTTTGGAAGCTAATTCTATGCTTTACAGATGTTGACTGACTGGCTTCAGATTGGATTAGATTCAGGGCGGTGACGCCATTACACTATGCAACCAACTGTGACATGTTTTGCTATGGTCCTGGGTTGGTTTTGAGTTCGTTGCTGCTAGTTAGTACACTGTTGTAGTCAGACATGAGTTAGCTAGTACCACCATAGCTGCATCTAATATTTATTTGTGCCCTAGACATGGGTTGCACCTCGGAGACTATTGTGACTGTTTAGTCTAAATTACACCAATTTAGAGTGCCATGGAAATACGATGACATTGGTAAAGTAGGCAAATAATTAGTAGGAAACAACTTTGCCTTATTATGATGTTGTAAAATTAACTTTAGAGAGATGGCAATGTTGCAATTACTGTAACTAGCAAAGTTAGTCAAAAATAGCTAGCAATGCTAATGTTAGCAAGGTCAAATACAGTGGTCCCCTCAATCTTAGTTATCTGGCTGAAGTTATACTGCATCTAAAGTCAATCTGGCGACATCACAATCATGCCAAAAGGTTTTACTGCTAATTATTTGCTGTCTTTTGAAATGTTATCGTGTTTCCAAGCCAAATCCGAGTTGTATTGAGGTAGGCTAACGTTAGCCAGCGATCTAATTAGGTAGGACAAAATCCAACCACCGATTCCGCAAGATAGGGACCTTCGGCAGGGCATGCAAACCATATTTGGTCAATCCGTATAGCTAGGGCTTTTCAGTCTCAAACAGCCGTGACTTTTGAATGCGCTGGGGGCAATGAAACAATTCAAAGAAGGGAAGCGAAGTGGGTGGAGGGGTGATTTGCACATGGAGCTTTTCAAAAGGGGGCATGATTTGTTGACATAATTGTATAATCTAAACCCAACCTTCATTTACTCGTTGTGACGCACTGAGGTTCCAAACTCCGTTTTACACGCGACTGACTTCATGACCAAAATGATCAATTTTACACTTTGTAGGCAATTTTGACACTAGAATAAACGTTTCTGTATCATATCGATACCACATAGGCCGTTTTTAAAAGGGATTAGTTGGTTTTAGGGGCAGTCGCTCTTTAAGAACCACTGCCAAAGCCAGGCAAAGCCAGGGGGACAGAGTGAGAGAGAGAGAGGGGAACAGCGAGGGTGGGAGCGGGAGAGGGAGTGACGGAGGGAGGCAGAGAGGAGGATACACATGTAAGGTCACAGCTGTGTGAGGTTGGCTTGAGGGGTGGGGATGGGGGAGCAGAGAGGGAGAGAGAGAGAAAGAAGCTAGTGACACACAGCGGAGGAGGCAGTCAGTGACGCAGTGGTGCTCTCTTTCTGTCCTGTCCCCTTGCTCTCTCCTTCTTGCTGCCCAGACAGTCTCTCGCTCTCTGTGTGTGTGTGTGTGAGAGAGAGTGCAGTGGAACTCCCACCCACCACCCTCTCTCTCTCTCTCTCTCTCTCTCTCTCGCTCTGTGCCAGTGCAGTGGAACGCTCTCTTTCTTTCCCTCTCTCTCTCCCCTTCTGTCTCTCTGTGTGTTAGTGCCATATGCAGGACAGGGGCAGGGAGGGAACAAGGGAGGGATGGCGTTGGCTGGTACAGAACACTATGTGCCCCAGGGCACGGCAACAAGCTTCAGGGATAGGCTGCCCTTACAACACACACACTGCCCTGACATACAAAATGAAAATGTAGATGGTGCCTTCAGAAAGTATTCATACCCCTTGACTTATTCCACATTTTGTTGTTACAGCCTGAATTCAAAATGGATTACATTCTTTTTTTTCTCTCACCCATCTACACACTATACCCCGTAATGACAAAGTGAAAACATGTTTTTATAAATTATCTGCACATCTATAAAAAATGAAATGCAGAAATATCTCATTTGCATAAGTATTCACACCTCTGAGTCAATACATGTTAGAATTAACTTTGGCACCGATTACAGCTGTGAGTCTTTCTGGGTAAGTCTCCTAAGAGCTTTGCACACCTGGATTGTAAAATATTTGCACATTATTATTTAAAAAAATGTTCAAGCTCTGTCAAATTGATTATTGCTCATTGCTAGAAAGCCATTTTCAAGTCTTGCCATATATTTTCGAGACGATTTAAGTCAAAACTGTAACTAGGCCACTCAGGAACATTCAGTGTCGTCTTTGTAAGCAACTCCAGTGTATATTTGGCCTTCTGTTTTAGGTTAATTTCCGGATGAAAGGTGAATTTGTCTCCCATTGTCTGTTGGAAAGCAGACTAAACCATGTTTTCCTTGGGGATTTTGCCTGTGCTTAGCTCTATTCCGTTTACAAAAACCCTTGTCCTTGCCAATGACAAGCACACCCATAACATGATGCAGACACCACCATGCTTGAAGAGTGGTACTCAGTGATGTGTTGAATTTGCCCCAAACATAATGCTTTGTATTCAGGACATAAAGTTCATTTCTTTGCGTTTGCAGTTTTACTTTAGTGCCTTGTTGCAAACAGATGCATGTTTTGTAATATTTTATTCTGTACAGGCTTCCTTCTTTTCACTCTGTCATTTAGGTTAGTGTTGTGGAGTAACTACAATGTTGTTGATCCATCCTCAGTGTTCTCCTATCACAGCCATTCAACTCTCTGTTTTAATGTCACCATTGGCCTCTTGGTGAAGTCCCTTAGCAGTTTCTGTCCTCTCTCGGCAACTGGGTTAGAAAGGACGCCTCTATCTTTATAGTGACTGGTGTATTGATACACCTTCCACAGTGTAATTAATAACTTCACCATGCTCAAAGGGATATTCAATGTCTGCTTTTTTATGTTTTATTTTGTATCTATCAATATGTGCCCTTTTTTGCGAGGCATTCGAAAACTTCCCTGGTCTTGGTGGTTGAATCTGTGTTTGAAATTCACTCCTCGACTGAGGGACCTTACAGGTAATTGTATGTGTGGGGTACAGAGATGAGGAAATCATTCAGAAATTATGTTAAACACTATTACTGCACACATACTGAGTCCATGCAACTTATTATGTGACTTGTTAAGCACATTTTTACTTCCAGAACTTACAGTTGAAGTCGGAAGTTTACATACACCTTAGCCAAATACATTTAAACAGTTTTTCACAATTCATGACATTTAATCCTAGTAAAAATTCCCTGTTTTAGGTCAGTTAGGATCACCACTTTATTTTAAGAATGTGAAATGTCAGAATAATAGAAGAGAGAATGATTTATTTAAGCTTTCATCACATTCCCAGTGGGTCAGAAGTTTACATACACTCAATTAGTATTTTGTAGCATTGCCTTTAAATTGTTTAACTTGGGTCAAATGTTCCGGGTAGCCTTCCACAAGCTTCCCACAATAAGTTGGGTGGATTTTGGCCCATTCCTCCTGACAGAGCTGGTGTAACTGAGTCAGGTTTGTAGGCCTCCTTGCTCGCACACACTTTTTCAGTTCTGCCCACACATTTTCTATAGGATTGAGGTCAGGGCTTTGTGATGGCCACTCCAATAACTTGACTATGTTGTCCTTAAGCCATTTTGCCACAACTTTGGAAGTATGCTTGGGGTCATTGTCCATTTGGAAAACGCATTTGCGGCCATGCTTTAACTTCCTGACGGATGTCTTGAGATGTTGCTTCAATATATCCACATCATTTTCCTTCCTCATGATGCCATCTATTTTGTGAAGTGCACCAGTCCCTCCTGCAGCAAAGCACCCCCACAGCATGATGCTGCCACCCCCGCGCTTCACGGTTGGGATGGTGTTCTTCGGCTTGCAAGCACCCCCCTTTTTCCTACAAACATAACGATGATCATTATGGCCAAACAGTTATTTTTTTTGTTTCAGCAGACCAGAGGACATTTCTCCAAAATGTACGATCTTTGTCCCCATGTGCAGTTGCAAACCGTAGTCTGGCTTTTTTTATGGCGGTTTTGGAGCAGTGGCTTCTTCCTTGCTGAGCGGCCTTTCAGGTTATGTCGATATAGGACTCGTTTTACTGTGGATATAGATACTTTTGTACCTGTTTCCTCCAGCATCTACACAGGGTCCTTTGCTGTTGTTCTGGGATTGATTTGCACTTTTCACACCAAAGTACGTTCATCTCTTGGAGACAGAACGCGTCTCCTTCCTGAGCGGTATGACGGCTGCTATATATATTTTTTATATTTGAGATTCTTCAAATAGCCACCCTTTGCCTTGATGACAGGTTTGCACACTCTTGGCATTCTCTCAACCAGCTTCACCTGGAATGCTTTTCCAACAGAAGGAGTTCCCACATATGCGGAGCACTTGTTGGCTGCTTTTCCTTCACTCTGCGGTCCGACTCATCCAAAACCATCTCAATTTGGTTGAGGTCGAGGGATTGTGGAGGCCAGGTCATCTGGTGCAGCACTCCATCACTCTCCTTCTTGGTAAAATAGCCCTTACACAGCCTGGAGGTGTGTTTTGGATCATTGTCCTGTTGAAAAACAAATTATAGTCCCACTAATCCCATTCCAGATGGGATGGCGTATCGCTGCAGAATGCTGTGGTAGCCATGCTGGTTAAGTGTGCCTTGAATTCTAAATAAATCCCAGACAGTGTCACCAGTAAAGCACCCCCACACCATATCACCTCCTCCTCCATGCTTTACGGTGGGAACCACACATGTGGAGATCATCCGTTCACCCACACCGCGTCTCACAAAGACAAGGCGGTTGGAAGCAAAAATCTCTAGTTTGGACTCCAGACCAAAGGACAGATTTCCACCGGTCTAATGTCCATTGCTCGTGTTTCTTGGCCCAAGCAAGTCTCTTCTTATTGGTGTCCTTTAGTAGTGGTTTCTTTGAAGCAATTCGACCATGAAGGCCTGATTCACACAGTCTCCTCTGAACAGTTGATGTTGAGATGTGTCTGTTACTTGAACTATGTGAAGCATTTATTTGGGCTGCAATTTCTAAAACGGGTAACTCTAATGAACTTATCCTCTGCAGTAGAGGTAACTCTGGGTCTTCCATTCCTGTGGCGGTCCTCATTAGAGCCAGTTTCATCATAGCACTTGATGGTTTTTGCGAAATGTTCCGTATTGACTGACCTTCATGTCTTAAAGTAATGATGAACTGTCGTTTCTCTTTGCTTATTTGAGCTGTTCTTGACATAAAATGGGCTTGGTCTTTACCAAATAGTGCTATCTTCTGTATACCCCCCCAACCTTGTCACAACACAACTGATTGGCTCAAACACATTAAGAAGGAAAGAGATTCCACAAATTAACTTTTAAGAAGGCACACCTGTTAATTGAAATGCATTCCAGGTGACTACCTCATGAAGCTGGTTGAGAGAATGCCAAGAGTGTGCACAGCTGTCATCAAGGCAAAGGTTGGCTATTTGAAGAATCACAAATATAAAATATATTTGGATTTGTTTAACACTTTTTTGGTTACTACATGATTCCATATGTTTTGATGTCTTCACTATTATTCTACAATGTAAAAAATTGTAAAAATAAAGAAAAACCTTGAATGAGTAGGTGTTCTAAAACTTTTGACCGGTAGTGTAAATGGGCATGCAGACACACACCCACACAGACACACTCATGTTAAACACTACATGCACACACAGATACAGAGACACATGATCCTCAGTAAACAGATGACGGTTTAACACGCTCAAACACACACACACACTTCTATATTAAACAAAAATAGAAACACAACATAGAACATTTTCAAAGATTTTACTGAGTTACAGTTCATATAAGAAATCCGTCAATTGAAATAAATTAATTAGACCCTAATCTATGGATTTCACATGACTGGGATTACAGATATGCATCTGTTGGTCACAGATACCTTAAAGAAAAGGTAGGGGCGTGGATCGGAGAACCAGTCAATATCTGGTATGACCACCATTTGCCTCATGCAACGCGACACATCTCCTTCGCATAGAGTTGATCAGGCTGTTGATTGTGGCCTGTGGAATGTTGTCCCACTCCTCTTCAATGGCTGTGCAAAGTTGCTGGATATTGGTGGGAACTGGAACACGCTCTCGTACACGTCGATCCAGAGCATCCCAAACATGCTCAATGGGTGACATGTCTGGTGAATATGCAGGCCATGGAAGAACTGGGAAATGTTCAGCTTCCAGGAATTGTGTACAGATCCTTGCGACATGGGGCCGTGCATTATCATGCTGAAACTTGAGATGATGGCAGCGGATGAATGGCACGACAATGGGCCTCAGGATCTCGTCACGGTATTTCTGTGCATTCAAATTGCCATTGATAAAATGCAATTGTGTTCGTTGTCCATAGCTAATGCCTGCCCTTACCATAACCCCATCGCCACCATGGGGCACTCTCTTCACAACGTTGACATCAACAAACCGCTCACCCACACGACACTATACAAGTGGTCTGCGGTTGTGAGGCCGGTTGGACGTACTGCCAAATTTTCTAAAACGACTATGCTTATGGTAGAGAAATGTACATTCCATTTTCTGGCAACAGCTCCGGTGGACATTCCTGCAGTCAGCATGACAATTGCACGCTCCCTCAACTTGAGACATCTGTGGCATTGTGTTGTTGACAAAACTTCACATTTTAGAGTGGCCTTTTATTGTCCCCAGCACAAGGTGCACCTGTGTAATGATCATGCTGTTTAATTAGCCATGGCTGGAACATGGACATGGGCTGGGACTAGGGCAGGGGCTGGCTGGAGCAATAGGTAGGAGGCTGATGCAATTGGTAGGGGGCTGGCTGAGTCTGGGGCAATGTGTAGCGTTTGGCTGGGTAGGGGCTGGCTGGGCTGGGGCAATTGGTAGTTGGCTGGGGGAGTTGATACATATAGTACAGGGTGGTGGATAGAGGGGGATCTGGGGAGGTCCATATTATCCATAGGAAGAGAGGGAGGGCTCAGACACAGCAATACTGGTTGCTAGAGTACTTAGCACCTCAATGTAATTTGTAAACAGAGTGCGCACCGATTTTTACATGTAGAATTGCGTGAAAAATACCAGCAGTCAGACGTCCTACAGCGTGTGGTCCCTGAAACACAGCATGCTGAATGACCGGCAGACAAACGCTAAGTCCACATTTGGTGCGATGTGTGTGAGCCTGTACAGTCAGTCTAAAAGATGTTGTTAGGAAGCCTAAGTAATAAGCCTGCACGCATCAAACACACACACACACGTGACACCAGTAGAGGCTGTTGAAGGGAGGATGGCTCATGATAATGGCTGGAACGGAGCCTATGGAATGGCGTCAAACACATGGAAACCATGTGTTTGATGTATTTGATACCATTCCACTGATTCCGCTCCAGCCATTATCACAAGCCCGTCCTCCCCAATTAAGGTGCCACCAACCTCCTGTGCGTGACACCAAGTTCAGATGATCTGATGTGATCGCATCTGTTTGTAGGTGTGTGCGTACTTGCGTACTTGCGTGCGTGCGTATGTCCTCTCTGTCCTCTCTCCAGTCACACCCCTCCCCCCTTGACGCAGAGTTATAGAGTGGATGCTTTGTTGCCCCACCCCACCTCCCCCCTGCCCCACCCCTTCTCTCCCTCACTCCTTCCCTCCCCCCTTCCCCACCCCCCATGTCAAGCCTCCTGTTACTGAGGCTGCACACCTCGCCGCCCTTCCTTCTGACCCCGCCCCTACTCCACCCCTCTAGAGTGAGAGGGAGAGAGAGAGAGAACAGAGAGGTCTTGAGCTCATGGGCTCCTGACTTTTTCATTAAAAAAAAGAAATATTTATTTTTTTGCAAGGACTTATACAGGATACTACCCTCTACAACAACCTTCACCCCAAATCAAAATTCCAAACCTAAAACCTTTATTTTTGACAGAATTAACTGGAAGGATTCTTACTACCAAGGACTATCCAGAAAATATGTCTAGCAAACCAAATCCTGCAGAACAAGCACAGCAGAGACCTGGAAATACCATCCAACCCAAAACGGAGATAGTAATGTTCAGTCTGAAGCTACTTCTGAAGCCAAAATGTAAAAGACATTACAATAATCTGTAGATACTGTATTTTGTTATATAAAGACTTAAATTAAGGCTACCAATCTACCAAGCTTGCTTGGACAGGACAGATGTCCTGGCTGCAACTACAATTTGCACCGAGGTGTGAAAGCCCTTGAACCCGACAATAGTAGCAGAGAATCACAGCCACCTAAATTCAGAGGCCTCTGAGGCCCCCTGATCCATGGCTTTCCACTGTGCAGAGGTCATCACAGTACAGTACCCATTGGATATAAAAAAATAACACTGCCCGGAATAAGTACAAAAAATAAGCTCCTCAAGGACAAGCCAGAGACACTATTTGCTGACTGTTACAAAGATGGGAACATAAGCAACTTCATTTTCCACACAGACCATCCCATGGCATGGCACAGTGATATAAGAACACACTACCCATCTGTCAAGAGCGGGTGGAAGGGGGGGTAGCTCAGGGTGGAATACTAGACATTGAGGACCCTGGAACAGAAGTGGTACAGGGCAACCTCAAACACTTTTGAGGGATCAAAGAGAGGGCATAGCAGATACAGACCCATAAAACAGACCAGCACAACAACCCGGAGGGCTGAAGGGGGAGATAGACGGCTGTCTGGGAAGAGCTGGCTGCACTCTGGACTGAGGTGAGAGAACGCAGGAGAGAGAGGAACATATGGCCCAGCAACAACACTGAAGGAGGAGGTGAGAAAGCTGTGCGACAGAGAGCAGGCCACTTCCCCAGAGAAGCCAGCAGAACAGCCAACCTCACACCCGGACCACAGTTTCAACACCACAGTGGGACGTACAACACAGGACCCACCAACCCAGCAGACCCCAACCCCTCTTATCGAATCAAAATGAAGTTTATTGGTCGCGTACACTGATTTGCAGATGTTTTCACAGGTGCAGTGAAATGTATGTGTTTCTAGCTCCAACAGTGCAGTAATACCTAGCAATAAAAATGTTTGTACCTATGCACACATAATCCAGAAGAAATACTAACAAAATGTAAATAAAATTAAGAAATATCAGAACGAGCAATGTCAGAGACAGGAATATATATATATATATATATACACTACCGTTCAAAAGTTTGGGGTCACTTGGAAATGTCCTTGTTTTCGAAAGTAAAGCAATTATTTTGTCCATTAAAATAACATCAAATTGATCAGAAATACAGTGTGGACATTGTTTATGTTGTAAATGGCTATTGTAGCTGGAAACGGCTGATTTTGTAATGGAATATCTACATAGGCGTACAGAGGCCCATTATCAGCAACCATCAGTCCTGTGTTCCAATGGCACGTTGTGTTTGCTAATCCAAGTTTATCATTTGAAAAGGCTAATTAATCATTAGAAAACCCTTTGCAATTATGTTAGCACAGCTGAAAACTGTTTTGCTGATTAAAGAAGCAATAAAACTGGCCTTCTTGAGACTAGTTGAGTATCTGGAGCATCAGCAATTGTGAGTTCGATTACAGGCTCAAAATGGCCAGAAACAAATAACTTTCTTCTGAAACTCATCAGTCTATTCTTGTTCTGAGAAATGAAGGCTATTCCATGCGAGAAATTGCCAAGAAACTGAAGATCTCGTACAACGCCGTGTACTACTCCTTTCACAGAACAGCGCAAACTGGCTCTAACCAGAATAGAAAGAGGAGTGGGAGGCCCCGGTGCACAACTGAGCAAGAGGACAAAATACATTAGTGTCTAGTTTGAGAAACAGACGTCTCACAGGTCATCAACTGGCAGCTTCATTAAATAGTACCCTCAAAACACCAGTCTCAACGTCAACAGTGAAGAGGCGACTCTGGGATGCTGACCTTCTAGGCAGAGTTACAAAGAAAAAGCCATATCTGACGGCCCATCTTAATCTTTTCTTTTTATTGGCCAGTCTGAGATATGGCTTTTTCTTTGCTACTCTGCCTAGAAGGTCAGCATCCCGGAGTCGCCTCTTCACTGTTGACGTTGAGACCCACAATTGCTGATGCTCCAGATACTCAACTAGTCTCAAGAAGGGCAGTTTTATTGCTTCTTTAATCAGCACAACAGTTTTCAGCTGTGCTAAAATAATTCCAGAAGATGATGTCATGGCTTTAGAAGCTTCTGATAGGCTAATTGACATCATTTGAGTCAATTGGAGGTGTACCTGTGGATGTATTTCAAGGCCTACCTTCAAACTTAGTGCCTCTTTGCTTGACATCATGGGAAGACCTCAGAGAAAACATTGTAGACCTCCACAAGTCTGGTTCATCCTTGGGAGCAATTTCCAAACGCCTGAAGATACCACTTTCATCTTTACAAACAATAGTACGCAAGTATAAACACCATGGGACCACGCAGCCGTCATACCGCTCAGGAAGGAGACGCGTTCTGTCTCCTAGAGATGAACGTACTTTGGTGCGAAAAGTGCAAATCAATCCCAGAACAACAGCAAAGGACCTTGTGAAGATGCTGGTGGAAATGGGTACAAAAGTATCTATATCCACAATAAAACAAGTCCTATATCGACATAACCTGAAAGGACGCTCAGCAAGGAAGAAGCCACTGCTCCAAAACTGCCATAAAAAAGCCAGACTACGGTTTGCAACTGCACATGGGGACAAAGATCATACACTGCTCAAAAAAGGGAACACTTAAACACTTAAACAACACTATGTAACTCCAAGTCAATCACACTTCTGTGAAATCAAACTGTCCACTTAGGAAGCAACACTGATTGACAATACATTTCACATGTTGTTGTGCAAATATAATAGACAACAGGTGGAAATTATAGGCAATTAGCAAGACACCCCCAATAAAGGAATGGTTTTGCATGTGGTGACCACAGACCACTTCTCAGTTCCTATGCTTCCTGGCTGATGTTTTGGTCACTTTTGAATGCTGCCGGTGCTTTCACTCTAGTGGTAGCATGAGACGGAGTCTACAACCCACACAAGTGGCTCAGGTAGTGCAGCTCATCCAGGATGGCACATCAATGCGAGCTGTGGCAAGAAGGTTTGCTGTGTCTGTCAGCGTAGTGTCCAGAGCATGGAGGGTCTACCAGGAGACAGGCCAGTACATCAGGAGACGTGGGGGAGGGCGTAGGAGGGCAACAACCCAGCAGCAGGACTGCTACCTCCGCCTTTGTGCAAGGAGGAACAGGCGGAGCACTGCCAGAGCCCTGCAAAATGACCTCCAGCAGGCCACAAATGTGCATATGTCTGCTCAAACGGTCAGAAACAGACTACATGAGGGTGGTATGAGGGCCCGACGTCCACAGGTGGGGGTTGTGCTTACAGCCCAACACCGTGCAGGACATTTGGCATTTGCCAGAGAACACCAAGATTGGCAAATTCGCCACTGGCGCCTTGTGCTCTTCACAGATGAAAGCAGGTTCACACTGAGCACGTGACAGACGTGACAGAGTCTGGAGACACCGTGGAGAACGTTCTGCTGCCTGCAACATCCTCCAGCATGACCGGTTTGGCGGTGGGTCAGTCATGGTGTGGGGTGGCATTTCTTTGGGGGGCCGCACAGCCCTCCATGTGCTCGCCAGAGGTAGCCTGACTGCCATTAGGTACCGAGATGATGAGATCCTCAGACCCCTTGTGAGACCATATGCTGGTGCGGTTGGCCCTGGGTTCCTCCTAATGCAAGACAATGCTAGACCTCATGTGGCTGGAGTGTGTCAGCAGTTCCTGCAAGAGGAAGGCATTGATGCTATGGACTGGCCCGCCCGTTCCCCAGACCTGAATCCAATTGAGCACATCTGGGACATCATGTCTCGCTCCATCCACCAATGCCACGTTGCACCACAGACTGTCCAGGAGTTGGCGGATGCTTTAGTCCAGGTCTGGGAGGAGATCCCTCAGGAGACCATCCGCCACCTCATCAGAAGCATGCCCAGGCGTTGTAGGGAGGTCATACAGGCACGTGGAGGCCACACACTCACTACTGAGCCTCATTTTTACTTGTTTTAAGGACATTACATCAAAGTTGGATCAGCCTGTAGTGTGGTTTTCCACTTTAATTTTGAGGGTGACTCCAAATCCAGACCTCCATGAGTTGATAAATTTGGATTTCCATTGATAATTTTTGTGTGATTTTGTTGTCAGCACATTCAACTATGTAAAGAAAAAAGTATTTAATACGATTATTTCATTCATTCAGATCTAGGATGTGTTATTTTAGTGTTCCCTTTATTTTTTTGAGCAGTGTACTTTTTGGAGAAATGTCCTCTGGTTTGATGAAACAAAAATAGAACTGTTTGCCCATAATGACCATCGTTATGTTTGGAGGAAAAGGGGGAAGCTTGCAGGCCGAAGAACACCATCCCAACCGTGAAGCACGGTGGTGGCAGCATCATGCTGTTGCGGTGCACTTCACAAAATAGATGGCATCATGAGGAAGGAAAATGATGTGGATATATTGAAGCAACATCTCAAGACATCAGTCGGGAAGTTAAAGCTTGGTTGCAAATGGGTCTTCCAAATGGACAACGACCCCAAGCATCCAAAGTTGTGGCAAAATGGCTTAAGGACAACAAAGTCAAGGTATTGGAGTGGCCATCACAAAGCCCTGACCTCAATCCTATAGAAAATGTGTGGGCAGAACTGAAAAAGCGTGTGCGAGCAAGGAGGCCTACAAACCTGACTCAGTTACACCAGCTCTGTCAGGAAGAATGGGCCAAAACTCACCCAACTTATTTTGGGAAGCTTCTGTAAGGCTAACCCGAAACATTTGACCCAAGTTAAACAATTTAAAGGCAATGCTACCAAATACTAATTGAGTGTATGTAAACATTTCACATTCTTAGGATCACCCCTTTATTTTAACTGACGTAAAACAGGGACTTTTTACTAGGATTAAATGTCAGGAATTGTGAAAAAACTGAGTTTTTAAATGTATTTGGCTAAGGTGTATGTAAACTTCTGACTTCAACTGTATATACACACCTATGACCTGGCCTCCACAATCCCCCGACCTCAACCCAATTGAGATGGTTTGGGATGAGTCGGACCACATAGTGAAGGAAAAGCAGCCAACAAGTGCTCAGCATATGTGGGAACTCCTTCAAGACTGTGAAGCTGGTTGAGAGCATGCCAAGAGTGTGCAAAGTTGTCATCAAGGCAAAGGGTTGCTATTCGAAGAATCTCAAATATATAATATATTTTGATTTGTTTAACACTTTTTGGTTTACTACATGATTCCATATGTGTTATTTCATCGTTTTGATGACTTTACTCTACAATGTAAAAAAACAGTAAAAATAAAGACAAACCCTTGAATGAGTAGGTGTGTCCAAACTTTTGACTGGTAGGTGTGTCCAAACGAAGACCTTCAAAGTCATTGATTTTACTCGCTGAGCACCCTTTGTCAAAGAGAGACTCCTTCTCTCTAGGGAATTCAACAAAAGTTTTTATAGAGGATTTGGAGTGCTTTCTAAACTTTTGTCTATAATCCTCCGGCACAAGCTCATACCCACGGAGCACAGTAGCCTTAACAATGTGGTAATTAAGACTATCAGCGAGAGAGTACCCATTACCTCCTGCGCTTTACAGGACAATTTACACTGAAGTAAAATGTTAAATGTAAGTAACAGCGGCCACACATCCCTAGGCCAATTCAAAGCCACTGCTATGCGTTCGAATGCACAAAAGTAAGAGGCAACCTCAGACTCACAGAATTGTGGAACTAAAGCAATATGCCGGCTAATGTCAAAGGTAGAGGCAGATCCTGGGGTGGAAAACACACTAGTGGGAACGGCAGGGACAGCGGCCAGCCTCGCTGTCTCTGCCTCTAATTCCAATTTGCGCGTTTCGAAGTCCATCTGCCTTATCTTAATGTCTGCTTCCAACTCCAGTCGGCGCATCTCCAACTTGAGATGTAGCTCATCCTTTCGGTTTTGTGCTCTCTCTTCTGCCTCCAGCTGCAAGTGTACAGCCGTAGGCATAGGAGAGAGAGGATCAAATCGAGGAAAGGTGGCCGGGGCCTTATACTCGACGTCGTCGTCGGGCCTATACGGGGTACCCGGAGCATCCACCACCTCTCCCACCGCAGGCCGAGGCAAAACCAACACCTGCCGTTCAATCAACGCCGCTAACACCAATGCCTTTACCTCCGCCTTAACAAAACCCCTTGGCACTGAGATATCGAAATGGTCTGCCAAAGTCTCTAAATCCACTCTCCTACAATTCTCAAAACCCTCCCACGTAGGGTTATCCAGAAAAAACTTCAGGTTAAAGGTGGCCATTTTCTAAATCCACCACCTAACTACAACATCCAACACAGAGCTAAACACTACACTACACCCAACACAACAACCACACAATCCACATCTACTACCAAAGTGTGCGGGCAGAAGCTGGATCAAAGATCCCTGACCAGCCCCCCATGTTACGTTCTCCCCTCTGGTGTAGTTTGTCTGAGGAGGAGACGTAAATGCCCGTGCCTGCGCACACAATGTAAACTAGATGGATGGGGAAGAGATGTGGGGTGTAACAAACTAAAATAACCAGACACAACAACCAGAACTCAATGTTAGCCCTCGGGGACGTTTAGTAAGGTTTTAAACAAAATTAATATACACCACTCATTTAAGAAACAGTAATAAAACAAAAAACCAATCAAACAAACCAGGGAAGGTAAGAGAAGGGAATGTTTGGGAACGGGGTCCAAGTAATGAAAATAAACAAAAGGTCCCTCCTCTTCTACACACCTAATCCTTCCTAACACACTCTAAGCCTTAACCAGCATTCCTACCTGTTACCACAAATACAGGGGTGACACCCGCCCGGCTAACCTAGTGTGTAAAACAGTGGGTTATCTACGTGTGAATGTACACCCATGGGCAGAACTACCTTTCCCTTCTCCAGGACCCAGGGAGGGTGGAATACAGCAGGAGGACAGGCTGGAACACAAACAAAGATAAATCAAAACATCCAGTTAACAAATCCTCAGACAAACAAAAAGTGCCCCCTCTCTCTCTCTCTCTCGCTCACAGGGCAAACAGTTTATATACTCTAGTCAATCAGTCACTCAACCACAGCTGCCAGGACTCCGGACCGAAGCCACGCCCACCATCGTCAGCCGCAACTCAGCACACCTGTAATAACCAGAACACACAAACAGAACAACCACTCTGAACCACAAACACACCACAAAGGAAGATTGGGAGAAAGAAAAACATGTCACACGTAACAATCGCTCTCTCGCTCTCTCTGTATAGACAGCATGGATAATATATGAATAGTAAAAGCCACTCGTTACCTGTATTAATGGCACCTGTTTGAACTTGTTATCAGTATAAAAGACACCTGTCCACAACCTCAAACAGTCACACTCCAAACTCCACTATGGCCAAGACCAAAGAGCTGTCAAAGGACACCAGAAACAAAATTGTAGACCTGCACCAGGCTGGGAAGACTGAATCTGCAATAGGTAAGCAGCTTGGTTTGAAGAAATCAACTGTGGGAGCAATTATTAGGAAATGGAAGACATACAAGACCACTGATAATCTCCCTCGATCTGGGGCTCCACGCAAGATCTCACCCCGTGGGGTCAAAATGATCACAAGAACGGTGAGCAAAAAACCCCAGAACCACACGGGGGGACCTAGTGAATTACCTGCAGAGAGCTGGAACCAAAGTAACAAAGCCTACCATCAGTAACACACTACGCCGCCAGGGACTCAAATCCTGCAGTGCCAGACGTGTCCCCCTGCTTAAACCAGTACATGTCCAGGCCCGTCTGAAGTTTGCTAGAGTGCATTTGGATGATCCAGAAGAGGATTGGGAGAATGTCATATGGTCAGATGAAACCAAAATTGAACTTTTTGGTAAAAACTCAACTCGTCGTGTTTGGAGGACAAAGAATGCTGAGTTGCATCCAAAGAACACCATACCTACTGTGAAGCATGGGGGTGGAAACATCATGCTTTGGGGCTGTTTTTCTGCAAAGGGACCAGGACGACTGATCCGTGTATAGGAAAGAATGAATGGGGCCATGTATCGTGAGATTTTGAGTGAAAACCTCCTTCCATCAGCAAGGGCATTGAAGATGAAACGTGGCTGGGTCTTTCAGCATGACAATGATCCCAAACACACCGCCTGGGCAACGAAGGAGTGGCTTCGTAAGAAGCATTTCAAGGTCCTGGAGTGGCCTAGCCAGTCTCCAGATCTCAACCCCATAGAAAATCTTTGGAGGGAGTTGAAAGTCCGTGTTGCCCAGCGACAGCCCCAAAACATCACTGCTCTAGAGGAGATCTGCATGGAGGAATGGGCCAAAATACCAGCAACAGTGTGTGAAAACATTGTGAAGACTTACAGAAAACGTTTGACCTGTGTCATTGCCAACAAAGGGTATATAACAAAGTATTGAGAAACTTTTGTTATTGACCAAATACTTATTTTCCACCATCATTTGCAAATAAATTAATTTAAAATCCTACAATGTGATTTTCTGGATTTTTTTTTCTCATTTTGTCTGTCATAGTTAACGTGTACCTATGATGAAAATGACAGGCCTCTCTCATCTTTTTAAGTGGGAGATCTTGCACAATTGGTGGCTGACTAAATACTTTTTTTCCCCACTGTATATGAATAGAAAAGGTGTGTACAGCAGTAGTTATATAGGATGAGCCATGACTAGAATACAGTATATACATATAAAGTGGTTGAAACGGTATGTAAACATTATTAAAGTGACTAGTGTTCAATGGCTCTATGTACATAGGGCAGCAGTCTCTAAGGTGCTGGGTAGAGTACCGGGTGGTAGCCGGCTAGAACAGTGACTACGGTTCAGGTCAGGGTCCTGGGCGGAGTCCGGCTAGTGGTGACTGTTTAACAGTCTGATGGCCTGGAGATAGAAGCTGTTCCTCAGTCTCTCGGTTCCAGCTTTGACGCAACTGTACTGTCTCTGCCTTCTAGATGGTAGCGGGGTGAACAGGCCATGTCTCGGGTGGATGAGGTCCTTGATGAAATTCTTGGCCTTCCTGTGACACCGGGTGCTGTATATGTCCTGGAGGGCAGGCAGTGTGTCAGCCCCCCTGACAACCCCCCAACACCCACTGAGGGCACAGGAAAGCCAGAGATTGTGCTTCTCATAAACTCTAATGGGAAATAAAGAGAAGAACAGAAACTATTTCCTAAACGCTGATGCCCAAACACCCGACTAGGGTCTCCTAGCCACATAATCATTCACATGGGCACAAACGGCCTTAGGAACCAGCAGGAAAGGGTAGCCACAGCACTCAAGGGAGTGATAGAGCATCTTCCACATTCCCCAACTCAAGAGTGGTCCTCTCTACCCTTCTACCAAGAAAATACTTTCACCTTGCCACCATACAGCGGGTAAATACAAGCATTTCCTGTGACTGTGCCTCGAAACCCAATGTTTACCTGGCCAATCACCACACCCTGGATTTGGACAGCCTCTGCAACCAGGGCCACCTCGACAAAGCGACAGTCTCAACTATTGCCAGGACCCTGAAAGACATCGCACACAACCGCAGCCCCTGCACTTCACACAGGAGCAACAGAGCGATGAACCCCTCGCCCAGACCTGTCCTCATGTTTGCTGCCTGTATCCCCCAATAGAATCCCCTTACTTAGCGATGATAGCTTCTCCATCCTAGAGGTGGAGATTAACCATTTCCAGGCCCAGGGACATGTACTAGTCTGTGGTGACCTAAATACAAGAACCTGACACTCTCAGCACACAGGGACAAAAACCAACCTGGAGGTGACGGCATTCCCTACCAAATATATCCCCCTTGACACAACCACAACAAAAATGGGTCACAACTCCTGCACCTCTGTCGCATGCTGGGTCTGTACATAGTCAATGGTATGCTTTGAGGGGACTCCTATGGTAGGTACACCAATAGCTCATCTCTTAGCAGTAGTACTATAGATTACTTTATCACCGACCTCAACCCAGAGTCTCCCAGAGCATTCACAGTCAGCCCACTGACACCCCTATCAGATCACAGCAAAATCACAGTATACTTGAACAGAGCAATACGCAATTATGTGGCATCAAAGTCGAACAAACTGCATACTATTAAGAAAAGCTATAGATGGAAGGAAAGTAGTGTAGAAACCTACCACAAAAAATTGGGCAACAACTAATTCTATCTCTTTTAGACAACTTCCTGGACAAAATGATTTACTGCATAATGAAAGTGTAAACCTGGCAGTAGAAAGCCTGAACTGTATATTTGACCTTTCAGCTTCCCTGTCAAATCTAAACATTTCAAGCAGACAACCTAAGAAAATGAACAACAATGACAAATGGTTTGATAAAGAATGCAAAAACCTAAGAAAGAAATTGAGAAACCTATCCAACCAAACACGCTGAGACCCAGAACCTGAGCCTACGCCTTCACTATGGTGAAACACTAAAACAGTACAGAAATACACTATGAAAAAAGAAGCAACAGCACGTCAGAAATCAGTTCAATGTCATTGAAGAATACATAGAATCTAACCACTTCTGGGAATAGTGGAACACACTAAACAAAAAACAACATGAAGAGTTATCTATCCAAAACGGAGATGTATGGATAAACCACTTCTACAATCTTTTTTGCCCTATAACAAAGAACAAACAGCAAAAACATATGCATGATCAAATACAAATCTTATAATCAGTTGTTAAAGACTACCAGAACCCACTGAATTCTCCAATTGCATTAAATGAACTACTGGACAAAATACAAACCCTCCAACCCCAAAAGACCTGTGGTGTTGATGGTATCCTAAATAAAATGATAAAATATACAGACCACAAATTCCAATTGGCTTTACTTAAACTCTTTAACATCATCCTCAGCCCCAGCCCCATGCCCTAGCCAGGTAGGGTGAGGCAGGAGGGGTGGGTGGTGAGTGGACTCCAGCCCTACAGCTCCGGTTACAGTGATTGTGCAACGGATCGCTGTGAACCTCACAGCCCCCTCCCTTTTCCTCTCTGCTGCCCTGTTCCCTCTCCTCGCTCTCCTACTACCCCTCTATCTCTCTCTTCTCCTCTCTCATACCCCTACACTATCTTATTTTTCTTATCATCTCCTGTGGCCTCTCCTCACTCCACTCTCCTCTTTCCTCTGCCTTCTCTCTCTTCCCTACCCTTCTCTCCTCTCATCGTTACTCCCCTCCCTTTTCTCCTCTCCTCCCCCTCTTCTCCTCTCACCCAGTGCTCGAGGTGTCAGACGGAGGAAAAGCAAACTGTGGTAGAGCTTATGAGCCTAGTAGAACCTAAGACTAGAGCCTAGAAAGCTCCCTCCCTCATCCGCCTGCGTGGGAAACAGGACGTTTTCTCTCTTACATGGAAGAGTGTGTTGATCAGCTACTCTCTACCAGAGGAAGACTGTGTGTGTGTGTGTGTGTCCAGAGTGCCCACTGCAATTATGCTCCTTACTCATGATGACTGTTAAGCAGAACACACAGAGGTCAGAGTGGCAGAGTTCATAGCAGCCACTGAGAGGCAGCACTGAAACCGGAGGAGAGGGGGCTTGGCCAGGTCACTGTGTGTGCAGGTTTGCTGTATATTCTGTGTCATTAATGTGTCACATGTACAGTATGTGTCATCGTGTGTGTGTGTGTGTGTGTGTGTGTGTGTGTGTGTGTGTGTGTGTGTTTGAGACCGAGACAGAGACAGAGAGTGTTGTTATGTGTATGTCTGTGTTCTCTTCCCCTCAGTCACCTCTTGGCTGTGGTGTTCTATTTGTGGCAGCCGTATCATCTGTGAGTCTCGATGGTAAACCATAAACTGTCTTACTTCACACAGAACCAAAATGGAGTCGTGGTACAATTACAGTAGACAGAGCATACTGTCACTTCCTCCATTCTGGGGCTACAGGAACTATCCCATTTTCCTCACCTCATAGTTAATGGCAATGGGCCTTGTGTCACTGTGTGCTGTTAGAGCCACAATGGTCCCAGAGACTCCTGTGTCCAATTTTGTGTCTGGGATATAGGCGTGTGTGTGTGTTCCAGACGACAGGCCACACTGTGCCCACAGGGAGGGGACACAGGGAGGGAAACAGCCAGGCAGCCACGTGGTGTGGGAGCAGGAGGGATGACAGGGAGGGAGAGGAGAGGGGGAGCAGGGGGGACAGGGGAGGAGAGGAGGGAAGAGCACTGACCCAAATAGTCACTCTGTTCCCCCCTCTCCCTCTCTGTCACACACATCACTCTCTTTCTTTTCCCTCTCCTACTATCCCACTCTTGCTCTCCCTCTCACTCCCTATCCTGTCTCTATTCCGCTTCCACCCCTCTCCCCTTCCCTCTATCCCACCCTCTTTTTCTCCCCATGCTCTGTTCTCCCTTCCACCTTCTACTCTCTTCCCCCTTCCACCCTCCCTCGCTCTCTCCCCTCCCTTCCCCCTCTCCCCCACTCTGTAACTTCCTGTAGTGGGATAGCAGGGCTGGGGTCACACCCACCCCACCCTCTCTCTCTCTCCTCCCTCTCCTCTCTCCCCCTCTCGCTCTGTAACTTCCTGTAGTGGGAAAAGCAGGGCTGGGGTCACACCCACCCCACCCTCTCTCTCTCTCCTCCCTCTCCTCTCTTCCCCTCTCGCTCTGTAACTTCCTGTAGTGGGAAAAGCAGGGCTGGGGTCACACCCACCCCACCCTCTTTATTCCTGGAACTCCCCACATTGTGAGGTCCCAGGGGAGGGGAGACACGCGCACACCCCACATTCCCTTAGCCCCCATGTCTCTCTCTCTCTTTCTCTCTCTCAGACACACACATACAAACAGTCCCCCAAGCCCCTTGCCCCATCAGCCGGCATCTCAGCTCTCTCTTCTCAAAGCGCTGGGTGAACACAGGAAGTAGCCTAGTACAGATAGAGAGAAAGATGGAGAATCTCAATTGCATACTCATCGCGTCCTCTCTCCTCTTCCTCGCCTCTTTCTCAAAACCCATTGGAGTAGAAGGTCAGAAGGGGGGTACCGCTGGCTTTCTCATGAGTTTTGTGAAGGAGGCGAGAGGACGCGAGGAGTATGCACTTGAGATTCTCCCAGTGAAGAGAGGGGAGGGAAGAGGGGAATCTAGCCTAGTTAGCCATCCTGAGCCTGTAGCCTTCCTGGCTGACTCTGTGTGTATCTAGTATCTCTGTGTCTGTTGTGGTTAGCTGGCTAGTCAGAGGTGTCGCATCACATTGAGCTCAGTGCTTACTTTTGTGACTATAGAGGGGTCTCTGTCCCTCTACAATGGGCATTGGGAGAGGACAGTGTGTGTGTGAAGGGGGAGGGGTGTGTGTGGTGGGGGGAGACGTGTATGTAGCGGGGGGATGGTGTGTGTGTGTGTAGTGGAGGCAGGGGTGTGTGTGTGTGTGTGTGTGTGTGTGTGTGTGTAGTGGAGGCAGGGGTGTGTGTGTGTGTGTAGTAGGGGGGATGTGTGTGTGAGTGGAGCCACACCCAGGCTGATTGGGGGACCACACCTCTGTGAGGAATCTGCTGCAGCTGGGTCACATGTCTGCCCCCCCCTCCCTCCCTCCCTCCACCCCATCCCACCCCACCCCCACACCTAAACAGTTCCATATTGCAGCCAGCTCTTTCTCACTCCATTCAATTCAAAGTGCTTTATTGGCATGTTTACATTGCCAAAGCAAGTGGAATAGATAATAAACCAAAGTTAAATAAACAATCGAAATTAACAGTAAACATTAGTTTGTATTTACAATGGTGTGTGTGCTTCACTGGTTGCCCTTTTCTTGTGGCAATAGGTCACACATCTTGCTGCTGGCACACTGTGGTATTTAATCTAATAGATATGGGAGTTTATCAAAATTGGATTTGTGGGTCTGTGTAATCTGAGGGAAATATGCTTCAGTGCCTTCAGAAAGTATTCACACCACTTCGACTTTATCCACATTTTGTCGTGTTACAAAATGGGATTAAAATTGATTTAATTGTCATTTTTTGCCATCGGTCTACACAAAATACTCCTGACGTCAAAGTGGAATAAAAATTCTAACATTTGTATTAAAAAAACACTCATATATAGTGAGCCCCTGCTGATTTTGTACGTTTTCCCACTGACAAAGACATGATCAGTCTATAATTTTAATGGTAGGTTTATTTGAACAGTGAGAGACAGAATAACAACAAAAAAATCCAGAAAAACGCATGTCAAAAATGTTATAGATTGATTTGCATTTTAATGAGGGAAATAATTATTTGACCCCTCTGCAAAACATGACTTAGTACTTGGTGGCAAAATCCTTCTTGGCAATCACAGAGGTCAGACGTTTCTTGTAGTTGGCCACCAGGTTTGCACACATCTCAGGAGGGATTTTGTTCCACTCCTCTTTGCAGATCTTCTCTAAGTTATTAAGGTTTTGAGGCTGACGTTTGGCAACTCGAACCTTCAGCTCCCTCCACAGATTTTCTATGGGATTAAGGTCTGGAGACTGGCTAGGCCACTCCAGGACCTTAATGTGCTTCTTCTTGAGCCACTCATTTGTTGCCTTGGCCGTGTGTTTTGGGTCATTGTCATGCTGGAATACCCATCCACGACCCATTTTCAATGCCGTGGCTGAGGGAAGGAGGTTCTCACCCAAGATTTGACGGTACATGGCCCGTCCATCATCCCTTTGATGCGGTGTTGTTGTCCTCTCCCCTTAGCAGAAAAACACCCCCATAGCATAATGTTTCGACCTCCATCCACATTCCTCCTCCTCCAAACACGGCGAGTTGAGTTGATGCCAAAGAGCTCGATTTTGGTCTCATCTGACCACAACACTTTCACCCAGTTCTCCTCTGAATCATTCAGATGTTCATTGGCAAACTTCAGAAGGCCCTGTATATGTGCTTTCTTGAGCAGGGGGACCTTGCGGGCGCTACAGTATTTCAGTCCTTCACGGCGTAGTGTGTTACCAATTGTTTTCTTGGTGACTATGGTCCCAGCTGCGTTGAGATCATTGACAAGATCCTCCCGTGTAGTTCTGGGCTGATTCCTCACCGTTCTCATGATCATTGCAACTCCACGTGAGATCTTGCATGGAGCCCCAGGCCGAGGGAGATTGACAGTTCTTTTGTGTTTCTTCCATTTGCGAATAATCGCACCAACTGTTGTCACCTTCTCACCAAGCTGCTTGGCGATGGTCTTGTAGCCCATTCCAGCCTTGTGTAGGTCTACAATCTTGTCCCTGACATCCTTGGAGAGCTCTTTGGTCTTGGCCATGGTGGAGAGTTTGGAATCTGATTGATTGATTGCTTCTGTGGACAAGTGTCTCCCTTTAAGAGTGTGCTCCTAATCTCAGCTCACTACCCGTATAAAAGACACCTGGGAGCCAGAAATCTTTCTGATTGATAGGGGGTCAAATACCTATTTCCCTCATTAAAATGCAAATCAATTTATAACATTTTTGACATGTGTTTTTCTGGATTTTTTTGTTGTTATTCTGTCTCTCACTATTCAAATAAACCTACCATTAAAATTATAGACTGATCATTTCTTTGTCAGTGGGCAAACGTACAAAATCAACAGGGGATCAAATACTTTTTTCCCTCACTATTCGGTTTAGATAAGTATTCAACCCCCTGAGTCAGTACATGTTAGGATCACATTTGGCAGCGATTACAGCTGTGAGTTTTTCTGGTACGTTCCACACCTGGATTGTGCAACATTTGCCCATTTATTATTTTCAAAATTATTCTTCAAGCTCTGTCAAATTGGTTGTTTATCATTTCTAGCTTCTACTAAGCTAACATATGGAATTGTTTTAAGATGGTCACATATTTAACCCCTTATTTTTGTTGGTGCAAAACTATCTCCATACATCCATTCATTTGTAACATTCAGAACGTTAAGCTGACCAATAGAATGGGTAAACTTTTCTACTATGGGGGTTAGTAGATTGACATAGGCTAGTGATTTTTCTGTTTGTTACTCATCATGTTGGCTGAGGAAAAGTAAATGTGGACAGTTATTCTAACATAGGCAATGCGTGGGTTTCAAGTTTGAGGACGCAAATTTAGATCATAAAAATGCAACTTTATAATTTAAAAAAACGATATCCTCACATTTGCAGACATATGTAAGATAGCCTACTATTCCTAATGTGATGATTAGATTGGATAGTCATAATTTAGGTTAATAATATAACTCAATCACTGTTCGCAAAAAAAGACTGGTCAATGCAGTACGGAGTGGCGTAGAGTAGGCAGACTATAGACTATAGGCTTGCTGTCCCCATTCCGCCTGGCCTTGCTGCTATTCCAGTTTCAACTGTTCTGCCTGCGGTTATGGAACCCCTACCTGTCCCAGACCTGCTGTTTTCAACTCTTAATGATCGGCTATGAAAAGCCAACTGAGATTTATTCCTGATTATTATTTGACCATGCTTGTCACTTATGAACATTTTTGAACATCTTGGCATGGTTCTGTTATAACCTCCACCCGGCACAGCCAGAAGAGGACTGGCCACCCCTCATAGCCTGGTTCCTCTCTAGGTTTCTTCCTAGGTTTTGGCCTTTCTAGGGAGTTTTTCCTAGCCACCGTGCTTCTACACCTGCATTACTAGCTGTTTGGGGTTTTAGGCTGGGTTTCTGTACAGCACTTCGAGATATTAGCTGATGTACGAAGGGCTATATAAAATAAAATTGATTGATTGATCACAGGAAAATGTTGGCCTTTCATAAACAACTTTCATGCAATTTTTCTACAATTTATATGACTTGAGACATTAGCAGAATCTTTTTTTATACAACAAAAATGTCAGGATAGCCTACTCTGGGCCTACGAAAAGGGGAGAGACAAATACAAGATGACGTCCTTCTAACCTGGAGGAGAAAATGATTGTCCAAAAACAAACAAAAGTGGCACTGACCCAATGATAGACAGTGAATATGCACACTCACCGGGGAGATGGCTGAGGTACTCTAGTGGTGCCAATAAGACAGGCTACGTTTCGCTCAATTAAATTGAGAATTTGGATAATTAAAAGACCGATTGGAGTCTTTTCATTGTCTTCTATTTACAGCAATAGCCATTTCGCTTTCCAAACTGTTTTTCCGTGATTGTATTTTTTTATGTTGCGATATGCCTGGCTGGGTCTCTCTGCCTTTCACTGGCAGTCACAACTCAGCAATAATCTATTTGCTGTGTGCTCTGCCCAAATTGCTGGCCATTCCGACTGTAGGCAATGCGATTTAAAACAATCCACAGCATTTTTTGTTTAAGAAGCTAATGATCCTCTGTGGCCAAATCATGCTTTCTGGGGTAGTAGCCTATTTTGAGTGATTTTATTTATGTACGTAAATAAGCTATTTAGGCTATATAATTTTGGCAATTTAATTCAATTTACTTTAGGGAAAGCTTAGCTTCAACTAGCTTTATGGACACGCCGCCTATGTAGTCTAACATCTCATCGGAATTCGGTAAGAATGATGCACGCTGTTGCATCGGAGTTACATGTTCTGTTAAGATGAATTGCCATAAACTAAATGTGATTTCTGGCATTCTGAGCACCGTGGGTGGACACCCTAATCAGGTTGCGCAACCGATGCATATGAATCCAGTACATTTCTTAAATGTCCGGTAAATTAAAATGCTGCCGGTCAAATTTATGGCACCACTTTTTCCTAACGGAAACCCTGATGTGTGTGCATGTTATGTGTGTGTGTTGGAGTGTCAGTGTGCGTGAGTGTGTAGAGTCCTGTGAATGTACAAGGCAAAAAATTTTAATAAATACAAGGGTCAACTCAGTCTGTGTAGCCATTCTGTTAGCTATTCAAATAGTCTTATGACTTGGGGATAGAAGGTGTTCAGGAGCCTGTTGGTGTCAGACTTAATGCACCAGAGAACAGTCTCCTTTCACATCGCCTGATATAGAGGTCCTGGATGGCAGGGAGCTCGGCCCCAGTGATGTGCAACACCCTCTGTAGCGCCATGTGATTGAGGGCAGTGCTGTTGTCATACCAAGCACAGAGTTAGTCCAGGCAAATTATTTTGTGACCTTTTATTTATTTATTTTGTTACTCATGAACTTATTTAGGCTTGCCATAACAAAGGGGTTGACATTTCAGCTTAATTTTTAATTCAGTTGTACACATTTCTAAAAAACATAATTCCACTTTGACATAATGGGGTATTGTGTGTAGGCCAGTGACAAAAATCCCTATTTAATCCATTTTAAATTCAGGCTGTAACTCAACAAAATGTGGAAAATGTCAAGGGGTGTGAATACTTTCTGAAGGCACTGTATGTGTCTCTAATATGGTCATACATTTGGCAGGAGGTTAGGAAGTGCAGCTCAGTCTTCTCTCGAGAACCAGGTCTGTACATAGTCAAAGCTTTCCTACATTTTGGGCCAGTCACAGTGGTATTCTGCCACTGTGTACTCTCTGTTAACACTAGATTCGCTAAAGCATTCATTTGACTGCTCATGATTATAATTTTTTTATTACGCTGCCATTTTTGGTGATCGCTGTCCTTGACATTTCCTAAATAAGTCTATATAACACACTGCCATTGTTAGAATCGTAATATCACAAACAGAACTGGAGTTATAAGCAGTTTTAGGAGGGCATGTCCATTTTAAAATGGTTTTCCCCCTTTGCCCCTCCTTCTCCCGACAGTAGGGCCTGCTCAAGCTCCTTCTCCCGACAGTGGAAGTGGAAGGTGCCATGCCCAGTTGATAATCATTCCGATAATTGCCTCGAAACTTAACCTAAACTATACCGAAACTAATTTCACACATAAAACAACAGATTAAATAAATGGAGTCGAGTATGATGGGGGAGAATGGGTGAGTTGATGAGCGAGGGGAAGCGAACAATGCATAATTATGTAATCACCAATTGTGAATGAAGAACAGGGTGGGCCATTCTATTTTATTGATACTGTATATTCTAATTATAATCTCAAAATACCCTATATCAGTCCACACGCCACTATAGCAGACTTATCAGTCTACTCTGGCCTACTTGGAGTAGGCCCTACACAGTGAGAGCGTACGTAATTTACAATGGCAAGAAGACCAAGACGAATGGATGCACATGCTGCGTTAGCGCTGCTACAAGATCTGAATGAAAACGACTCAGATGGTGGGGAAGAAATTAATCATGACATCTCTAATGATTATCCTTCTGATTCTGAGCCTCCGTCTGAACCTATACCGCCGAGGCCTAAGCGAGAAAAAGCCAGAATGGTGCTCACTGAGCAGGTGCTCACGCCACCACCAAAGGAAATGTTGAGACAGGACAGAGAAAGGGAACGGCACCGTTTGGATAGAACAAGCCGGTGACAATGCTATGGGCCGATTTATCAGCACAAAATGTAATCACTGAGAGAGCAGGCCCTACATCTCAAGCTAAAAACAACATCAGCAACACACTCACCAGCTTTCGTTGTTTATGTGACATGGTCTGTGGCTGAGGTGCACAGGGAGCAAGGAGGCGCTGCCTGGGATCTGTCTGTTGATGAGCTGGAAGCGTTCATTTCAATCCTGTATGCCCGTGGAGCATTCGGTGGAAAGCACATGTATATGGAGAGCTTTTACTCGGACATGTATGGGATACCTTTCTTTGGAGAAACCATGTCACAGGATCACTCCAGAGAGATCATGCGTTACCTCCATTTTGATGACAAAGAAATTAGAATGTGACGCCTGGAAACAGACAAATTTGCCATGGAATCCGATGTTTGGAACAAGTATAGACAATACTTGACTATTTGACTGCTGTCATATCGACACTTATTCATTATAATGCCATTATTGGTTTTGTGCAGATTTTCACTATTTATCAAGCACACTTGGCACTTATAATGATGATTAGGCTACTGATGATTTCATAATTTGACCACCTGTCTTGCTCACCGTGCGTCTTTGTGGTTGGGGTATTTTATTTAGTTGTTATAAAAAGAAGCTGTTGCCATGTTCCAACACATATGCTTTCTGTTTCATAGTTGTAACAAAGGCATCCTTCAAATAGAAAGTATTGAACATTTGAATCTTGGTGTTTTTTGTTTTTACATATAGACTACAGTAACGTAAACTAATGAAAATGCTATTGTGTTATTTGAAATAAAATTAAAATCGTATTCTAATGTTACCTAAAACCTTCATAAACACAAATGATTATTTTTCCGATAGCATATATGATACAGTTGAAGTCGGAAGTTTACATACACCTTAGCCAAATACATTTAAACTCAGTTTTTCACAATTCCTGACATTTAATCCTAGTAAGAATTCCCTGTCTTAGGTCAGTTAGGATCACCACTTTATTTAAGAATGTGAAATGTCAGAATAATAGTAGAGAGAATGATTTATTTCAGCTTTTATTTCTTTCATCATATTCCCAGTGGGTCAGAAGTTAACAAGACATTTGTGGAGTGGTTGAAAAACGAGTTTTAATGACTCCAACCTAAGTGTATGTAAACTTCCGACTTCAACTGTATGTATTAATTACTGTTAGAATTTTGCAGTCAAAATGACTGCTCTTTAGATTGAAGGGGGGTCCCTCGAGGCCCAGCGGTTCTAGTGTTAAGGGCCAAATAGCATTCCAGTATGCTTAGTTTTTTGGTTAGTTCTTTCGAATGGGTCAAGTAATTATATTTTTGTTTTCCTCATGGTTTGGTTAGGTGTAATTGTTTTGCTGTCCTGGGGCTCTCTGTGGGGTCTGTTTGTGAACAGAGCCCCAGGACCAGCTTGCTGAGGGGACTTTTCTCTAGGTTTCTCTAGGCTCTCTGAAGGTGATGGCTTTGCTATGGAAGGTTTGGGAATCGCTTCCTTTTAGGTGGTTGTGGAATTTAACGTCTCTTTTCTGGATTTTGATCATTAGCGTTTAGTCTTAATTCTGCTCTGCATGCATTATTTGGTGTTTTACGTTGTGCACTGAGGATGTTTTTGCTGAATTCTGGATGCAGAGTCTCAATTTGGTGTTTGTCCCCAATACTTCAATCAGTTATAGAACCCACTGCTCTAAATGTGAGGTCTCGGGTCCACTCACCAACCAAGAATTCACAAAATGGGATAAACCCCCAATTGAGACCATGCATGCAGAATTCTTTAAAAATATCCTTCATGTACAACGCAAAACCCCAAACAATACATGCAGAGCAGAATTAGGATTATGCGCGCTAATGATCAAAATCCAGAGAATTGCTGTTTTTAAATTCTACAACCACCTGAAAGGAAGCGATGCCCACACATTCCATCACAAAGCCCTCACCTACAGAGAGATGAACCTAGAGAAGAGCCATCTCAGCCAGCTGGTTCTGGGGCTCTGTTCACAAACACAAACAGACCCCACAGAGCCCCAGGACAGCAACACAATCAGACCCAACTAAATTATGAGAAAACAAAACGGTAACTATTTGACACACTGGAAAGAATTTGACATACTGGAAAGAATCAATGAAAAAACAGAGCAAACTGGAATACTATCTAGCCCTAAACAGAGAATACACAGTATCAAAATACCTGACCACTGTGAATGACCCAAAATTAAGTAAATCATTAACTATGCACAGACTCAATTGAGAGAGGTCGCCATAGCTCTCGAGAGAAGAAAGGATATGTGCACACTGCCCGCAAAATGAGGTGGAATCTGAGCTGCACTTCCTAACCTCCTGCCAAATGTATGACCATATTAGAGACACATATTTCCCACAAATCATACCCACAAAGAATTTGAAAACAAAACAAACATTGATAAACTCCCATATCTGTTAGGCGAAATACAGCAATGTGCAATCTTAGCAGCAAGATTTGTGACCCGTTGCTATGGAAACAGGGCAACCAGTGGAGCACAAACAACATTGTAAATACAACCAATATTTATCTGTTTACTTGTCTTCCCCTACTATTCGTATTACAACTATTTGCACATTGTTAAAAACACTGTACAGAGTTGATAATAGTTTTTTGTGTCTTCTAATTTTTTTTGTATTGTTTATTTCACTTGCTTTGGTAGTGTAATCAATGTTTCCCATGACAATAAAGTCCCTTTGAATTGAATTGAAAGAGAATGTATGTGTATAGATTGTGTGTGTGTCTCTCTCTCGCTCCCCACTCCCCTCTGCTTCTAGAGAAGGGTGTGACTGCCTACCAGTGTGAGAGAGGGAGGAGACACAACACTTCTGTTGAGTTGCTCCTCCATTTCTCTTTCGCTCTCATTCCCTCACTGGCAGGGCTAGGATTAGGCTTTCTCTCTCTCTTTCTCTCTTTCTCTCTCTCTCTCTACTTCTATGTCCCTCTTTCTTTCTCTTTTCCTCTCACATAGGCCTACCCTTTATTGTATTTCTCTCTACTCCAACGGAGTATTTCTATTGTTTTTCTTTCTGCATAGTACAGTTTCAGAGTAGTAGGCCTACAGTTTGAGAAGAGGTAATGGTGGTTGTATTTGTTTTGTAATTTCCTATATTCTTACCTGTCTCTACTCCTCCTTCCCCTCCCCCTGTTCTCACCTCTCCTCTCTTATTGCTCTGTTATCTTCCTCTTTGCCTCTCTCTACCTCTACTGCTTTTTCCCTCTCTTTCACCCAACTCCTCCTCTCTCATCTCTCTGTGTTGTATGTCAGGGTATGAAGCAGTTGGCTAGCATGTCCTCTCTCCCAGTGTAGCAGTAGTCTAACTGTACCCCTGTACAGATAACTGTGCCTCTCTCTCTCTTTCTCTCTCTCGCCGTTCTCTATATGTATTATGTGTCTAACATGTAATCTCTTCCAATGTAACTGTTTCTCTTCTTCATATGTACTACTGCTGGCTAACAGTCCTCTCTCTCCCTCTCCTCTGCAGTGCCAGTCGAGTCCTAAGAAGGCCAGCAGTGGTGCCAGCTCCCAGTCCCAACCACATCCCAAGGAGCCCCAACCCAAGAAGGAGCCCCAACCCAAGGTTCCCAAGAAGGAACCCAAGACAGAGCCCCAGACCCAGGAGGAAGAAGAAGACATGCCCTCAGTACACATCAAACCAGAACCAGAGGAGGTGGAGTGCACGGTGAGAGAAGGATAGAGGAATGGGTGAATGAGTTGGGGTAGAGGGACAGTGAAAGGGGGTTAGAGGGATGAGTGGAGGGGTTGGGGTGGAGGAGTTGGGTGGTGAAGAGAGATGGATGACTAATTGGAGAGAGACATAGAGAAACAGGTCTGAATAGATGAATGGTTATAGGTGGGTGGTTATAGAGAGAGGCTAAAAGAAAATGGAGACTGGGTCTGTCTCTGGACTGTTAGAGAGGGTGGAGGAAAAGGTGGGGTGGTGATGACTGGCTGGAGAGGAAAGAGCAAGAGAGAGAAGGGTGGAGAGGGTGTGGATGGTTAGATAAGAAGGGTAAGGGCGGGGGAGGTTGGTGAAGAGAGGGAGAGAGATGGAGGAGGTGACCTGCAGAGTGGGTGGGGTTTGTTGGGTGAGCTGGGGCCCTATTTAGGACTATGCAAACTAAGTTACAGAAAATTCAGGATAAAATGTTTAGTGTAGAACAGATTATTTGGAAAAGGGAATCGTGGCAGCTCTATAGGCCTAAGTTACATTTCTATGTGCAACGCTGTGAATGTAGAGAGAGAGAGAGGGGGCTGGGTAAGCAGTACAAAGTTACATAGCTTCCAGATAGAAATGTGTTGTGTAGAATATATTATCTGTCATCATGTTGGCTCTATAGACCCGTGTTACATTTCTATGTGGTATGTTGTGAATGGAGAGAGGGAGGGAGGAAGAGTTAGAGGGGGGGAGAGAGTGAGGGGGATGGGTGGGTGGGCTGATGGGGCGGGTGTGGGCCACCATTGCATAAGTGCTTGTTAGAGAGGGGTGTGGTTGGGTTGTCGTGTGTGTGTGTTTGCCCGCGCCCTTGTTTGTGTTTGCCCACGCATGCATGTTTGCCCGTGTCCATGCGCGTGTGTGTGTGTGTGTGCGCACATTTAGGTTAGTATTGTGGAGTAACTACAGTGTTGTTGATCTATCCTCAGTTTTCTCCTATCACAGCCATTAAACTCTGTAACTGTTTTAAAGTCACCATTTGCCTCATGGTGAAATCCCTTTGCGGTTTCCTTCCTCTTTGGCAACTGAGTTATGAACTACACCTGTATCCTTGTAGTGACTGGGTGTATTGCTACACCATCCAAAGTGTAATTAATAACTTCACCATGCTCAAAGGGGTATTCAATGTTTTATTATTGCTATTTTTACCCATCTACCTATAGGCATTGGAAAACTTCCCTGGTCTTTGTGGTTGAATCTGTGTTTGAAATCCACTGCTCGACTGAGGGACCTTACAGATAATTCTATGTGTGGGGTACAGAGATGAGGTAGTCATTCAAAAATCGTGTCCGTGCAACTTATTATGTGACTTATTGACTCAAGACATTTCAGCTTTTCATTTTTAATTCATTTGTCAAAGGAAATTCACTCACTCAATTTTGGGTAAGTCACAGTGGTCAGGTATTCTGCCACTGTGTACTCTCTGTTTAGGGCCAAATAGCATTCCAGTTTGCTCTGTAGTTTGGTTAATTATTTTCAATGTGTCAAGTAATTATCTTTTAGTTTTCTCATGATTTGTTTGGGTCTAATTGTGATGCTGTCCTGGGGCTCAGCGGGGTCTTTTTGTGTTTGTGAACAGAGCCCCTGGACCAGCTTGCTGAGGGGACTCTTCTCTAGGTTAATCTCTCTGTAGGTGATGGCTTTGTTATGGAAGGTTTGGGAATCACTTCCTTTTAGGTGGTTGTAGAATTTAATGGCTCTTTTCTGGATTTTGATCATTAGCGGGTATGGTCCTAATTCTGCTTTGCATGCATGGTGTTTTAAGTTGTACACGGCGGATGTTTTTGCAGAATTGTACATGCAGAGTCTCAATTTGAGGTTTGTCCCATTTTGTGAATTCTTGGTTGGTGAGCGGACCCCAGATCTCACAACTATAGAGGCCAATGGATTCTGAAACTGATTCAAGGATTCTTTGCCAAATCCTAATTGGGATGTTGAATTTTACAGTATGTTCCATTTTGTGGCGTAGAAGGCCCTTCTTGCCTCGTCTCTCAGATCGTTCACAGCTTTGTGGAAGTTACCTGTGGTTCTGTTTAGGCCGAGGTAGGTATAGTTTTTTTGTGTGCTCTAGGGCAACTGTGTCTAGATGGAATTTGTATTCGTGTTTCTGACAACTGGACCTTTTTTGGAACACCATTATTTTTGTATTACTGAGATTCACTGTCAGGGCCCAGGTCTGACAGAATCTGTGCAGAAGATCTAGGTGCTGCGGTCCTTGGTTGGGGACAGAAGCACCAGATCAGCAAACAAACATTTGACTTCAGATTATATTAGGATGAGTATGGGTGCTAAAGACTGTTCTAGTGCCCTCGCCAATTTCTTGATATACACAGAGTATACCAAACATTAGGAACATCTTCCTAATATCGCCCCCCCCCCCTTTTGCCCTCAGAACAGCCTTAATTTGTCAGGGCATGGACTCTACAAGGTGTCGAAGGAGTTCCACAGGGATGCTGGCCCATGTTGACTCCAATGCTTCCCACAGTTGTGTCAAGATGGCTGGATGTCCTTTGTGTGGTGGACCATTCTTGATACACACAGGAAAACCCAGCAGCTTTGCAGTTCTTTAAACAAATCGGTGCGCCTGCCACCTACTATCAAACCCCGTTCAAAGGCACTTAAATCTTTTGCCCTGCCCATTCACCCTCTGAATGGCACACATACATAATCCATGTCTCAATTGTCTCAAGGCTTACAAATCCTTCTTTAACCTGTCTCCTCCCCTTCAGCTACACTGATTGAAGTGGATTTAACAAGTGACATCAATAAGGGATCATAGCTCTCACCTGGTCAGTCTATAGCTAGGTTTCCATCCAAATTGTCGAAAGATTTTAATGCGAATATTCTAGAATCCGCATTAAAAAAATAAAAATAAACTCATTTCCCCCCAGTGGTGTGCTTCCACCAAATTGACATGTTGCAGATAAAAAATCAGTTCATGATGACGTAGTGCACACAAAATGTACTTTTTCCTCTTACATTTTTCTATATCGAAACAAAATCCAAAGTTCAATATGTTTCCATCGCATTTTCAACTCTACCGATAGTTTTGTCAAAAAATAGAAAATCTGCCTACTCTGGTCTTGGAACGTGCTCTCTAGCCAACAGCTCCCAGATACAGTGTGGGTATGCTGTGCGGGTAGGCTAGTCTACATAATAAGATTATTATTGATAAGGCTGAAAATATTTGTATTTGTCAAAAGGCAGTCAAGCAGCGATCATCAAGTCACCAGAATAAGACCCTCGATATTTATTGGAAAGACGCATCAAGATCACTGTGCACTTTAACCACCCTGTGAAGGTCATCATAATTTATTTCATCTGTTGCCTAATAAACTGCATGGTTTCCCGAGTCATAGGGGGAGGACCACACACCATATCATTGCCTGAATCCACCAAATCACCACCATTTTGCGCATAATAACTTTTACCGACACAAAAAGATTCCACCATCTCGAACGAACAAATGATCTGTTAGCATTTATAAAATTGTACCGTAACTTCCTGTTTCCATCACAGCTGTCGTTTTTTTATTCGGTTTTACTTTACTCGCAGAAAAACTGTGGATGAAAACGTTGTCGGTGTCATGGAAAGAGCAGGTGTCCTTAATGTTTTGTACAGTCAGTGTATATGTTGAAGAGGGTGGGGCTCAAGCTGCATCTCTCGCTCTCTCTCTCTCTCGCCTAGGCCCCTAATATCGAGGGAGGCTTCCGCTCTCTGGTAGCCATGGCAACGGGGCACTGGCGGGAGTTGGAAAGACTGTGATGTAGCCTGCTTGCCCGCACCCCTCCCTACCCCCTCCTTCCCCCCTCACACACACACCCCCTCCTCCACCTCTTCACTGCTACCCCACCCCCTCCCTTGCAACCCTCCCCCCTCCCCAAAACACACCACTACAGCCAAAGGCACATGCAAACACAAATACACACAGTTAAACTGACACACACACACAAAAATGAATACCTGCTAGCAATACAGTCTCATTTGGATACACTCTCTCTCTCTCTCTCTCTCTCTCTCTCTCTCTCTCTCTCTCTCTCTCTCTCTCTCTCTCTCTCTCTCTCTCTCGCAATCTCTCTCTCTCTCTCTCTCGCAATCTCTCTCTCTCTCTCTCTCTCTTGCAATCTCTCTCTCTCTCTCTCTCTTGCAATCTCTCTCTCACACACAGACACACCCACACAGTGAGGCGCTCACGGAGTATGCATGTGCAAACACAAAAACACACAGCTAAACTGACACACACACAAAATGAATACCTGCTAGCGACACATTCTCATTTGGATTCTCTCTCGCAATCTCTCTCTCTCTCTCACACACACACACCCACACAGTGAGGCACTCACGGAGTATGCATGTGCGTGTCATGCATGTGCGAGTATGCACATAGACAGGGAGTTTTTGTTATCGTTTTTTCCGTAAAAATAAGAAAACATTTAAGAAAATTCCACGTCAAATCCTATTGCATGGTATGACCATTAGGGTGCAATTCACATTGACTCTAGTGTTCCTTCCATTTGTTATGTGTATTAGCGACTCACAACAAAAATATATTTCAGTTCTTCTCCCTACATTCTCTCAATTTCGATCCAACCGCTCCCTCTACACACACGCGTGCTGTTCACCCAAGCTCCCGTTAGGTCTACAGAAATGACTGCCTACAGAAACATATCTAACTGATGGGATACACCAAAAAAAACAGTGGACAAGCTACATTCCTCGCCAAATCACGACAACTTTATCACAAATTCAAAATGGACAGGTTGATGAAAGTAGGGAAATATGTGTTCCAACCACAAGTTGTAGTTTTGGAATAATAAATGCATCTCGTCTATTCTAGGCTTTTTTGCTAACTGCTATAGTGTGCCATTTAGAATAGGTTAAAAAAAAAACCTAGGCAGGTTACAGACTGAAATATGCAACAAAAACAAATTGCATATTCGTATTCATTAATCTAGGGGCCTACTTTGTATCATTATTAACAAAAGCCTGCCCACAAATGTACTTTTCGGAGAGAAAAAAATCCCTTTATGATGATAATAATAATAATAATAAGAATATGCCATTTAGCAGACGCTTTTATCCAAAGCGACTTACAGTCATGCGTGCATACATTTTTGTGTATGGGTGGTCCCGGGGATCGAACCCACTACCTTGGCGTTACAAGCGCCGTGCTCTACCAGCTGAGCTACAGAGGACCATGATGATCGGGACTTGTTAGTGGGAGTTTTGTGATAACTGCATTGTGATTTTAATTTTGTGGAGAGAAAAAAAAAACATTTTTCAGTTAGTTTTAACATTAAGGATTCAATTTAGTTTAAACGTTCATACCCCTAACACAGACCACTGTAGTATCGCTAGGATGCAGCTAGCTCTATTCTCTGTCCCTATTCAACCTCAGTCAGTCATGGTGTCGTTGTCCAGAGCGAGTTAGTTCTCCTCCTGACTCAGAAACAACAGTACATTGGGGTGTGTGTGTTTGTGTCAAGTTGGGTTGTGTTATTGTTTGTAATAATTAGTCATCTTCAAGACTTTACATTGACGTGTTTGTTATGTTTGGCTCTCTATTGTGTCATGCTGTTAGATTCTGTGTTTTCTACTGTTGTAACTACAATCAACTGTGGACTCCACCCTACTTTAAAGCACAGGTTACTGTGTGTGTGTGTGTTAGAGCCCTGCACAGGCATGAATTTTAAGCCCTACCCATGTCAGAGATGTTCAGGCCCTAACCGATTCCTTCTGCCAAATTTAAGGTGAACCCGAAATCAGAAGTAACTTCCTCCTTTAGTATCCATTAGCTGCTCGTCTGTCTGTCTCTCGCTCCCTGCGCTGCATGCACTCTGTGCATGGTTCTGCTTGTGTGAGTATCCATAGCAACGCCTCTGCTTGCTGTAATGATGAGGCAGAGATTTGGGCATTCAATGTATGGGACATTGCAACACAATACATGCTAGTCAGCCTGCAAAGTAAACACTTAAATAAATATGTGGGCTTGCTTCAGCTTCAGCTTTTTTCTCCAAAAACAATTGCACAAACCTGTTTACATCTCTGTTAGTGAGCATTTCTCCTTGCCAAGATAATCCATCCACCTGACAGGTGTGGCATATCAAGAAGCTGATTAAACAGCCTGATCATTACACAGGTGCACCTTGTGCTGAGGACAATAAAAGGCCACTCTAAAATGTGCAGTTTTGTCACAGATGTCTCATGTTTTGAGGGAGCTTGCAATTGGCATGCTGACTGCAGGAATGTCCACCAGAGCTGTTGCCAGAGAATTGAATGTTAATTTCCCTACCATAAACCGCCACCAACATCGTTTTAGAGAATTTGGCAGGACGTCCACACAACCGCAGACCATGTGTATGGCGTCGTGTGGGCGAGCAATTTGCTGATGTCAACGTTGTGAACAGAGTGCCCCATGGTGGCGTTGGAGTAAAACTACGGACAACAAACACAATTGTATTTTATCGATGGCAATTTGAATGCACAGAGATACTGTGACGAGATCCTGAGGCCCATTGTAGTGCCATTCATCCACCGCCATCACCTCATGTTTCAGCATGATAATGCACAGCCCCATGTCGCAAGGATCTGTACACAATTCCTGGAAGCTGAAAATGTCCAGCCATTGAAGAGGAGTGAGACAACATTCCACAGGCCACAATCAACAGCCTGATCAACTCTATGCGAAGGAGATGTCGTGCTGCATGAGGCAAATGGTGGTCACACCAGATACTGATTGGGTTTCTGATCCACGCCCCTACAGTATCTGTGACCAACAGATGCATATCTGTGCACACCCTAAGTGTTTGAATAAAATCAACTATATATGGAGGCTACTGAGCTGGTCCGATGCTTTAAGCACACTGTGATTAAATAATTAAGACACACAAATGACTCAAGAGGGAGCCAGAGATCAAGATAGCCTAACGAGAAGAAGAAAAAAACTGTTCCCGAACCAACTCCTCCCGCTGCTGCTGGCCTTCGCAGATTCTGCCATTATGCTCCCGACGTTGCCGGTAATAGGCTACACCAGGGGTCGGCAAACTTTTCCATTTGGAGTGCCAATTTATCTTACCATTTCTACCGATTTGTGTGCCAGTTATGATTTTCATATGCACATTTTCGTGGAACAGTTTAATTTCTTTTATAATAAAGTCTTTGCATCTCAAAATCATTGTCATGTGATTAATAAAAAGTATATCTAAATAAAAATGATACAAATCTAAAAGTAATTACTATTGCCATTGCCAACTATGTAAAAATAGCCTACATAAAGCCATCAAATAAAAACATTGCAGCCTGCAGGTAGGAAATATCCTGATCAAAATAAATCACATTGGCTATGCATGGCCTATCTGCAAGGAACTTGAAACATTGTATCAACTATCAACTTGGTCCAGCCTGAAGCTTGTGCTAACAAACTTGCAACATTGTATAAAATAGCTTCTCAATAGATGTAAAAACAGACTTTGTTTACTTGCTTTTTGAGGTGAAGAAAAAATTACAGCTCATTTGTGGTGGTGAGTTAAGACAATCAGAAGTACTATCAGATCTCCAAATGGGCACATTTATAAGACAGGTAGCCTATAGGCCTATATACTTCTATGCGTAATCAGGGCCCTGACCTCAACCTCATCGAACACCTTTGTGATGAATTGGAGAACCGACTGCGAGCGAGGCCTAGTCGATATTAATACCCATGATCTTGGAAAGAGATGTTTGACGAGCAGGTGTTCACATACTTTTGGTAATGTAGTGTGTGTATACATATATGTAGGCAAACACAACATACACACATGCAAATATACATAACTTGCAAAACAAGCCAGGTATCAATGACAATACTACAGCTGGAGGGAGATTAAGAAACAGGAAGAGGTGAAAGAGGGTGAGAGAAAGACTGATGTCCCATGTGGAGACCAGACATACAGTTAGGATAGCTTTTATGAAACCTGCCCATCAATCCATGATATCTACCTCCGCTATCTAGCAGTGGTGGAAAAAGTACTCAAGTGTCATACTTGTGTAAAAGTAAAGATGCCTTTAATAGAAAATACCTCGAGTAAATTCACCCAGTTAGAAACTACTTTAGTTAATGTCTAAAAGTATCTGGTTTAAAATGAACTTAAGTACAGTGGTGGAAAAAGTAAAACATTTTCTCACTTGAGTAAAAGTAAAAAGTAAATGCTATACATAAAATTCCTTATATTAAGCAAACCTTCTGGCGCAAATTTCTTGTACTTTTAATTTACAGACAGACAAGGCCACACTCAGACATAATTTACAAACACAGTATTTGTGTTTAGTGAGTTCGCCAGATCGGAGGCAGTAGAGCTGACAATGCGTTATATTGATAGGTGCGTGAATTGGCTCATATTGCTGTCCTGACTGAGCGTTCCAAATGTAACGAGTTTTGGGTTTCAGGGAAAATGTATTGGAATAAAAAGTACATATTTTCTTTAGGAATGTAGTGGAATAAAAGTTGTCCAACATATAAATAGTAAAGTGGAGTACAGATACTCCAAAAACTACTTAAGTAAAAAATACTTTGAAGTACTACTTAAGTACTTTACACCACTGCTATCTAGTTGTCTCAGTAGTACTATAGCTGGAACACAACATTGTTGACTCCATCATCATATGGACCTTAACCAGGGTGGATGACGGTACCCTAGTCTCTCTCTCTCTCTCTCTCTCTCTCTCTCTCTATCTCTCTCTCTCTCTCTCTCTCTCTCCTCTCTCTCTCTCTCCTATCTCTCTCTCTCTCTCTCTCTCTCTCTCTTCTCTCTCTCTCTCTCTCGTTCTCTCTAGTATCTCTCGTTCTCTCTAGTATCTCTCTCTCTCTAGTATCTCTCTCTCTAGTATCTCTCTCTCTCTCGTATCTCTCTCTCTCTCTAGTATCTCTCTCTCTCGTATCTCTCTCTCTCGTTCTCTCTAGTCTCTCTCTCTCTCTAGTATCTCTCTCTCTCGTATCTCTCTCTCTCGTTCTCTCTAGTATCTCTCTCTCTCTCTAGTATCTCTCTCTCTCTCTCTCTCTCTCTAGTATCTCTCTCTCTCTCTCTCTCTCTCTCTAGTATCTCTCTCTCCCTAGTATATCTCTCTCTCTCTCTCTCTAGTATCTCTCTCTAGTATCTCTCTCTCTCTAGTATCTCTCTCTGTCTCTCGTAATCTCTCTCTCTCGTTCTCTCTAGTATCTCTCTCTCCCTAGTATATTTCTCTCTCTCTCTATCTGGCTGTGAGTAGAAATCCATTAACCCTTTGAGCTCTTGGCTCTATTAAGATTCACCTCAGGCTTTAGGCATGACCTTCAGGGCCACGGCAGAGAGCTATTGACTGGAGACAGATAACCCTGGAGAGAGTGAGGGGGAGGAAGGGAGAGAGAGAGAGGAGAATGAGAGAGGGACAAAAATTGGGAGAGGTACCGTTTGCAATCACACTCTCTTTCTCCTCCTGACACCTTTTTTCTCCTCTCTCGCTCTCACATACACACCCAATCACACACACACACACACACACACACACACACACACACACACACACACACACACACACACACACACAGAGACAGAGCATTGTTTCTCTCACCTTGTGACCTATTGATTTCCTCCTTTAGAATAACTTAGTGACTTAGTCAGAGCCTATTGGAGTTCAATTGAGTTGACTGTCACAGCTACAGGTTCTCTCTCAGCTCTCCACGGCAATAACCAACAATGCAATATCAACACCAGCATCGCAATGCAATAGCATAAATGAATGAATACTTTATTTTACCATAGGGAAATTTGTCTGCCAACAATACAGGGTATTCCTGGCATACATAACACATCACAAGACATACAACCAACCGTGCATAGCAAGCCATTAAAGTTTAAATTACATCAATTACTCTGCATCTGGTGACCCATTTATATGGAGTTGTTGAATTAAAAGTGAGAGGAGAGTAAATAATCGTCTCGTCTCTTGCCAACCTTCCAGGGTGTCGCTGACACAGTTCTGTGACCAATATTCTTCTCCCTGTGTTACTCAGTTCAGTTAATGTGTTGCCATCGTCACTTTCTTTACCCAATCATTTTCTCTCTGTATGCCCCCTCTTGCTCTCTCTCTTTCTCTCTCTATCGCTCTCTCTTCATCCTGTAAGTCTCCTCTCCATCTCTCTCATTCTATCGCTCTCTCAATCGCTTTCTCTCCTCCCTTTCTCTCTCTGTAGTGATAGTGGGTGCTGCGGTGCAGGGCTGAAGGCTTATAGAAGTGTACAGAGATAGATTTCTAGATATAAAGCAGTGCTGGGAGGGTAGCCTACAAGGACAGATGGAGGCTGATCACTCAGAGACCGTACAGGGAGAGAGATGGAGGCTGCAGGGAAAGGATAGATACTTAGTTCAAAGTACAGGGAGAGCGAGGCAGAGGCTGATGACAGAGGTCAAGCTGTTAGTCATTGCTGAGAGAATACAGGGGTCAAGACGGATAGAAAGTCAGTCAGTACGGAGTACAGAGAGAGATACTCAAGATGTCTGAATGCTCAGTGGTGTAGTAGTAAAAGTAGTTGCAGAGAACACTTCAATGCTGCCCTCCATCTCTTTGTACTTCCAGGAGACAGCTCTCATCTCTGCCACACTGAAACAATACTTCTCCCATTCGCTAGGCCTTTTGCTAAGACACTACAGCCTCAGGATCGCAATAGTATTGGGTGTGTCTTGTGTTTGAGACAAAGCCTTCCCACTGGGCACAGACGTCAATTCAATGTCTGTTCCACGTCAGTTCAACGTAATTTCATTGAAATGACATGGAAACAACGTTGATTCAACCAGTGTGATCCCAGTGGTTTGCTTGAATTAGATGTATATTAAACCCTGTTGTTGCCTAACAACTGACGCCCTTGTCTGTGTGTGATGTGGCCAACTTTATCTCTCACAGTGTTCGTGAACTCTCCACTGCTCATACAATTACTGGGTTCGTCCCAAATGGCACCCTATGCCCTATTTGCCGCACTACTTTTGACCAGAGCCCTATGCACCATATAGGGCCTGAAAACTCAACTCGAAGCAAGTTCCACTTTTTTTTCATTGTTCCCCTCTAATCAGGCACTTATTTAGACCTGGGACACCAGGTGGGTGTAATTAACTATCAGGTAGAACAGAAAACCAGCAGGCTTCGGACCTCGTAGGGTTGAATACCCCTGATATAGGGAATAGGGTGCCATTTGTTAGTGTGTACTTGTTAGTGTGTACTTGTTAGTGTGTAGTAGGAACAGGGTGAGGGTGTAATTTTGTACGATTTTCAGGAGCAAATGTTTTAGCTGAGAATAGTGGGTGTGTCTGAATACGCTTACAAGTCTAATCTAAACCAGTGTGAAGGGGATATGGGAGAGAGATGGATGGAAAGAGAGAAGGAGATATGGAGGGAAGGTGTGGGGGACAAACAGACTAGCATGAGAGGATGAGGTGAAAGGGTGTGGAAGCAGAGACAGGGAGGGAAAGCGGGGGAGAGCGAGGGAGGAAGGGAGTGGGTGGGCGTGAAGATGGAATGAGGGAAGAAATGTGTCAGCTGATACCTCCCAGTTTCCATGGCAACCAGAGGCCTTTCCCACCCACTCTCCTTTTTCCTCTCTCTCGCTCTCACTCGCCCACCCTCGCACTCTCTCACTCGCCCACCCTCGCACTCTCTCACTCGCCCACCCTCGCTATTCTCTCGCTCTTCTTTCCCCCAACAACATGTATCCTAGCCTATATGTTATTATGGACACTGACTGACCTCCCTCCCTCTCTGGGTCCACCTGTGTCCACTCTGTAACTGTCGTGATGTAGGCTAGGAGAGTTTGGTTGGTGGGTTTAGAATAGCACATCATCCCTATAGCCATATCTCACTGATGGGTTTTCAGCTTATGCTGAACCAGACAACCAAAAGCAGGAATTGTGTGTTTGTCTTGAAATGACTGCAGGAATGATGAACTCACACCCATCATTCACCTCACATGCACTGAGGCTCACTGTCTGTGTACAGTCTCTACAAAACCCCTGCCTTTTCTTCTTGTGCGTGTGCACCTGCGTGTGTGCGTGCTGGCGGTTGTGTGAGGGTGAGCGAGTGCGTGTGTCAGCGTGCATGTATGTGCATGCCTGCCCCCCTGGGCTGGGCGTATGCCTGAGCACTGGGTACTTGGTAGTGCTCTGATCCAGCCTCCCCACTTCATGCTCCAGGCTGAATAGGGATGTTGTGTACTCCTATATGCTTAGTGCTCTCTGCTGTGTATGCTGTAGCAGGGTGCACTCAGTGCCTCAGTGGCTGGCTTCGCTTGGGCTAGGCTAGGCATGGTTGAGCAGGACTGTTCTGTGCTGAATGTATGCTATACTGTACGCTCGGTACTGACTAGTGATCAGCAGGCAGGGTGCAGTCAGTGCCTCAGTGCAGGGCTTGGCCGGGGCTAGGCAGGGCAGGGCTGCTCTCTCCTGGCAGTGTGCCATCTTTAGGTCTGCTGCTCTGCTCTCCACCTCCCAGCTCCACCTCTCCCTCCCAGCTCCCAGGACCCCACACAGCAGCCATTGTTCCCCTACCCTGCTTTGCTCTGCTCTGTTTGTGCAGCCAGAGAGTACAGCTGAACTGAGCCGAGGTGAGAGCAGGGTCTGGGGGCCAGGTCTGTGTGTGTGTGTGTGTAGTGTGTGCATGTAGGGGGAAATCATGCGCTGATCATCTCTCTCTAATTTTCTTTCTTTCTTTCTCTTCCTTTTCCTCCCTATTCATCTCACTTCTCTCTCCTTGACTCTGTCACTCATTCTTCTTCATATCTCTCTACCCTCTCTCTCTCTACCCTCTTCCCTCTCTCTAGCAAGCTGAAGTGGGTGAGGAGTGTCCCCAGCCTACAGACCTGAAGATCAAGACAGAGAAGACCCAGCCTGAGTCTCCCCCTCCCCTCTGCACAGCCACAGACATGACCATAGACACAACCACAACAGACACAACAAAAGATGACTCCTTCCATCCCCCAGAGGACCAGACGGAACCTGTCGACCTGTCACTTGGCAAGCCACGCCCCTCCCTGCCCGTTTCCACACCGTCCACCACAGCTAACCCCGCCCCCAGCTCCGTGGCGCCGCCTACGCTGTCGGCAAACCACATCCCTACGGTAACCATTCTAGACACCATGGTAACCACGCCAGTTATTAAGCCAGTCGGCTCGCTAGCTAGCTCCTCTTTTGGAATGATGGGTAGAAGGGGTTGCCAAAAATGTCGTATGCAGTGACTGTTAGTTTACAATGTTTTTCTTTTGAAAGGCTCAGTCTTTCAGTTTAACAATTTAATACTTACATGCTCTTTGTTTTCTCGTCAGCTTAGCTGTTGACGCAATGTCTGTGTCCAAAATGGTACCCTATTCCCCTTTCTGGCCAAAAGTAGTGCACCATATCAGGGATTCCCAAACTTTTTCACTCAGGCCCCCACTTCAGCATTGGAGAACATCCCGCACCCCCACTCAACCCGTGTCACATCTATTTCTATGGGCACAACCACTATTCATGACACAAACTGTTCACACCCCTCTTGTTGGCGGAGAGAACATTTTGCAGGTTTATAGCTTATTTCCTACAATTCTACACATTATTCTACACAATGATTACCTTTTAATGTGGCATGAACACAACCAGTCATGATATTTTCATCTGATTGTCAAACAAATCACTTCAAAAAGTAGGCATGTTCGTCCACTCCAAAATAATTCCAACATCCAAACTACATGTATACTCGTGCCATTTGATTAATGGAAATAGACATCTGTTACAAAACACCAAAGTGTGCCTACTGACATTCAGCGATTGCCATTGATTAGGCCTACATTAATTGATGATTCTTGCTGACAAGTGTAACTTTATAGTAGCTTGAAGTTGGGACACCTGAAATGGGGCTGAAACTGTCCCAGGAAAAATGGGGCTGAAATAGGCATACCGGTAGCCAGTGATGTAGTATTTTTAAAAATAGGTGGGTAAACTGGTTGCCGGTCACGGTGATATAAATAACGCTCCGCTCCCTATGCTTTCAATAAAAAAGATACAAAATAACGTGTGTAAACGCCGTTTACTTGCGTTTACCCCCTACCAGCTGATTGATAAAAGCAAACAATGATAAATCAACAGATAAATCGAATACATTGGAATAAGGATTTTTTTTAATCAAGGACACATGGCAAACAAAAATTGCGAAAATGAGGAAGTACAAAAGAAAATCTATGTGTAAAGGAGCTAAGCTGAGGCCGAAATTCAGAGCTACTGGATGGACAGCACTACCACCTAGAAATAAATGGTTTAAACCATGACAGAGAGGTGGGGGTGTTAATTTCATTGGAAACATTTATTTTCATATTTACCACTGTAAAACATATTTTCCACTGCATTTTAAACAAATAGGAGAATGGTTAAATTAGCATTATTTAGAGAAACCCCCAAAGTTCGGCTTTTGTTGGATTTAGGGGAGCTGAGCCCCCCTGGCTCCCCTGTAATTTGCACCATGGAGTGACTCAATCATTACATCAAAATGTATGGGCAAAAAAATCTAGCTAAAAATAATTTTTGCTGACATGGGCTAGTTGATCTGGACATTTCTGACAAGTTATAAATAGCTCTCTAAGGTATGCAATGACTGACATGATGAGGAAAACTGATGATGCTCTACCCAATTTCGAAATTGCACCTTGTGCATTCATTACATTTTAGTAATTTAGCAGACGCTCTTATCCAGAGCGACTTACAGTTAGTGAGTGCACACATTTTTCCTACTGGCCCCCCGTGGGATTCGAACCCACAACCCTGGCGTTGCAAACGCCATGCTCTACCAACTGAGCTACAGGAGGCCACTGCACTATATAGAGAATATGGTGCCATTTCAGACAGTACTGCTCCCCTCCATGTATTACCACCTTAACCCCTCCTCTCCTCCATCCCTCCCTCCTCCAGATGCTCTCCCCAGGGTCCATCCTAGCGTCCACCCAGGGGGCAGGCGGTCAGCAGATCCTGCATGTTATCCACACCATCCCGTCGGTCAACATGCCCAGTAAGATGGGCCAGCTGCAGACCATCCCCGTGGTGGTCCAGTCTCTGCCCTTGGTCTATACCACCATGCCCACAGATGGGGTGGCCACCGCTGCCATCACAGTGCCCCTCATCGGGAGCGACGGGCGCTCTGAGGGATCCGGTGAGTCGGGAGGGAAGGATAAGTTGCGTTTTGTTGAGATTGAGCTTTATGTTTTAGATTTAGGCGATTAGCAGACATAGAAATTATGAGGCTGAAACAATTACAATACGAACATCGTAAGTACAACCTTCTAAAATAAGCGTTGAAATAAAAGCTTCAAAGTTAATAGAGAAATTATAATTGAGTTCTCTCTGGTCACATCCGTCCTCTTCTTCTCTTATACACACTCTCTTCTCCGATTTCTCTCACTTACACTAAAGATGATCTATTACAGTGCATTTGGAAAATATTCAGACCCCTTGACTTTTTCCACATTTTGTTACATTACAGCCTTATTCTAAAATTGATTAAATTGTTTTTTCCCCTCATCAATCTACACACAGTACCCCATAATAACAGAACAAAAACAGGTTTTTAGAATATTTTGCAAATGTATTACAAATTAAAAACTGAAATATAATATTTACATAAGTATTCAGACCCTTTACTCAGTACTTTGTTGAAGCACCTTTGGCAGCGATTACCGCCTCAAGTCTTCTTGGGTATGACGCTACAAGCTTGGCACACCTGTATTTGGGGAGTTTCTCCCATTCTTCTCTGCAGATCCTCTCAAGCTCTGTCAGGTTGGATGGGGAGCGTCACTGCACAGCTATTTTCAGGTCTTTCCAGAGATGTTCGATCAGGTTCAAGTCCGGGCTCTGGCTGAGCCACTCAAGGACATTCAGATACTTGTCCCGAAGCCACTGCTGCGTCGTCTTGGCTGTGTGCTTAGGGTCGTTGTCCTATTGGAAGGTGAACCTTCGCCCCAGTCTGAGGTCCTGAGCACTCTGGAGCAGGTTTTCATCAAGGATCTCTCTGTACTTTGCTCCGTTCATCTTTCCCTCAATCCTGACTAGTCTCCCAGTCCCTGCTGCTGAAAACCATTCCCACAGCATGATGCTGCCACCACCATGCTTCACCGTAGGGATGGTGCCAGGTTTCCTCCAGACGTGATGCTTGGCATTCAGGCCAAAGACTTCAATCTTGGTTTCATCAAACCAGAGAATCTTGTTTCTCATGGTCTGAGAGTCCTTTAGGTGCCTTTTGGCAAACTCCAAGCGGGCTGTCATGTGCCTTTTACTGAGGAGTGGCTTCCGTCTGGCCACTCTACCATAAAGGCCTGATTGGTGGAGTGCTGCAGAGATGGTTGTCCTTCTGAAAGGTTCTCCCATCTCCACAGAGGAACTCTGGAGCTCTGTCAGAGTGACCATCAGGTTCTTGGTCACCTCCCTGACCAAGGCACTTCTCCCCCGATTGCTCAGTTTGGCCAGGCGGCCAGCTCTAGGAAGAGTCTTGGTGGTTCCAAACTTCTTCCATTTAAGAATGATGGATGACACAGTGTTATTGGGGACCTTCAATGCTACATAATTATTTTGGTACCCTTCCGCAGATCTGTGCCTCGACAGCTCTACGGACAATTCCTTCGACCTCATGGGTTGGTTTTTGCTCTGACATGCACTTATATAGACAGGTGTGTGCCATTCCAAATCATGGCCAATCAATTGAATTTACCACAGGTGGACTCCAATCAAGTTGTAGAAACATCTCAAAGATGATCAATGGAAACAGGATGCACCTGAGCTCAATTTTCGAGTCTCATAGCAAAGGGTCTGAATACTTATGTAAATTGGCAAAACAATCCCTAAAAACTGTTTTCGCTTTGTCATTATGGAGTATTGTGTGTAGATTGATGAGGAAAAAATGTAATTTCATCAATTTTAGAATAAGGCTGTAACGTAACAAAATGTGGAAAAAGTCAAGATGTCTGAATACTTTCCGAATGCACTGCAGGTAACTGCCAAAATAAAGGAAACACTGGAGTAAATGAGGGATACAAAGTATATTGAAAGCAGGTGTGGTTCCTGAGTTAATTAAGCAATTAACATCCAATCATGCTTAGAGTCATGTATAAAAATGCCCAGTTGCACATTATTTTGGTGACAATGGCTATACTTTGAAATAAGGGTCTCAAAGAAGCATAGGGGGTTTAAAGTGTGTGTGTCACCAGATCTTAACCCAATTAAGGCAGGGGTTCCCACATTTTTTCACTCAGACCCCCCTTCCAGCATTGGGGAACATCCCACGGGACAGCCACCTCTCAATAGAAATAGGTGTATAAACAAGGACTTTGCACTATATTAATTTAACAATAGGTTTGTTATTGCCTTGGATTGAATTAGAACATATCATGATGTAAATAAATGTCCTACGTTTGGAGACTTAACTGTTTTTTAAAATAGATTTTGGGGGATGGGACTGCAATTTGCACTACTCTGTAGAATCACCCATATAGTGCACTACTTTGACCTATATCCCCTATGGACCTTGGTCAAAAGTAGTGCACTATATAGGGAATACGGTGCCATTTGGAATGAAGCCAGAGACCATAGTCAGACACCATAGTTAGCACTGGTGGGAAAAGCACTGCTGTCTGTTGCTGGATAGTAGTAAATTCCCTTGATTAGTACCGGATGCTATTACAGGCCTGGTGTGTACGAGAGAGTTACTGCCCAGCAAAGTAGGACTTGTAATCTTAATACGCTATCAGTGTAATATTCTCCAATAACGTGAAATACTTACTGTTCTCGAAAGGAGAAGAGAGACGGCCAAGTGAACACTACACAGTTCATCAATGTGATTTACAGTGCTGCTTAACACTCAAACAGTAATGGTATGATGTTGTTAAGATGTTGACCATCCCAAAATGTATTTAGGCTAATGAAGACAAAGTTGAGGAAAAAGGGGGGGCAGGTAGCTTAGTGGTTAAGAGCGTAGTGCCAGTAACCGAAAGGTCGCTGGTTCTAATCCCCGAGCCGACTAGGTGAAAAATCTGTCGATGTGCCCTTGAGCAAGGCACTTAACCCTAATTGCTCCTGTAAGTCGCTCTGGATAAGAGCGTCTGCTAAATGACTAAAATGTAAATGTAAATGTAAAACTATGTACAAGTTTTCAAGAGATGTAATTTCTAAGTAAATAAGGAAGCAGGAGATTCAACAAGCAAACAAGATTCCACCCGTTTCCCAAATTGAAACGGTTCCCTCTGCTTTCTGATGTCCTCTAGCTGTGGTCTTTGGCCCCACAGTCTCTAGAGCTCTAGAATTCTAGGGTCCAGTTTCCCGGGCACAGATTAAGCCTAGTGTAGTCTTGGACTAAGAAGCTCTTTCCATGGAGAATGTCCATCGAACATGCTTTTTTAGTCTAGGACTAGGCTTAATCTGTATCCGGAAAATACCCCAGGACCTCTAAAGTGTCAACATGAACATTCTGTAAGTAGAAAACACATGTAGATGAGTGTGTTGATACAGAGTGTACATGAGGAGGTGCAGATTTTAATTCAAAAGAGTTGCTACACTACACTAGTGTAACACATGAGTGCACCCACAGAGCTCTGAGTAGAGAGAGTGGGAGGGTGGAGTATGGGAGAGAGGGTGGAGTACGGATGGAGGGAGGGAGGGAGTTTTAGAAGGGGGAAGAGGTAGGGAGGAGATGGGTCATTCTGCCTTTGAATAAGGTGGGTTTCAGTAAGAATAGGGATAAGAGGGGGGGATCGTCCGAACATACAAAGGACAGTTATTTACCCCCATCCCAACCCCATCGTCACAACCAACCCCCACCCCCCACTCATCCTCAAGCAAGATACACTTTAAACAGTGCAGTCACCACATTCTGACCCACTAAAGGAGGGAGGGAGGGAGGGGTGGGGTGGGGGAGGGGGGTTCACAAATACAATCACCACCCTCCGCAGCACAGCCAACCATACCTAAGTATCATGAGGAATTCTCTCACACCTAAATAGAAATTCAAATGAGCTCAGCTGGGATGACTTACCTTTTGTGTTGCCAAGTACTGTGTGTTACTGTTGGATTTAAGTCGCTAACTCCCCGTTGTTTGTCTTTCTCTATTTATACCCATCTTTCTTCCTCTCTCTCTTTCTTCCCCCTCTTTCACTCTCCCTTCCCTCTCTCACCCCTCCCTCCCTCCCTCTACCCCATCTCTCTCTCCCTCTCTCTTCATCTTCTCCATCCCTCCATCTCTCTCCCTCCCCCCTTTCTCCATCCCCCCTCCTCTCCCTACAGTGCGAATCAAGCCTGGCTCGGCATCTCCAGTGGAGTACCAGAGTGACAGTGATGTGGAGAGTGGGACAGAGTCGGGTTCAGCGTCCTTCAGTACACAGGGACTGGATACTGGGTGCGTGTCATAGAATGGAAGGTGGTGGTATAGGCCTGGACACAGGGTGGTGGTGTAGGGGTGGTGGTACTGCAGGACTCAGCCTCCTTCAGTACCCACAGCTTGGACACAGGGTTAGTGTTAAGGCGTCCACGTGCTTCCCAGCCGAAACAGTTCGGAACAGTTTGTGCATATATTATGAACATTTTGTGCTGATTTTCGTTCAGCTGTTCAGGCACACCATTTTTTTTCTCGGCAGCTGAAGTCTACGCCCCATTGTTAGGCTACTGGATATGGCGTCTCAAAATGGACAAACAGTACTATTGCCGGTTTAAAAAAATAATAATATTTAAGCTAAGGTCTTTTAAGGGAGAATGTGAGCACACTCGTTCGGCTAGGCGCCAGCCCAACTGAAGCATGCTGACACCTTTAGAGGATGGAGGCTGGGTGATACATTGGGTTTTTAATCAATATAAGATAACAATACTTATTGCAATCGCTATTTCAAAACATATCTTGCATGATTTGTGGGTAGTTGGGTAAACTACATAAAGTATTCATACCCCTTGGCTTATTCCACATTTTTTGGAATTCAAAATTGATTAAATCGATTTTTTTTCTCTCACCCATCTACACGCAATACCCCATAATGACAAAGTGAAAACATTTTTGTAGAAATGTTTGCAAATGTATTGAAAATGAAATACAGAAATATCTAATTTACATAAGTATTCACACCCCTGAGTCAATACTTTGTAGAAGCACCTTTGGCGGCGATTACAGCTTTCAGTCGTCTTGGGTATGTCTGCCTTTTTGCAAACTCCAGGCCAGCTGTCGTGACTTTTACTCAGGGGTGGCTTCCGTCTGGCCACTCTCCCATGAAGTCCAGATTGGTGAAGTGCTATAGAGACTGTTGTCCTTCTGGCAGGTTCTCCCCATCTCAGCCAAGGAACTCTGTAGTTCTGTCAGAGTTGTCATTGGGTTCTTGGTCACCTCCCTGACCAAGGTCCTTCTTGCCCGGTTGCATAGTTTGGTCGGACGACCAGCTCTGGATAGTTCCATACTTTTTCCATTTCCCAATGATGGAGACCATTGTGCTCTTGGAAACGTTCAACACTCCCCAGATATATGCCTCATCACAATTCTATCTCGGAGATCTATGGACAGTTCCTTGGACTTCCTGGTATAGTTTCTGCTCTGACATGCACTGTCAACTGTGGGACCTATATAGACCGATGTGTTTCTTTCTAAATCATGTCCAAACTATTGAATTGGCCACAGGAGGACTCCAATCAAGTTGTAGTGACATCTCAAGGATGATCAGAGGAAATTGGAAGCACCTGAGCTCAATTTGGAGTGTGTGAATACTTATGTAAATGAGACATTTATGTGTTTCATTTTCAATGACGTTGCAAACATTTCTAAAAGAATGTCTACACTTTGTCATTATGGGGTATTGTGTGTAGATGGGTGAGAAAAATATAAATGTAATCCATTTTGAATTCAGGCTATAACACATCAAAATGTGGAATAAGTCAAGGGGTATGAATACTTTCTGAAGGCACTGTAGGAGTAGAGTGATACAGGAAGAGTATAGCAGGACTGGGCTTGAGTGTATTAGAGAAAAGTATAAAGGGTTAATTTGCTCCTTCACTGGGGGTTTTGGCTGTGGTGAGCTGGGCCCGTCCCCCCTCTCTCCTCTCCTCTCCTCTCTCTGGCACTAATTACATTACTGCAGCACTGCTTTTCTCTGGACCCTTACATAACCCCTGAACACTGGATGAGAGGAGAGTCAGTGTGTATGTGTCACACAATGTGTAGTGAGGCAGCAACCAGGAGAGACAGAATGTATTAATGTGTAACTCTATTTGGTAGGAGGACGCAGCAACCTCAACACCCCAAAGGCGTAGCTTTGTGTGTGTGAGAGCTTGCTGCACTCTATCTAACTGAAATGCAGGGTGTGTGCTTGGAGAGTTCACTTAGCTGACGTGTGTTTGTGTGTTTGTGTGTGTTGCTGGGCAGGGTTGTCACAGAACTGGGTGTAAACAAGGTTACGTAATGCCGTTTTCTGTCACACCTCCTTATAAATGGTTTGGAGAGAGAGAGAAAGAGAGGAGCGGGGTGAGGGAGTGTTAGAGGCGGGATGGGGTGAATACTATTCTCTCTCTTTTTGCTGGTTTAGTGTGTTTGAGCCAACGGCTGGGCAGAGAGAGAGAGAGAGAGAACAAGAGAAAGGAAGAGAGAGAGGAGGAAAGGGAGTGAACTAGTTGGCAGGCGGGGTGGAGAAGGGAAGGCCGCGAGGAACCGGGAGGATGGGAGGGAGAGTGTGAGAGGAAGGAAAGGCGGGGTGAGGGAGAGGAGAGTTGGGGAGAGAGGGAAGAGAGAGGAGAGATCAGCATTGAACTGGAAGCTGTCTAGCTGTAGAGGTATTCGACAGTCACTCTCTAGCACTCTCTGCTGCCTGTGGCCTGTAACTTCACCCAGGGATAAACCTAAACAAGAAACTTAATCAGCAGTGATTACCAGGAGTGAGGCTCTGTTAGAATCATCAAAATTAACATGATGTATTTAACTATTCTGTATGTATACTGAACAAAAATATAAATGCAACATGCAACAATTTAAAATATTTTACTGAGTTACAGTTCATACAAGGAAATCAGTCAATTGAAATAAACTCATTAGGCCCTAATCTATGGATTTCACATGACTGGGAATACAGATATGCATCTGTTGGTCACAGATATATTTTTAAAGAATGTAGGAGCGTGGAACAGAGAACCAGTCAGGATCTGGTGTGACCACCATTTGCCTCATGCAGCACGATACATCTCCTTCGTATAGAGTTGATCAGGCTGTTGATTGTGGCCTGTGGAATGTTGTCCCACTCCTCTTCAATGGCTGTGCAAAGTTGCTGGATATAGGTGGGAACTGGAACACGTTGCCTTACATGTCGATCCAGAGCATCCCAAACATGCTCAATTGGTGACATGTCTGGTGAGTATGCTTGCCTGGAACATTTTCAGCTTCCAGGAATTGTGTACAGATCCTTGCGACATGGGGCCGTGCATTATCATGCTGAAACATGAGGTGATGGCGGCGGATGGATGTCACGACAATGGGCATCAGGATCTCGTCACAGTATCTCTCTGCATTCAAATTGCCATCAATAAAATGCAGTTCTGTTCGTTGTCCATAGCTTATGCCTGCCCATACCATAACCCCACCGCCACAATGGGGCACTCTCTTCACAACGTTGACATGAGCAAACCGCTCGCCCACACGACGCCATACACCCTGTCTGCCATCTGCCCGGTGTACAGTTGAAACCGGGATTCATCCATGAAGAGCACACTTCTCCAGTGTGCCAGTGGCCATTGAAGGTGAGGATTTGCCTACTGAAGTCGGTTAGGACGCTGAACTGCAGTCAGATCAAGACCCTGGTGAGGACGACGAGCACGCAGATGAGCTTCCTTGAGAAGGTTTCTGACAGTTTGTGCAGAAATTCTTCAGTTGTGCAAACCCACAGTTTCATCAGCTGTCAGACCATCCTGCAGGTGAAGAAGCCGGATGTGGAAGTCCTGGGCTGGCGTGGTTACACATGGTCTGCGGTTGTGAGGCCAGTTGGACGTTCTGCCAAATTCTCTAAAACGACGTTAGAGGCTGCTTAAGGTAGAGAAATTAACATTAAATTATCCGGCAACAGCTCTGGTGGACATTCCTGCAGTCAGCATGCCAATTGTACACTCCCTCAAAACTTGAGGCAGCTGTGGCATTGTGTTGTGACCAAACTGCACATTTTATAGTGGCCTTTTTTTTTGTCCCCAGCACAAGGTGCACCTGTGTAATCGTCATGCTGTTTAATCAGCTTCTTGATATTCCACACCTGTCAGGTGGATGGATTATCTTGGCAAGGCGAAACACTCACTAACAGGGATGTAAACAAATTTGTGCACAACATATTTGAGAAATAAGCTTTTTGTGCGTATGGAACATTTCTGGGATCTTTTATTTCAGCTCATGAAACATGAGACCAACACTTTACATGTTGCATTTATATTTTTGTTCAGTGTAGTTCCCTCATGTAGCCATGTCCAAATACATAGGGGCGAATCCTAGCTTCCCATTGACATCAATGCATGACTAAGTAAATCAAATTGTGTCACCTAATGATGACGCAGCATTGACAAACTCATTTCTATGACTTCATCAGTCATACAGATCAGTACAATAGAGTGCATTAATAATAAACCCATGGATATATCTTGATTGGCCAGTCAGCCACACTACTATGGCAGTTCCCTATAGGTGTTACATCACAGTCCTTTCCTTCTAGGTTTAGTTGGGGCTTAGACAATATGGGTGGGGTTGGGGAGGTTAAAGGTCATAGAACATGTCTGCTCATGTAACACTAACAATTCCAGACCTGGGTTCACATACCATTTGAACTCTTTCAAATAGTTTTAGTGTTTTCTTTAGCCTGCCTGGAGTGCCAATTCTGTTAGTTTCATTGTGCCGGCCAAGCTTTTATCAAGCCCAGATTAAGTATTTGAATATGTTGTTGCTGTTATAATCATATTGTATTGGATGTAATGTAGTTGTATTTTGTATTATTTTAGTGAGTGTTTGTATTTGCACTCTGGCTGTGTAATTGCCCTTACCTGCCCAGGGACTACGGGTGCAAATTAGCTCTGTACTAACCCCAGCACATTTACATGGATGTTGCATTACTGTAATATTGGTGTTGATTAATGTGCATTGTCCTTATAAAATGTAAATAATAATATAATAGTAACCCAGGTCTGAAGAGTTAATATACAGGTAGCTAGCTGCTGTCTGGTAATCCTGCTATTGCAGGTGATCCGGTGTTACGTTTAGTAATTTCACTAAATACACGACTCAGTGCATGTCACTCCAGCCTCACCCATATAATGACAGGTCTGTTTTTTCTCTCTCTCTCTCTCTCTCTCTCTCTCTCTCTCCCTCTCTCTCTCTCTCTTCTCTCTCTCTCTCTCTCTCTCTCTCTCTCTCTCTCTCTCTCTCTCTCTCTCTCCTCTCTCTCTCTCTCTCTCTCTCTCTTTCATTGAGAGCACACACTCTCTCGTACGCATAAATGCTGTCTCTTCTATCTCTCTCTCTCTCTTTCCCTCTCTCTCTCTTTGTCCCTCAGGTCGGGTGTAGACATGGACATGCAGGTGGATCCTGATTCGCCAGATATGAAGAGGAGGCGTGTCCATATGTGTGACTATGACGGCTGTAACAAGGTGTACACAAAGAGCTCACACCTCAAAGCCCACCGCAGGATACACACAGGTAACACCAGTGTTGGGAAAGTAAGATATTACTAACCCTGACGTTTTACAAAAGTAACATGTTACTTTACAATATGACTTTGTGTGGAAAGTAACGAGTTCTATTACTTTGCGTTACTTTCATGGGAAAAAATCTCAATCTCACCCGTTTGTTTAACTGTGGAGGGAGCAAGACAAGCCACGCTCTACCAACGATAGACTACTTACTAACTCAGGTTTGATCACTAGTTTCTCCTTTAATCTGAGGTGCTGCTTTCCTGCGCTATCATATGGGCTACTTAATTAGCCATATACTGTAAGCCCAAAATCTGTACATATTTCCTATCTTTTAATTCAAAATCTTTCCCTCGAGCTGCCAGTTCTTTCTTATAGACCTCACATACACGGCCCATAGAGATGTATAGACATCAGAGGTGCGCCCTCTCTACATTTCTATGGACAGCAGCTGTCATGACATTTCTCTAAACAGCCATTCTCCGAGATCGAGATCGGATCATGGAAAAACGCCCGGTGGAGATAAGATTCTGAAAGTAACGCGCGCATTTTGACAAAGTAACTGTAATAAAATTACCCAATTTGATAAAATAACGCATTACTTTACTCTGTTACTCATAAAAGTAACCAAATTACGTTACGTGTTCTTCTTGTAACGCGATACCCCCAACACTGGGTAACACACACCCTGACCCACCCACATACTCATCTATAGCCAATGACTGATCCAGGGCCCGCATTCTGTAGCCCAGTGGTTCCAAACTCCAGTCCAACAGTACACATGTATGTTGCAGCACTGGACAATCACACCTGATTCAACTGGTCAACTAATCATCAAGCCCTCAATTAGTTGAATGAGGTATGTTTGACCAAGGCTACACATTTTGTTGATGCTGTTGGGGGTACCCGACGACTGGAGTTGGGAAACACTGCTGCAGAACTTGAATAGACTGCGTAGATCTATACTATAGCTTCTTATCTGAAGATGCCTTGTTTTTGCTCAATTACATGCACTGAATGTACTGCCTATTAAACCAATCAATCAATCAACCAACTCCATGTCTTCTTCCCTGTAGGAGAGAAGCCGTACCACTGTACATGGGAGGGCTGTACCTGGAGGTTCGCCCGTTCAGACGAGCTGACGCGACACTACCGCAAACACACGGGCATCAAGCCTTTCCGCTGCACCGACTGTGACCGCTCCTTCTCCCGGTCCGACCACCTAGCCCTGCACCGGAGACGCCACATCATGATGTGAACCATGACCTCTGACCCCTGATCTTTAAACCCTGCCACCTACCACCATCGCCCCCCCAACCCATCACCTCCCTGCCCATCCCCCCCTCAGTACTCAAATGAAACTCAGATGGGAGGGGCTAAACCCTGAACTGTCACTTCCTGTTCCTGTCCCTTTTCTCCTCGTCCTCCAATTTGAACTGTGGGTCATCATGGAGATCAGGAAATTAAAGAGGTGGAGAACGAAGATTGCAAAGTAAGCGATGAGAGCAGTTCATTGTTGTTACTTGGTTGCCTAGCACCTGAAGGGGTAGTCCACCACTCTTCACAGCCACCTTCGCCCCAATGCTTACCATCTCATCTCTCCCTCACACCCCACTCAGTGTGACCATGGCGTGACGCCATCCTCCTCTATGGCTCCCAATCCATCCAGAAGACAGATCAGTGAAGACAAACCAGTGAAGCCTGACTGGGATACTGCAGTGAGAAAGAGACAGACAGGCTGGACTGAGAGAGACAGAGAACAGACTTTGAAATGATGCAGGGATACCTACACCATACACTCAGCTCAGAGGAAGAAGATGAGGAAGGAGGAAGACGGAGAGGAGGTGGTCAAGGGGGCGGGGAAGGATATGTGGCTTTTGTGTGTTGTTTGTTTATTTCAGAGGGGAAGATACTGTATTTTCTTTCTCAACTTCTGTTATCCTGCATTGCATGCATGGGCTTAGCTGTGTGTGTGTGTGCATAGCTTTAAGTGTGTGTGTGTGTGAGCGTTAGTGAAGTGTGTGCTATTTAAAGACAGTTGAAGATGCATCATGTCCTCTCCTCCATATCCTTTCCTGAGCAGAGTCCGCAGACCCCTCGGGGTGTGTGGGGTAGAAATGTTATAGTCGTATTCAACCCGCCCTCCACTTCCCCCATCCCCTAAAACAGGGAGCTACAAGACTGTGAATTGTTATTAAGATTCTGTTTTCCTCATAGTTTCAATTAGAAATGAATTTGTTCACTTCCCCACATTTTTTACGTGTTTGTTCAGTAACAGTATTTGTGTTGTTAAAAAAAAAGGCCTTCTGTTGTTCTTTTCTTTTTCTCTTTGCCAGTGATTGGCTCTTAACAGAATAACATCCCTTCTTTTTTTGGTCTAATTCAAATCCTTAGATTGTGTTTGAGGCTGTGAAAGCATAAAGAAAAAAAAGTTTGAGATTACAAACGAAACTCTCGCAGGGATCTAGGGGAGCTTGAGTGTGTGTTTTGTGCGTGTGTATGGACGTGTGTGTGTGTGTGTGTGTGTGGAACAAATAATCAGAACTGATGATTTTAGAAGTGTGTGTTTGGGGCAGCAGTGTGTTACCTCTTGCCCGTCGGAGCCTTAATGAATCAAAGTCAATCTGAGAAACTCTGTTTTTAGAAACGCACGTTTGTTTTGGTCTTCAGGGTTACCCGGGAAACGGGGTCTTATCGCCCTGACAACAGGTCACGAGGCACTCTCTTTTTTGTTACAAGCATTTCTACCCAGACCCAGATCAGGGCTTGTATTTACAAAGAGTCTCAGAGTAAGATTTCTGATCTAGGATCAGGTCCGCCCTTTCCATATGATCTTATTCATTATGATCTAAAAGGCAAAACTGTTCCTAGATCAGCAACTTACTGATCTTCATGTCTTAAGCCGGCCATTTTTAGCTCCTGCTCTCTGGGTTCACTTGATTATGCAACTTCCACAGACCTCGCTCCTAACGCTGTACTGGGGTCAGTGGATAAGTATGTGTTGCTAGTGGAACATACACAGAGCTCACTCCTAAGTGCTGTTATGGAGTAAGTACCAACATACATCTTGCTACTGGGACATACACAGATCTTGCTCCTAAGGGCTGTACTGGAGTCAGTGGTAAAGTATGTGTTGCTGATGGGACATACAAATAACTCGCTCCTAAGCGCTGTTGTGAAGCCAGTGGCTAAGTACGTGTTGCCACTGGAACGCACAGCTCCTGTGGTACTAGTGCTGAGCGATTAACTGAAATGACGGTTATTTTTCGTTTTTTAAACAACTAATTGACCAACATCAGTTCAATTATTTGAATTCCATTTTTTTCCCATTGCACAGTTTCTCTAGAGATAAATCAGATACAGCCTGAACTGTGTGATGTAGGAGGGAGGTTGTAGTTTCCAACAGGGCCAATATTCTACATAGTTTAGCGCATAAAACGTGATAATAAACTACAAAGATTAAAATGTAATATACACAACTGAAATATTTTGTTAAAGTAAAATAATGTGAATAAATGATGGTTAATAAGTAGTAATGGGCAGTCACTACCATCATGGGACTTTTATTAATTGTTTTGTTCTGTGTTGTTACAGCATTCAACCCACATAATGCATAGTGCATTTAATGTTTAAAAAAATAATTAAAACGTGATTATGTTTTAATAATTGAACCGAAACCGAACTGACCTTAAAAACCTCTATAATCGCTCAGCACTATGTGGTACATACAGTTGAAGTCTGTAGTTTACATACACCTTAGCCAAATACAAACTTAGTTTTTCACAATTCCTGACATCAAATCCTAGTAAAGATTCCCTGTCTTAGGTCAGTTAGGATCACCACTTTATTTTAAGAATGTGAAATGTCAGAGTAATAGCAGAGAGAGTGATTTATTTCAGCTTTTATTTCTTTCATCACATTCCCAGTGGGTCAGAAGTTTACATACACTCAATTAGTATTTGGTAGCATTGCCTTTAAATTCTTTAACTTGGGTCAAGTGTTTCGGGTAGCCTTCCACAAGCTTCCCACAATAAGTTGGGTGAATTTTGGCCCATTCCTCCTCACAGAGCTGGTGTAACTGAGTCAGGTTTGTAGGCCTCCTTGCTCGCACACGCTTTTTCAGTTCTGCCCACACATTTTCTATAGGATTGAGGTCAGGGCTTTGTGGTGGCCAATCCAATACCTTGACTTTGTTGTCCTTAAGCCATTTTGCCACAACTTTGGAAGTATGCTTGGGGTCATTGTCCATTTGGAAGACCCAAGCTTTAACTTCCTGACTGATGTCTTGAGATGTTGCTTCAATATATCCACATAATTTTCCTTCCTCATGATGCCATCTATTTTGTGAAGTGCACCAGTCCCTCCTGCAGCAAAGCACCCCCACATGATGCTGCCACCCCTGTGCTTCACGGTTGGGATGGTGTTTTTCTGCTTGCAAGCGTCCCCCTTTTTCCTCCAAACATAACGATGGTCATTATGGCCAAACAGTTCTATTTTTGTTTCATCAGACCAGAGGACATTTCTCCAAAAAGTACAATCTTTGTCCCCATGTGCAGTTGCAAAACGTAGTCTGGCTTTTTATGGCGGTTTTGGAGCAGTGGCTTCTTCCTTGTTGAGCGGCCTTTCAGGTTATGTCGATATAGGACTTGTTTTACTGTGGATATAAATACTTTTGTACCTGTTTCCTCCAGCATCTTCACAAGGTCCTTAGCTGTTTTTTTTCTGAGGTCTTGGCTGATTTCTTTTGATTTTCCCATGATGTCAAGCAAAGAGGCACTGAGTTTGAATGTAGGCCTTGAAATACATCCACAGGTACACCTCCAACTGACTCAAATGATGTCAATTAGCCTATCAGAAGCTTCTAAAGCCATGACATCATTTTCTGGAATTTTCCAAGCTGTTTAAAGGCACAGTCAACTTAGTGTATGTAAACTTCTGACCCGCTGGAATTGTGATACATTGAATTATAAGTCTGTAAACAATTGTTGGAAAAATTACTAAACAATTGTTGGAAAAATTACTTGTGTCATGCACAAAGTAGATGTCCTAACCGACTTGCCAAAACTATAGTTTGTTAAAAAGGAATTTGTGGAGTGGTTGAAAAACGAAGTTTAATGACTCCAATCTAAGTGTATATAAACTTCAGACTTCAACTGTACATACAGAGAGGGCATACTTGAGGACATGTAAACAAATTGTTTGGCTCTCTCGCTAGCAGTCGCAGCAGCCATAATCATTTCAAATGCTAGCTAAATAAAACACGAGCGAATTTAAGATCCATTTTCTGTTGACAATTTTAAAACGAAGTGCAGATAATAACGCTTGTCTGACTCTGAGCCCAGCCTTGGTGTGAGTTGAGTTGAGCGCATGCCGGAAGCAGCGAGAGATCTTATTGGTCCACACAGAGCAATGCAATGCAATGTTCCAATGAGTTTCTATCATTCTCTGCTTAGACTCCTAACAATGTTACTAAGCACATCTTTCTAGAAGAGTATATGCATTTGATTGCAAATTGTTTCATTTTGTAAACTGTTCATATTAGACATTAAGGACTATGAGAATAATTAAAGAAGAATAAGAAGTGTACATTCTGTATATAATCAAAAAGCATAATAAATGTAACAGGTGGAGTTCTATTTTTAACACTGACTAGACAATGTGAAAATATAATTTGTGTTTTCTTTTCTCCTCTGTTGGATGGATTTACAAATGAAATGTGTATAAACAAATGTTCAATTCCTTCTTTACAAAAAAAAATCCCCCAAAATCGGTCCCTCTTGTGTTGTGCTCACTGTTGTTGCATGGAGAGTAGCATTTTGTTTTTGTGAAGTTGGTGAGCATGTCGGTGTGAACATGGTACCATAACCTAACAGTCATGATGACCTGCAACAAGCACTGAAAAACCTGAAGAACTCTCTCAACCATATCCTTATCCCAAATGTCACCCTATTCCCTATATAGTGCACTACCTTAGGGTAGTTCTGGTCAAAAGTAATGCACTATATAGGGAAAAGGATGCCATTTGGGACGCACACCATGCTGAAACATTTATAATATGTAATATCTGTTATCACTGGTCAAACCCACCTCACTGCATAGACATAACAATGCCAGTGATATACAATACAAGACACCAACTGTTCCATATGAAATAACATAAAATCCTTTTGAATGTCTATTGTGAAGTGCTACTCCATATACCACAAAAAAATACTATACAATAATACATCAATACAATACACCAAGATAGCGATGTTGTGTCCATGAAATGTTTAATCTATCTATGGTTTAGACGTGGCAGCATACGACTGAAGACTTCATGACCCTCTGTTCGTTACTGTACTGTATCTGTACAAGCACGTTTATCCACTATCAGCTAGTCACCCATCACTTCAACAATATGGCACTGCATAATGTAAGGGTGAATTGATTGTGTGCGTGTGTGTATAAGTGTGTGAATGTGCTTTTTCTTATCATTCATCAAAACTCTTCT